TACTGCTTTATTTATTTAAGTTTTTATATATTAAATATATTTAAATAATTTAATAAATATAAAGGAGTTTAAAAAATAATATTTAAAATAAATTTAAAGGTTATTAAAGAACTTATATAGCTTAGCTAGGTTTTTATTAAATTTATTAAAGTAAGAAGGCCTAAGAATTTCTTTAGGTTATTTTTTAATTACTTTAATAGGTTATATAATAAATATAATTACAGTGGGTGCTATAGTTAATAATATTATTAGCAGGTTATAAAGTATAATAAGTTATTGCTATAAAGCATTAATATTTTATATATTATTAATTCTTTATGCTTTTAATTATTAAATTAATTATTTAAAGATAGCTAAATAGCTTATAGAGTTTTATAGATTTAGTGGGTTTAGTAGAGGCGCTTATTATTGCATTTATTCTTTTATACTAAATTAATCTATAGGCTTAATAAAGTCTTAGAAGTTATTTATTTTAATATTATCTATAGGTCTAGTAACTGTTTAAATAAGAGTTATTAATATATAATAAATTATATATTAAATAGTTAATATAGAGTAAATTCTTAAAAAATAAACCTAAAATAAGTTCTTTAGGTTTATATTAATAAATAAATTAAAAAACCTATAGGCAATAATATTATAATAATAATTACTAGTAAAGATTAAAAGTGCTTTTTAATTTATAAATATAGAACTATATTAATAACTAGCTATTTAAGTTATTTAAATAAATATAAAAAGTAAACTTATATATTTAGTTAGTTAAGCTAGATTATTTATAGATTTTAATAATCTATTATAGATTATTTTATAAAATTAATAATTTACTTATAGATTATTAGATTATTATAATAATCTAATGATCCTGTTGTAATTAGTAGGTCGGTCTTATGTTAATCCGGTTTGGCCTACCCTGTAGGCCCATTGTTGCGACCATAAGAGGCGGGTCGTAACACTCTTGCCACCCCCATTGCCGTTGCCTCCCCTGAGGCTCCTGCTTCTATCGCCGCCAGAGGCTATGAATTCCCTCGCCCCTGCCCTGAATATGTAAGAATTATTTCTTTTTAAAAGTAAAAAGGAAAACTATTAATATATATATAAAACTTAGGATACCTGTGTTAAACAAAAGGGACAGAGCAACTGCAACATTTGCATGTGCAACCCTAAATTATTTGTTTGTATGTTAATTCAGGGAATTTATTAAATACTAGAAATATAGTATTTATTTTAAATTATATATATATTATATATACTTACTACCAAATATATATATATGTACATATATATAATTATATTATAGAATATTATAGAATATTATATAATATATTAAATTTTTATATAATAGTTTTATACTACAGCTTTCTAGTTATAATTTTTTTAAATCCCCCCTGCTTCTCCTGTATTCTAAATAGTATAGTACAGGAGCTATAACCTTACAAATAGTTCCTCAAGGGAGTTAAGTAAATATTACTTTATATACTGTCTATTTTTATAAATTCTTAATTTCATGACCATCTATTCTACATATCCGGGGTAATAGCACTATTTACAGATGCTGTTCTTCCCCTTAATTACAGAATTTACTTATATTTAAACTCCTATAGTAAAAGGTAAAATTCATTCTCACTGGTCTAAGCTTTAGAATCTTCCGTGACTGTATTTAACACAAACAGGCTAAGTAATACTGTATAGATTTTATATTGTTCTCATTGTCCTCTGCAGAAATTTTATTCACGCAATATGAACCGCATCGCGGTCTGTGCAGAAACATTTTACACAAACACAGCTTCACACAAGGGCCGTGCATGTAATTTTTAGAATACAATAGAACTCAATGTAAGAAAGTAAAGACAAATTACATAATATATAATTACAATAACAATAAATCCCCTCATTAGCTTTTATAAAAAGCCCTATATTTCCTTTATATTATCTACAATCTTCTACCACCAATAACTACACTTACAATACCAATAACTGCACTTACCAAAAAACAACAAAATGAAGTTTTCCATCCTTCTCACCCTCCTCCCTATGGCCATGGCCTCCCCTATTGCCGCTGCCTCCCCCGAGGCTCCTGCTTCCGATCTCGCCGCCAGACTTAACTACCCCAAGCCCTGCCCTGCATACGTAAGTTAAAATTCTCGCTCTTTAAAAGAGTAAAAAGGAAAACTATTAATACTGTACTTTAAAACTTAGTATGCCTGCATTGAAGAAAAGGGCGACGAATACTGCGACACTTGCATATGCAACCCTACTACGTGGGCTTGTGAGCTAAGAAATGCCTGGTAATCTTTTGATTAAATGCTAGGGCATGGTCTTTATCCTTAGCTAGAATAAGATTTATACTATATGTAGCTACAGCTTAATATACGCATAAATTTACATTTATTCAATATTATCAATTGTACTAACAGCTACTTATGCGCCCTTGTTTTCTTAAATATCTCGTTATACCGCTGATTGTAATCTAATTCTACTAACATTCTTTACCAGCTCTACTAAAACCCTTTCTTCCCGTCAAACAGTCCAACGCCGTATTCGATTATAATATTACCTAGATGTCAAAGCTTTTTCCAAAACCTTGGCCAATACCTATGCACTAATCAATATCCATGCACCAGTATGTCAACGTATGTTATTTGCTGTACCATTATGCAGTCTCTGTGACTTGTCGGTTGGATGTCAGTGCACTTTTACAAAGAGTCCTACTATTTGGACCGTAGAAGATTCCTATTTGAACCGTAGTGGCCCGTGCGTTAGAATTTTCTATAGTATTAATTAATTTTAAGAATTAATTTAATAACAATAAAAATTTTAAAAAATATTTTAAAAAATAGTATAATATCCTTTATTAAATAAACTATATAATATATTTTTTTTATATTTATAAATTAAAAATAGCTATACTATTTAAGCTTAAAAAATTAAATTTTAAAATAGGATTTTTTTAATAGTTTTTTAATTTTATAAACTNAATTTTTTATATAAGGTTTTTATTTATATAAATTATATAAAAAGTTTTAATGCATTTATTTTAACTTATATATAGCTATTAAAATCTATAGTTAAAGTTTTTATAAGTTTATTAGCTTAATAATTAATTAAAATTAATATAAAAAAAAGAATTATATAAATTGAAAAAAGCTTTATTTATATATAATTTTTAAAAAATTTTTTATAATTTATTTAACTATAATATACCTATATAAAAACCTTAGTGGTTTTAGAAAATTGCAGTGCACGGGCCACTTAGCGCGGTGCACGGGCCACTACAGTCCAAATAGGAATCCTCTACGGTCCAAATAGGAGGACTCTTTACAAATGCATAGATAGTGCTTGCTCACACATAAGCCAAACCTACAGCACTTATACTTTTACATCAAACGCCAAATTCCAAGTAGCTGCTGCTGGTACTTTAATACATTCCCTCTCTACAAATAATAGTCATACATTATTCCGAATCCTCGCTATTCCACGCCTTATACCCGCCGTCTGAGTTCCTCAGCATATCTGGCCCTCTTTATATTTCTCCCTTCTCACCACTAATAGATTCCTGTCCCATACCCTCTCAGAAAGGGGGGTTTTTTTTTTCTTCTCAAAAGCGTGAGTTTTAGTCTTTTTTCTGTGTTCTGCGCCATGCACCTCCCATGGTTGCCATTTGCATCTAATATCAGCCCCTAAAGCAAAGAGAGAAAGTCGCGAAAAAAAAAACTAAGTTATTACTGATGTGAACCGCGAGGTTGTGTCACAGGGCCACATAATGTGCCGGCTTAACATGAAAGAAATCCAGTGCTTTCACCATCTCTAATACGCTCCGTTTAGGCATCAACAATACCATCGGCAATGGCGAGGCGCTGCTTAGCCGTCTTCGCTCGCTTGCCGATTAATTTTCCTTTAGTCTTTTTGCCCATTGGTTCACTTTCCGCTGGGGTGGCAGTGCCAGACGCACCGGGTTTGCTCCCGTCATCAAAGTTACCCTCTCCTGTGAAACAATGATTAGCATCTATACTACCCATCACCATGCAATATTGAAACGGCTATAGGTATATGCTTACCTTCGTGATACATCTCGTCCAAGCTGGCGGGAGCATCCATCCTCTTCCGTTTGCCGGGCTTCTTCTTTTGCTTCTCGTATTCACCAGATTCGAGTAGCTCCTTCTCACGACGCTCAATCATCTCAGCTTGCTCGTCGTCAGCCAGCCACATGGCAATATCGCGGTTACGGTTCTCCGGAGCACGGCGACCAGAAAAGTCGACACTGGCACCTCCACCTTGGATGACGACACGCTGGACTTCTTCCTTTTGAAGAGCACGTTTTCGAATACGTTCCTCGATTGTGCCACGAGTGATTAGCCGGTAGACAGTGACTTGCCTCGTCTGACCTAATCTGTGAGCTCGGTCCATGGCTTGCGAATCAATGGTTGGATTCCAATCTGAATCGTAGAAAATGACAGTGTCGGCGGATGTAAGATTGATACCAAGACCACCTGCACGAGTAGATAGCAAAAAGATGAAAATATCAGGTCGAGTCTGGAAGTCATGCACAGTGTCACGACGATCTTCCAACTTTGTAGAACCATCCAGTCGGCAGTATTTGTAATTGCGGTACGTGAGATACTCCTCCATCATATCAATCATGCGGGTCATCTGGAAGTAAAGCAGGACACGATGGCCCTCTGCCTTGAGCTTAAATAGAAGCTCATCCAGCTTCGCCAGTTTGCCGCTGTCAGTGACGAAGCGCTGCATGGAGGGAACGGCGATGTTGGTGAACCGCTTCTTGTCATGATCGGGCTGAGGGAAGATCTTGTTGATAGGGTACAGCTCCAATGGTACCTTCTTCTCAACTAGGGCTCGCTCATCGTAAATCGTGGGTCCGTATAACGTTTGGCGGATATGGGTGTTGAACATGATGCGTTGACGCTCAGCAACTGCGCTCAGCTTGTTGCAAGAAACCTCGATGGGAGGGGCCGACGCGCGAGGTCTTCCCGCAGGCTCTAGCCGGTTGATGCCAGAGTTCTGGTATGCCACCTTTGCGACGTTCATCAAGCTGTTCAAAATGCCTTCGCCGGTAATCTCTGCCAGGGGCTGCCGATTGCGGCGCTCCTGGATCTTGAACAAGCAGTGAGTGGGGGTAAAACTCTCATCTTCCTCATCATAGACAACATTCATGTGGCCAAGCCTGTCACGCTTCTTAAGCTCCTTTACCGCGCGGTCAAATAAGTCACTGTGCGTAGCATCGTAAACATCACCCACTGACGTGTCAGCGAACCTAAGCCATGAAAATGCCTTGTCACTGTCTGCGTTGGCTCGAACGTGTTCTGGTGTCCAGATGTTCAACATGTGATTTAATGCTTTGCCGCGCCAGCCAGCTGTCTGGTTGTCACTTCCGGCTTTGTCAAGTCGGCCGCCCTCGGTCCAAACAAGAGACGGCAGCTCATAGTCCAGCAAGCTTCGGCTAGAATAGCCCACGGAAACAGTGCTGCCTTCCCTGACAAAGGAAGCGGTTTCAGCAAAGTATCCAAAGGAATATGGTGCAGTGACTTCGGCGCGTTCGAATAAATCCGGGTGATTGCAGACTTTTCTGAACTGCATAACCAGATTCATCAAGGTTCCTGAGTCCTGGTCGTCACCCATCGTCGCCTTTTCAACAAGATCCATGATGTTGATCTGATTGCGCAAGTTGCCATAATAGGCTCTCTGTCTGTATGTGAGGTCGCAGAAGACATCCAACTCGATCTTGTCGCCAAGCTCCTTCTGGACGTGCTTCTTCACACGACGCAGCATAAACGGCTTTAAAATCATGTGCAGACGCTTCAGCTGATCCTCGTTAAGCTTTGTGTTACTTTGGGCGTGGGACTCAATGTCTTTAGAAAACCATTCACTGAACTCGTCGTGGGAATCGAAGAGCGACGGCATGATGAAATGCAGCAAAGCCCACAGTTCCTGCATATTGTTCTGGATAGGGGTACCAGTCAACAACAAACGGTTTCGGCAGTGGAAGCCCAGCAGGCACTTCCAACGGGAACTAGACGAGCTCTTGATGGCTTGCGCTTCATCGAGAATCATATACTGCCATCGCATTTTCTGGAAGTATGCTACATCGGACACGACTAGTTGGTAAGATGTAACACAGACGTGGAAAGGCGCGTCTTTTCGGTACGTGGTGTGCTTCCGGTCCCAAAACTTTCTCAGCACCTTGCGGTCTCCAGCGCTACCCCAGTAGGGGAGGATTTTGAATTCGGGGACAAATTTGGCGATTTCCTGCTGCCAGTTGTGAAGAGTAGATGCGGGTGCCACTACCAAAAAGGGGCCCCAAATGTCATGCTTCTCGGCAAGGTAGGCCATGACAGATATGGACTGGACAGTTTTGCCAAGACCCATTTCGTCTGCCAGGATACCGTTGATACCTTGCTCGTAAAGATTGACAAGCCAATTGAGACCTTTGAGTTGGTATTCCTTGAGCTGGGCATTAATGAGCTTGGGCTGCTCAATCTCGACGTCACCGAGACCTGTAGGATTCTGAAAGTTCATCTCTCCCTCGTCATCCATGTCCAGGCCCTGGTTATTGAAATCGCGAGCCTTCTTTTGGGCCTCGGCAATGGCGTTTTGAGCGTTTGCCATGGCGGCGGCCTGCAGGGCAGTCTCGTCTTCGTTGTCAAAGTCTAGGTTCTCGAAGTTGGTAATCTTGGAACTTAGAGGCCCGGTCGGCTCCTGAATAGACAGCTTGTTCTCAGAGATTTGGCGCGCATCTGGCGCAATGTCGGGGTTGTCGGTGCTGCGCTCTACCTCGTCCGTCTTGATCTTCTTGCCAATAAAGTGTGAATACAACTCGGTCTGAGAAATGAGGAAATTGAGCTTTCTCTTCTGGCGAGCGGCTTCGCGATCGGCTTCTTCCTTTCGGGCATTCTCAATCTCTTGCTTCTCGGCAGCCTTGCGTAGATCTCGCTCTTCACGTTCGTTACGCTTCCAGAATCCCATCATGTCACGCATAACTCGCTTGGCGCGAGCCTGGAGATCTTTAGCGCCTTTATTCGTTCGTAGCTGCCAGCGCTTGGCCTCCTTCGACGCCAGGATGGCTGTCTTCTTGAGATTGGAGCCTCGGGTGGCATAAGAGTCGACAGCGAGCTTGAAAGTTTTGCTAACATCTTTGCGGGCCATGTCACGCCAAATCTGATCGTAAATTTGGTTGTAGCCCTTGGAGATGAACCTCTTTTCCAGATCCGGCACGTCATCGACCTTCTCCTTGTCCTTGGAAGATTCAGCCTTCTCTTTGCCGGCCTTTTCTCCGTCAGCCTTGGCTTTGCTGCCCTTGATCTTGATGCGAACTCTGCCTTCTTCCTTGGGCGGCAGCTCCTCGCCAGCATCCAAGGCCGCCTGGGCAGCCTCTGCAGAATCCTTCTCGGCCTGTTTCTGCTCCTTGGATTTCTTGGGTCGTGCGCCGCCGCGGCCCTTCTTCTTGGGAGTTTCGGCATCGGACGCCAGGAAGCTCGACATGGTGCCACCTTCGAGGTTGAGCTCGATGTTGCGGGCAGGACCCTTGATGCCCTTTTGCAGAATAAGCTTCGTTTGCTGCGCCTTTTTATTTGCCCTTTCAGCATCGCGCAGGTGCTTTTGGCGCTCCTCTTCGTCTTCGGCAGCTTCGGCCCGAGCAAGAGCAGCTTCTTTCTGTTCTATGGTGACGGCCATGGATTTTTCGCGTCGTCGCTTGCGTTGCATGTCCTTCTTGCGCTCCTTCTCGGCATACAGCTCTTGTTCGCGGACTTCATGCAAAGCTTCGTCGTAAAACACGTCGTCGTATCGTCGTTTGCCTAGGTCGGAGTGCTCGGCGAGTCGCTTTCCCGTAGAGCCAACAAATTGCTCGCGCCGGACATGGCCTCTATCCGAGTCCAGTTCAGCCATGAGGCGCTGGCGCTTGAAGGCACGCTCTTTGTAAGCTCTGTCGCTAAATTCGGTATCGTCGAGAGACTCGGCCTGCTTGTCGAGCTGTGCCTCATAGCTCTGGATTGACTTTTCCATTTCGGTAGACCAGGTCTTGGGCTTGGGCTGGCCGTTTGCTTGCCGTTTTGAGGTTATCCGAGGTGTGGGAGACTCCTTCTTGATCGATGATCGACGGCTCTTTTTTAGGCCATCTTCTCTAATTTCAGACGCACGGCCCTTGGCAGGCTTCTTGGAAATCTTTTTCTTTATGACGATTTCTGCCCTTTTGACGGGGACAGGCTCAGGCTCGGTATCAACCTCCTTCTCCATCTCGGTATCGCCATCGTTGTCGGGCTCTCGCATCTCAAGTGTAGGTGGTTCTGATTCCTTCTTGGGCGTTGGCACTTTTTCCGCAGGCTTAGGGGCGGGTTCTGAGCTGGAGAGGATGTTGGAGAAAGACATTGGATCCGCAGCGCGACTCGGGGTCTTTGAATGATACTGTCAGCACTATTGATTTTTGCGCGAAAGATTGGATCACGGAAGTCAAAAGATTCTCAAAAAAAAAAAAAAAGATGGAAGTGATGAAATAGTTAACAAGTTAAAAAGTGTGGAAAGCGAGAGCAGAAAACCCGGTAGGAAGAGAGGTTGACGGAAGCAGAATAGCTGAAGAATAGCTGAGGAAGTTTTTAGGCAGAAAGGAGGGCGAGAGGTGCAGGAAGACTGCAATGCTTAAACGAAGAAGTCGAAAACAATTGACTGATTTGCACTTACAGGAGCCGGCTTTGGCGGTGAGTGAGTGATCTCGGTCTTCATCATGGAGGGCAGCGACGTGCCGTTTGTGGAGGAGGTAGGCGCTGTCGCGGCTGCGTGCCTCGGACCTGGTGAGGTCATGTGCGAAGGCCGACTCGGCGGACTGTGGGAGCCGGTCGGAAGGGTTGGGTGAGAGTGCGAGAGAGGGCTTGCCGGTCGACGGCTGCTGAAGGAAGAGGTCCTCGGTCGAGGCGATGGATAATTGTCGCCGTTGCGGTAAGACGACTGGTGTTGCTGGTCAATTGACTGCGGGTATTGGTATGGCTCGCGGGGGTGGTATGGCTGGAGAGCGGAAGAAGAAGAAAAGGAAAATCACGTTAGAAGACGCGTTGGAAAATCAGGGATGGCGATAATGTAGCATGGCAAGGGTGGTGAATGGGAGGTTTTCGGGAAAATGCATTCAGGGTGGGGAGAAGAAGTCGTGTTCTCTCTTTCTTTTTTTTTTTTTTTTTTTTTTTTTTGCCTTCGTGGTTTGCTTTGTAGAAACGGTGGTAAAAAAAAAAAAAAGTAAAGGATGGATAGTTCAATCCAACGAGCACACACAGGCAAAGTGCATGCCGTGGTGGGCTTAAGGGCCGAAAAGTGGAAGTGCACTATGGCTAGAGTTGAGCTGCTTACCTTTGGCGTAGCCACCGGCGGCGCGTTATGCCTCGAGTCGGCGATGGGGCGCTCTTTGGTCGTGTCGGTTGTTGGGTCGTAGACTCTACCGCTGGCCGGCTGCGGCTGCTTGTCGCGCAGATGGTGATGGTGGCTGTCAGCAGAAGGCGATTGCGTCGAGATTGAGGAAGCAGATGGCTGTTGCTGCGTCGATGCCGGGGGCGGGTAGTAGGCGCTGGGAGGATGCAGCGGCGATGCTGAAGAGACCGGGCCGTAGTGATGGCCAGCAGCTGCGCCGGATGATGCCGGCGTCGACGAGGGCATGTATGGGCTGCGGCTCTGGTGCAGTCGAGGAGGCGACTGGTGATGCGGATTTGCCGTGGCCGCGTAGGGCAGCGGCGGATGGAACTCGGTCGAGGGAGACCGCAGGCTGAAGGTGGAGTGACGGTGCGAGCTGGCCGGGTTCATCACGTCGCGTCGTTCGCGCTCTCGATCTCTGTCTCGCTCTCGGTCTCGATCCCGCTCACGATCTCGGTCGTCGTCGCCGTGTCGGTGCAGCACCGTCGATCGGAAACTCGAGTCCATAGCGCTGGTGTCGGTGTCCGCCCAACTGCCAGGCGAGGCAAGTTGAGTCGAGTCGAGGCGAGGCGAGGCTGACGGGGAGACAAAAAAAAATAAAGATTAGAACACGAAGACAGAAGAGATGGCCGGCGGTGGTTGTGGCCAATATATTACGAGCTCATGTACCTTCTCTATTGTCTTTCCGCACACGCGCGCGCTGGCGACCAAGAGAGCTTTTTATTTCTTGGACCGCTCGAGCAGCAACGAGAATCAGGTTGGCAGATGGTGAGAACTAAGAGGGCGGCCAAGGATCGCGTTGGATGGGCGGGTGGATGACAAAAGCCGGAGCTAGAAGCTGGCAGGAAAAGCCTCGCCAAAAGCGATGCGAGGCTTTGGTGACGACGCAGCAGCAAATGAGCGCCGAGCCGTGCTTTGCCGACTGCGCTGCGGCTTGTCGAGCAAATGCGCAAAACAGGTCGTGTACTCGATAGCAGGCAGGTATACAGAGTCCGGAAGAGAGAATACACGTCGTGTCAATTCATGAATCAAGGTGGCTGATTGTGCGTCGGCGAGGGCAGGGACAATGCGGGATGGACGCCAAGACCAGCCAGTGGTGTGGGCGATAATGAAGGTGATGGCGATGGCTTCAAAAACACCCCAGATCGAGCTTTGCTCCAGGATGACGACGGGCACGAGGCAGCAAAATCACAGGCTCCGGGTTGACACCACTAGCACCGCTACAGATGCATTCATTGTTCACGACGGGCTACGGCTGCAAATGGAGGTCAGGCGGAGTCGCAGAGCATAGCCAGCACGGCGATGGTGGACTGATGCGTTGGCTCAAACCGAGTTCTGGAGCCGGTCAGGCCGCGCGCCCTGGGCCTTGTTGCTTGTCTGGAGATCTGGGATCTACAAGGCGAGCACAGTACATTTTCGTCTGGGGCCTGGACGTTGCCGGTGGCGGGCCAAGGAAATTGGGCCCAGCAGCGCCCGCAGTGGTGATTGGACGGTGCAGCAGGTGGGGAGCCATCATCTCATCCCTTCTTGTGCTTTGTGCCTCTCCCAGCCAGCATCGTGGGCCAATCACGGCGGCGACATACAGAGTATCACTAGCAGTAGATTGCAGCGTACAGTATTTGCCGCAGGATGGGGCTTCAGCCCCTTGGCCCGGTAAAGCCACGGAATGGAAGAACCGAGAGCGTTGATTTCGCTACGTACCTATATACGGAGCAGCAACATCAGAGATGGATACAGATGCCATTGAATTCCAAAAGCGACGTTCCAGCGTCAAAAGAAGGACGAAATCGCTGTTCTCTTTCTGCAGCAGCTCCCCATACTTCAGCCGCTAGTCTCACCCGCCAAACCCCTGCGTGCCGGCTACTGTGCACTGTACGTGTACCTGTTAGTGCCGTCCAATCTGACAGCGTCTCTTCCCCTCCGCAAAACAGTGAATATGCATTTTTGGTGCTGTATACCTAAATATCTCTCCATGCTACATAAGCCCCATATTGTCGCGATCCATATAAGTTCCTAGCAGGTACAGTATAGGGTAATACCTTGATTGTGGTACAATAATACATATCTAGTGGTAGGTATTGCGTATATTTCATTCGCTTAATAGATCTTCTACGTAGCTAAGCACGCCCTTGCTACTGCAAATACACTTCGCAGCTGCATTTGACAACTGGCTTTGCCTCCGAATAACTTGTCTCCATACATACGCACTCATTGCTTCTTCGGCCACCTCACCATCACGTCCTCAACCTCTCTCACCCCCTTAAATGTCTCTTGCAGCCCCTCATGACCAGCAATTCCGAGCTCCTTCTCCAGATCAACTACCCTCCCGGCCCAATACTCATTATCAATCGGCCATGTCCCCAGGCTCTCAAACCCCATCCGGCCATACAGCCCGATTGACTCTGCCGTTGACGCCAAAAATGTCGGAATGCCTTCCTCGTCACCCTGTTTCAGCACTGCAGCGAGCAGCTTGCCCCCAACACCTCTACGCTGATAATCTGGGCTGATCATCAAAGTATGAATATCTTTATAAATAAAAAGTCACATTAGCCATCATCCTTGTTCACCCAACTTTCAATAAAATTCCTGTTGGGCTGAGAAAACCTACAGATATGCCTCTTCCCATCCGCAGCCTTCTCGTAACACTCATCCATTTCGTCCCTCCTCTTCCCAAACTCTGTCCACAATTCTTTCAAATGCTCCTTGATCGCGGTAAACGAAGGCCCGGCAGGGACAGAAGTAGAGTCCTCAGCAGCAGCAGCAGCAGCAGCAGTAGTAGTAGTAGTAGTAGTAGTAGTAGTAGTAGTAGTAGACGCCACTTTCTCTGCCTCAACAGTGTACTTCACAATCCCAATAATATCGCTTGACTCCTCATCTACCGCGACCAACATGATGTTTTCTGGCTTTGATAACGCCACAGGTGTCGATTTTGCCAAAATTTCTCTCGGATCCAAGACGAAAAATGCACCGTAGAACTCGTGATACCGATCCAGGGCTCTATAGTGAGTATCTGCGATGGCGGCCGCATCCGCTGGCTGAGCTGGCCGTAGTTTAACTGAAGCCATTATGAACGTGTCTTTTTAAATCTCCCCTAAAGCTTTCACCACACTGATAGGCCTTAGGTTTGGCGAGAAGTTTGTGTACTTGTAAACTTTGATGTTGCAGATATTGATATCAGGTATATATACTACTCGTAACCTGTGCTGAGTAGCGGCGGGCTACCCTAAAAGACTAGGGGCCTTGATACAACCAGACACTAGGTAGGCTTAGATGCTTTAAAATTGCCGACTATTCTCCCCGAGGTGAGTCAACCGGCGCCAAATCTGGTAACAAATCCCACTAGCCGCTCCAAGAAAAAAAAAAAACTTGGACAGGAGAAAAAAAGAGAGCAAAGAATAAATAAAACAAACCCACACACTTATACGTTGTATATAACGTGTAATTATATATATATATATATATACTAATTTACGTTTAGAGAGAAAAAGAGAGAGAGAATCCTGACCATGGTCTTCACTCTCTCTCAATACATACATCACTATCAAATTCGATTCAATATCGTATGCCATTCTGGATTCATTTCATTCTGGTTTAAGATTCTCCCCATATCCTCCATAGTAAATAGCAGCAGTAGTAGTAACCCCCAAGAAAAACTCATGACACTACCGAGTCTATGCCGTAATTTGAAACAAAAAAACATTGATCATGAATGCATGCATCCTGCATCTCTAGGGTATCGCGGCCGAGCTCATGTGCACTTTTTGCGCGGCTCATCCCTGATTGCCTCTCTTTTTTATTTTGCCGCGTGTGACAATCTATCCCATATATCGCCGTTCAATTCCCTGTCATTGATCATCCGTTCTATATGAATTTCAACTGCGATTCCAATTGCAAAATTTTGTCAAAACCTTTTTTCTGCTCGTCTTGCATTTTCCGCTTTTACACGGCACCAGCGGAAATCATCTTCTTGCGAAGGTAGTTCTTGTAATCGCCAATAGTGCTGTCCCATTGGCGGATAGTCTGGTTCTCGCACACCAAAATCTGCTTCGCAATCTTGTCAAGCAATCTTTGAGGGAATGTATTAGCAACGGTTATCAAACAATAAAATAAGTCAACGTGATGAGACTCACCTGAAGTCGTGGGACACGACAATAACACCGCCGCTAAAGGCGTTGATGGCATCGGCCAAACTATCAATAGTGGGGATATCGAGACCGTTGGTAGGCTCGTCAAGCAGGAGCATGTTGGGGCCGTCAATGGCGAGCAGGGCGAAGACGATACGGCTCTTCTGACCCTCAGACAGCGTTCCCATCAGGGCGGTCTGAGAATCACCAGTGAGACCGTAGCGGCCAAGCTGCTGGCGCCAGTACTGGTAGTCTTGAGACTTCTCCTTGTATTTATCACGGACAAAGTCCAGGGCAGACTTGGTCAGGTCGAGCTGCTCGGCACTGTGCTGAGAGTACAAGCCAAGCTTTAAGTGAGTGTGACGGGTAACAGATCCGCCAGTAGGAGAGAGCTTGCCAGTCATTAATCGAAGCAGCGTTGACTTGCCAACACCGTTGGGGCCGACCAGGGCGGTTCGGGAGTCCATGTCGAAACCGAGATCCAAGTTGCGGTAGAGATCATCCTCGGGGTTGCCAGAGTAGGAGAAAGTGACGTTGTCAAAGGACAAGACGGGAGGGGGCAGCTTCTCGACATCGGCGAACCGGAAGGTGAAGACTTTGTCGGCGACAACGGGCTGGATGAAGCCGTCTGCCTCCATCTTGTCCAGAATCTTCTGACGGGACTTGGCCTGACGGACCAGGTTGGCATAGGTACCGGCGCTGGCAATGAACTTCTTGATGTGAGCAATTTCCTCCTGCTGCTTGTGGTAGGCCTTCATCTGGTTGGTCTCGTTCTCCTCGCGAGTCTTGGCGTAAGAGTCGTAGTTACCACCATAGTAGAGCAGCTGCTTCTCTCGCATGTCAATCATGTTGCTGCACACTCCGTTCAAGAAGTCCATGGAGTGGGAAACCAAAACCAGGGTACGATCCCACTTCTTCAGATACTCTTCCAGCCACACACAGGCCTCAAGATCCAAGTGAGCGGTGGGGTCGTCAAGCAGGAGTAGTGAGGGCTTGACAAACAGCGCCTTGGCCAAGGCAACACGCATTCTCCAACCACCAGACATGTCCTTGGTCTTCTTGTGGATGGTCTTCTTGTTGAAACCGAGACCAGTCAGAATGAGGGACGCGCGGGTGGAGAAGGTAGAGGGGTCCATCTTGTCCATGTGCTGTCGTGAGAAGAAAAAAAAGTTAGTACTTTATTCGACAAGTATTGAACTGCTGCAGGCAAATCGGGTTGGGGCACATACGTCATAAAGGTCAATCAAGACGGGGCTTTCAGGGCCTTCGTCTTCCAAAAGCTGCTCTGCCAACTTGTCAAGACGCTCCATTTCGTTCTCGGCCTCTGTGACAACCCATTCCAGGGCACCGAGGTCACTGGGGGGAGCACCCTCGTTCAGCAGATAAATGTCGACGTGGCTAGGGATAGGGTACTCTCTGGCAGCGATGGCCTTGAGGAGAGTGGACTTTCCGCAGCCGTTCTCACCAAGGAGACCGTATCGGCGGGCGAAAGACAGTTCAAGAGTCGAATCGGTGATGAGGACTCGGCCGTGGAACACGAGGGAGGCACTGGTGATCTTGACGTCCTTGCTCTGCTGGGTGGATGACAACACACCAGTGGTGACTCGGTCTGAGATGCCGTGCTTGTCCATCTGCTCGGCAAGGCGCTTCACTTCGTCCAGCTTGTCGTCAGTAGTGGCGGGGCTATCAGTATCCTTGACGGGGTTTCCAAAGGCATCGAGCTCAGGCTCCTGCTGCTTCTTGCTAGCCTTTCCGCCCTTCTTGTCCAGCTTGCCCTCGGCAGCCTTCTTCGCGAGTCTCTTTTCCTTGGAAGCTGAAGGCATTGTGGCGGTGTGACTTGGGGATTTCTATTCCAACTTTTGGTTTGATGTTGGGATTGAAGGAGAAAAAGAAAGATGGAACCAAAGAGCGGGAGAGTTGTAAAAAGAAAAAGGAGAGAAAAATACACCAAAAAAAGGAAGTCCCGATTTCCCAGGCGTAGTATTCAACGTCGCTGAATACCACTTTTGTACAATAGAGAAGAAGAGGAAAAAAGAAAAAATCCGGGAGGCGAAACTACGGGCTGACCAGGATGGTGGCGGTGGTTGCTGGTCTGCAGGCAAAGAGGCTTGAAATTCTTCGACATGGGCGGGGTGAATTTTTTTTTTGAATGGTGGGGCGCGGTATCAAAATTTTGGCTTTCTGATAAGGGGGCTTAGGGGAGCCACAATCAGGCATCAAACTAAGGCATGAACAGCTGTACTCTTACGGCAGCAGCATTAACAGTGGTAGCACCAAGTACCACTAGCAGTGCGCCAATTGCTACTATCCTCGTAGCTCATGAGGAAAAAAGAAAAGTTCAAGAAAAGTTCAACGCTAGTTCTATTTGCTTCTCCTTGCCTCTTAAATTTTATGGACGCCGCCTGTATCCCAATGTATCACTTCCCCCCCTTCCCTTTTCTTTCGGCTTATAAGGTAGTACTCAGGTATGCAAAGAATAGTACTTGTACGTAGCACTCTTAAGCAGCTTGACGTCACAACTTGCCTTAGTGGGTCAGCCATTATCAGACACGCTGTATCAGAGTTTTCTCTGCTTTGGTACAGCGAGTTTCCTAAGCGACCTAATAGGTATCTGAGAATAGCGATCTTTAAGCGAAGAGATACACCTAGTAAAAAGTATCAATACTATGGTTGCAATAATATTATTGCCGTAGTGCGCGTGATTGGCAAAGCTGTGTACTTGTGAAGAGTAAAACGCAGTGCAGAGCAGTGTCGCGCGTCTATGGCTTAGTAAGTGCCTCTGTTCTATTGGAGTATCGGTCCGGGTAAACGGCTGCCCGATAGCCAATCAACATGGCTCAACGCAGAACCATGAGTGCGAAGTTGCATGCTGGGCACATGTGAATAGTTGATAGGTACCTTACCTATGGTGATGAATATTATACATACCTATTTCAAGGCCAATCATTTACCAACTCAAGTCGCTTTCTTATCCCAACGATTCACATTGCCCTGAAGAATGTATCCAGTGTACACTATACTTAGCAATAAGTACATGTAGTCCCAAGACCCCAGTCGCTATACTCTACAAAAACCATATTTTCACAGAAATCAGCGTAGAGTCGGTGACAAAGATATAATGTGATGCTGCATCTATGAAAGGGCTTGTGCTCCTGAATAATTTTTATACACCTAGCTGACAGCTAGTGAGTCTATTGACAGGGATCCTTTCCCTCCCTTGACACCAACACACAGCTCCTCCAGCTTTGCGGATAGCTGCCTGAGCTAGGATAGCGTCCATCTGAGTCCAAGGGGAATTATATTATATTACACAAAATACAGTCCAAGTGTTCATCTCATTTTGCTTCTATTACTTCAAGATTACACACAACAACATCCTTCAACCTTGACGGAAACCTACATTAGACTTGCCCATCTTCCTCAAAATTTCCTAGAGTATGTACACAGTTCTTTTGCATAAAGAGATCATTATTGAGTGCTGCTGTTTACTAAACAACGCCGAGGCCGAATAGGACTTTTGCGAGTCCGACGGCTGCAGCCCAGTTTAATTAGAATGTGGCCGGTGCGGCATTGTGTAACAGGAATTCATGGTGCGTACGGGAATACGGAGTCAAACAAAATTCATGACGTGCGTCTGAGAGCCCTACGACTGAACGAAGTTGGGAAAAGATCGCCTTTGGCCACAGTTTGTCTTGGTGTTTGGCCATCTAGCCTCTGTAGCTGAGTAGATGAGGGGGGTTGGTCATGCACTCATTTTGCTTTTACAAGGCTATCATGGAAGCCAGTAGAAAAAGGCAGCATAAAGAAAGAGAAAGGTACCTAGCGAGACAGCCTGAAAAATATAAAGAGCGCTGCGAAGTATTTAGTGACGATTATATACACGTACCGGTGTAGTTGACACTCCGCTCTATCCCCCCCGCCCCGTGTTATGAAGACATAGGCCACAAAGCTTCCACAAGAGAATTATACTCGATACACATGGACTTAATAAGCACTTATATCCTCAAATGGAGAGAATAAATCTACATACAGTCCCAACCCTGGGCTTTAACGTTGCATAATTGAGCGATAAAAGCATAGATCGTGGCTGAGGCTGAGTTTGGTTCAATCACGTCAAGCATCATGATGTTCCATTACAGCACTATATTACATATGACTGCATATCTAGCTGGTAAGCATCTCTAGACCTTTGGGAAATCTCTAGCCCTGCACGGGAAGCTGCCGTAGCACAGATGACACAGCTTCCGCCATCTCCTCCACAGAATTAGGTCTTTGCGCTTCATCCTTCGCCGCGCTTCTCCTGAAACGTGGCGGCCTATTGGTATTTGGCGTCAACTTTTACATCCCAAATCTTTCTCCTGAATCGCTGTTACACATGATGTGGGCATGAACAAACAACAAGCGGGAGCAAGCAGAATGACAATAGAAATGAGAAGGGAGCTGAAGCATTGTCGGACTCACCGCTCACGATTAAACGGCTCCTCGCATTATACAAACTTGTAAATGGACATGTCGTGCGCGAAATACGGAAAAGCGCGGTTTCATCCTCTCCTGTAATTGGCCTCAATACGAGTATTCCATTGAAGCAGCCGCATCTCCTTACTCGCGTACTTTACAAAGAGGACGTCAACTTGTATCTTGGTAGGATTCCCTTCGTCTAGCCTGAGGAGAAGGAATAGAAACATGTAGGGAAGAGGAAGAAGTTGGAAGTGGCTTTGCTGGTGACATGCCTGTCTGGAAAATTATATAAGGAGCGAAGAGAAACCAGATTCTGGTAGATTGAACAGAGAAAACAACAACTCACGCCAACTATCATCACAACAGCTACCTGTTCTCAGTCAATCTTCTTTCTAGTCTATCTTCACTTTTCCCACCTACACCATCTGTATGCATTCCATCTCGGAATATCATATTATTTTCTACATCTTGGATTTTGTTTCACTTACCATTCTGTTCTCCTGCTACTCTTTCTGTTTTATTAGCTTGATTTACTTTTGCATACCTGTGCCCAAATCCTTTGTCTGGTTCGGTCCAATACCATGAAGCTCCAATGGATTTTGGGCCTCTTGGCAACCGCCTGCACCGTCGTCGCAGCCCCCTCTGCTAATCATTCCCTCGGTATTCCCCCTCTTGGTCTTGACAATCGTGCCATTGGTCCTGCCATCCCTTCCCTCCCGGATAGCGGCGATAGGTGTGATTCCCAGCCACAGCCTGAGCCGCGATTTTACAACTCTGTCACGAAAGGTTAGTGAAACCGCTGTCCTTGGGCTTCACAACATTGCCGCAGACTTTGCTAATAAATGCTGAACTGCAACCTGTGTAGGTTTCTATGTCAACGGCACCACTCTCCCTGAGATCAACTTTGATGTGGGCGAATCGTACGCTGGTAATCTCCCTGTTAGCACCAAGCCCGGCGAGAGTGATGAGCTCTTCTTTTGGTTCTTTCCGACAGCCAACAAGGAGCACCAGAATGACAAAGAAATTGTCATCTGGCTCAGTGGCGGCGTAAGTTCATCTGCGTCTACAAGCTTCAACCTTTTGCTCATTCAGTATGCTAACCAAGAAACGAATTCATTATAGCCCGGATGCTCGTCCATGTTGGCTATACTTCAGGAAAATGGTCCCTTCTCATGGCAACCCGGGACATTGAAGCCCACCCCCAATCCCTTCAGTTGGCACCTCCTCTCCAACGTCGTTTGGATCGATCAGCCTGTCGGCACGGGTTATTCCAAGGGCGAGCCCAGCATCAAAGACGAAGACGAGCTGGCCGAGCAATTCATGGGTTTCTGGCGCAATTTTGTTGACACCTTTGGCATGCACGGTTGGAAAGTCTACATCGCAGGAGAATCTTATGCCGGCATGTACGGCCCATACATCTCCAGCCATTTTATCGACGCAAAGGACCCAGAATATTACAACATGCGGGGGTTGCTTGTTTACGATGGAGTCATGTTTGACTCGATTGCGCAGAGCAGCATCCCAATCCTGCCGTTCATCAACCGCTATCAGGATATACTTCCTTTTGATGACCTTCAGTTGTCTAAGTTCCGTGGTATCCATGAAGATTGCGGCTTCACCGATTACTTTGACAAATATCTTGTCTTCCCCCCCTCGGGAATACAGCCTGGCCTCATTCCGGGCGCCAACAACGAAACCTGCTCTAATTTATGGGATACAGTGCGTAATATGGCTTGGATGGCGAACCCTTGTTTCAACACGTACAATATCATCGACTACTGCCCCTTTGTTAACAGCGTAGGTGCTAATCCTGTCAACAACACCAACGGAAGTGTCCCCTATTTTGACCGCCGCGAAGTCAAGATTGCCATTCATGCCTCTCCTTCAACAGATTGGGTCCCGTGCGCCACTAAGTCTGTCTTCTTGACCAACGACAGCAAGGAACAATCTTCTGTCCCCCCAGGACTCAAGCAGCTCCCGAATGTCATCGACACAACCCAAAATGTCATCCTCGCCGCAGGTGGTGTCGATATATTGGTTCCCTTGAACGGAATAGTGCTGGGGATTCAAAACATGACGTGGGGTGGCAGGCTGGGCTTCCAATATCAACCGCAGGACCCATTCTACGTACCAGACTACGGAATCACACGCATTCCGGGTGGTTTCACTGGATATGGCTCCAACCTACCAGCATCGCATGGCGTTCTGGGCACAACCCATCATGAACGAGGTCTCACACTCGTAGCGACAAAACTGGCCGGACACCAAGGACCCGAATTCGCACCTGCGGCTGCGTTCCGCCACATAGAGAAGTTGCTGGGAAGAGTGAAGAGCCTAAGCAACACAGAGTCATTTACTCTTCCAGGGTTACGAAACATCTCTCAGCCAGCTAGCACGACTTTGGGCAAGGGTACCATGCCGATCCCCTAGCTCCCTAGGTATGAGGGGATACACCTCGATATGGCGGATGTGTAGGTATCCAGGGTGAGATGGACCACGTATAGATGGGCAGTTTTAGGACAAGAAAAAAGTGTAGGTACCAAATGGTGAGATGGGGTGATCTATTGGAGGCGCCGAAGCAGTTCAAAGTCAGTGTTTCAAACAGATACTTTGCAATACAATCCCTCATACTCGCCTTAAAGTTTGGAACTTTCCTCTGTCTCGTGTATAACAAAGTTGCCTTTACTAGATGTCCCAAGGTCGTGTTTTCTTTGTTACCCTTCCATAGTTGACCCACAGAAATACTTGATCGCGTTCTATAGACCGTTACTTCGCTCTCAGACGAACTTAAGCAATTTGATTGAAACTCTGCATATTGCTCTTCATCACCTCCATTCGTCATCTCATATAGTTGGCCAAATCATCAGTATTAGCGTGCTTATTCCAAAGAATTGGTATATACCCAGACTGTAATTAAGGCCATAAGTAGCCCAGTCTTTGACAGAAACAAACCGCTACATATCTCTATATATCATTTAGCGGCTCATACTATCCTATTACTGACGGCGAGTCTTTGTTAATATGATGCGTGTAAGGAGCAGAGAACCTGCGAGCCAATATAAATAGCACACATTTTCAGTTACATTCCATGGAACTACAGAGGGGGAAATCGAAAATTTAAACTATATGTGTATCTTTAACTTAAGCTTATTTACAATCTTTAAATTTATCACTCACTAAATGAGAGACCGGTTATACCTACTAAAAGACCCGCCATTGTGCTGCCCTTTATCCACTCTGCTAAGCTGAGAGGAGAAATTCTCATTATAGCGCCTGTGCCACTGTAGTCAGTGCTATCATTAGGATATTGATTCCACAGTCCTGATGATCCTTCACATGCTATATTTTGGCGGTTATTGCGCTAGTAGTTGAACATTATGGTGCACAGGCAGATAAATAATCCTTACAAAGACACATTTATTACATAAGACACAAGACAAAGACACACAAAGGATTTATAAAAGCGCTGCTTCATTCATCGAACCAAAAGCCGATCTGACTATAGCCAAACTACGTACATTTTTGCTCCTCCAGTTAGACACAGGGCCAGCGTTGCTGTAGCCCCATCCCCCTCAAGCCAATAGGAAAGACAAAAACAGAGAGAGAGAGAGAGAGAGAGAGAGAGAGAGAGAGAGAAATAGTCTAGAGAGAGACAGAAACACACACTGCCAGCCTCGTCGAACCACTTCGTTTCCCATCTTTCAAATCTCAAAGGAAGCAAGTCAGCCGGGAACAAAAGATACAATTAGAAGAGAAGAACCAAAAGCAAGATCAAGCAGGGCTTGACGGATCACCCATACTGCCACTGCCGCCGCTACCGCCGCTACCGCCACTACCGGAGCTCCCTCTGCTGTCATGAACGCCGAATCGCTTCGTATACATGGGCCGTCGCGCCATGTTCATAGCCATGCCAACGGGAGACCGGGGCTCCTCATCGCTCGGCTGAGTGAAACCACTGACATCGCTGAGCATACTAGAGCTACGACCTCGCGACTTGATGCCGCGATTCTCGAAGGTGGTCATGGGCGGCGACTGCCATGCAGCAATCCCGGGCAGAGTAAAAGGGAGAGACGAGGTTGAGTGATTCTCGCCGTTTGGCAGTGGCACGAACATGTTGGGCGGAAAACCAATCGGGTTGGGATGCCAGGGGGGTTGCGGTTGGCCCTGAGGCGGGGGAAGTTGCTGCTGTGGCGGCCGCGGTGACTGAAACGCAGGATGCGCAGCCACGGCGGTGGGATCGAGAGGGGCCATCTCAACGGGCATGCTACTAGCCTGGCTCAAGAAGTTTTGAATTCCTTGTATCTGATTCTGGAGGCTGCGGATATGCTCGACCTTTGCATTGTTCGCTGCATAAATCTGCCCGAGCTGATCATGGTAGGCCTTTTCCGTATTAATGACCTGCTCCTGCCAGTTCGCGCGCTCACGCCTTCGCCGCTCCACCTCGTTGAGGCCTCGATTGTTTGCATCAGCAATGTTGGCAAGCTCGTTTTCGACTTTGGCGATGCGAGTGGCGATCTTGTTGCGCTTGGTGATTAGGTTGCTGTTCTCGTTTTCCTTTGTGTGAACTTCAGCCTCTAGCTTCGCCTTGTATTCCCGGAAACTCTTCTGAGCTGCATCATATAACTTCTTCTCATTGGTGTAGGTCCGTTCCATTCCTTGCTTCTTCTCGGCTAGTTCAGGAGAGCTGTCAAACTTCTTAAGCTGCTCGATTATGGTTTCCGTTTCGCGTTCGGCCTGTGCTTTTTGTATCTCTTGCTGGCGGACTTTTTGTCTATACTTGTCGTCGTTGTGGCCGGCCGAGCCTATCTGGTTGTCCAGGAGTTCGTTCTCCTTCTTGAGAGCGTTGATTCGCGACTTCCATTCCTTACGCCAGGTCTTGAGGCGATTTTTCTCGTCGTTGAGCTTTGCTTCAGCGGCCGCAATGGAAATACGAAGAGTGGTAGCTGGGGAATCGGGCTGGAGGGATTGCTGGCTCCCAGACACAGCGACAGGCGCACTGTCATTTTCGCGTGCTGGCTCTTTAACAGTGCGGATATTCGTCGAGAAGATGACTTTGTCAGTCCTCGTGTCCACAAACTCACACACGTATTTTGATGACGGCCGGAGGCCATAAATGTCTCCCGTCCAGCGAGTTTCACCTCCTCGGCCGCTATCGTCTTCATCAACAACTGGAAATATGCGAGTGGGCTGCCAAAACGCATTATTGACCTTGACGTAGAAAGGTTTGGACGTGTCGATGCCAGCAGGTCGCGTGATGGGTTGTCCGTTGGCGGTAGTAAGGGGCAACGGCACGTCATCGACATCGGGGAAATTGCTGGTGTTAAAGCATGCTTCGTCGCAGCCAATATACGATATCCATATTTGCTTTGGTTGAGTGTTGAAAGGTGCATTTCCCAGATTGTGTATGTCTGTCGTGTTGACGCCAAGTGACTTCGAGGACACGTGGGACGATTCGTATTCCTTCATGACAACAATCTTGGTACTGGCCAGCGCTGCCCACAGCGGCTGCTGCAGTCTGACTTGCGTACCCTGCTTTCTTCTTTTCTTATTGGTGGGGGGTGGAGGTGGGAGCTGAGCACATCCAGCCTCCGTGTCCGGAGTGTTGAAGCCAGTATCGTGCGGAACTTCGCCATTAATGGATATGGTAGCCACAGATTTCCCAGCCTCGGGGTCATGCTGGCCAGCTGCCGCGCTGGCTTTTTCCCTCCTTAGATACCATTCACGGATGTATCTGACGAGCCCCTGAGTTAGAATATGAATGGCTAATCCACTTCGCACCCACGCAAATGCACTTCTCTTATCGTGCATGAGCGATGTGGACTCCAGCGTGCCTCTCAGGGCAGAAGGGACCGGCCAGTCTTCGGGGATGTGCCTGGCAAAGCGGGACCAATGGCTTCGCGTACTGCGGATGAACTGGTTTCCCGCAATCCAGACAACACAGGTTGTGATTCCTCTCGAGCTGCCATTCCGATAGGTAGCACCGCCGCCGAGAGTGATGGCAATGATGGGCTTGGCAAGATCCAGAATAGCGTCCTGGATTGGCTGCCAGAGAAAAAGCCAGATGAGGAGGAAAAAGAAATCCATGCAAAACATGGTGACGAAGGAAGGCATGGTTGAGTGGCCATCAAAGATTTCGGCAAAGTTGAGATTGATGCCCGAGCTCGTCGTCACGGTGGGAACGAAGGTCAAGCAGGTAAAGATGCCGTAGATGATGGAGAGGGAAAGAGTCGGGAGTTGCATGAGGATGATGAGGATGGCGAGCGTATCCTGCATTGGCAGGGACTTGAGGACAGTGGCCACCATGTCGAGGGGGCTCGAGTCGCGGTGCACATCGGTGTTCTTCAAGGCATTAACGTCGATCTGGCGATGGCCGCCATCGACGGCGCCGCCAGATGCCATGTGGGAGGTGCACGACTCGGAGGTGGACGTCTCAGAATCGTTGCCGACAGAGGACCTGCGGGTATCGGCGGTGCGGTGGTCGTGGCTGGCGAAGTCGATGCTGGACTTGGAGCTGCTGTTGGGCACGCCCTGCGTCACAAGCTGCGGCCCTGCGTGGCCGGCGCCATGGTCGGCGGGCCTCGCAGGGCCTTCCGAATGATTGAGGCTCTTCCTGCCAGTGGTTCGTTTCGCCGGGCCTACGAGCCCATTCTCGTGCTTCGTGTCGCGATGACCGGCGCCACCTGTATGTCGCTTGCCCGATCCTGATGCGCGAGGCATGCGCGGCGTGTGCTCTCCCCCACTGACTGCCGAGCAACCCTGGGAACCTCTTCCAAGGCCAGGGGCAGCAGCAGCGGGATGGGAGGAGTATCCGGTCTTTGCGTGCGGTCTGCGGCCCTCGACGCTGGTGCGTGCGTGCGTGCGTGCGTGTCCGAGAAGATGTATGGTGGGGGGGAATAAGAACAGGTCTGCAAGGCAGATGGAACAAAAAAGGGATCAAAAGGCTGCTAATTCCAAGATTTTGTCGTCATACGAGCGCAGTGCGGTCTGGCCGCGGCACAGAGGCGAGCGCCTGTTGACCGTCCGGTGCGTAACGAGTTGCCGGCCGTCAGCAGTCGCGGCCGGTGGTGGTGACAAATTGCGTTGTTGAAGGAGTGAGATTTTGATCAAGTAGAAGATGTTGGAGGTGGTGGAGGAAGCGAAAAAAAGAGAAAAGCCGACTACCCACGAACCGGGGATTATTGCTAGGCGGTAGCGGACGTGCAACTTAGAAACTTGTAGGGCCTTTGGGCGGCTTCCAGGGCACAGGAGGCGCTAGGGCGGGCCCTGGATCTACCGTTTACAGACGCTAACTAGGAGACTTGTGGAGAGCGTCACAAGTACAGAGGACAAAGCCAAGATTCGGCGAAGGGGGGAGATAGGAGAGACGGTGCCAGGAAGACGCTGTTGCACGAGGCTTTGCTGATATAATTTCCTCTTCTTTTAACTGCATTTTTTCTCAGGCCGAAGCAATCAATTACGCGGATGCTGCGAGGACGCCTTGGAGTAATACTGCCTATTTGCCAGCCACTGAAGTATGGAGTACTTGCACGGAATATTGTCATTGGGCACTGCTAGGGTCGGCCAAATGGATTAGCACCCTATATCCAGCCAGTAACAAGAATATGGAAGCTGTTAACAGAGACACTATTGTCAACCTCGAGGCTCCCGTCTCTTTCAGAGTCTCGCATGCCGTGCAGAGCAATACCTGTAGCATTAACAGCGCTAGGCAGAATATGCAAGTCCACTCCAGCACGCATGTCATAACACTAGAACAAGGGCTAGCTGGCGAGGTTCATACAGTTGGCAGGATTCAATCACGGCAGAAAGGCCATATCGTGCTGCAAGCGCGGCAGCTAAAGTAGACAGGGGGAGAGACTCATTCATGCTCTAGCCCAAGGTCAGTATTGCTAGCAAATGCCGAGCGAAATCCACCGAGCAAGCCCGACCCAGTACCTATGGATCTGCGCGATAAGTATTTTGTTACCGAGTACCTTCGATGTAGTGTTAGCAGTAGCACATCCTACAGCTGTGTGTATTTGTATGCTGGTTTCCAACTCAAGCGGCGCCTGAAACCACTTAGGGGGGACAAACAGCCCCGGAAAGACAGCACACAGCACAGCACAGCGCCGCAAGCTGCGCTTGTCGCTCCCGGAGCCGCCGGATCAGCGGGCCAACAAGCACTGAATCCTCAAGCCAATTTAGCGCAGCAGCTGAATCTGATGTCTGGCCACGGCCACGCGTCGGGACTTGGATTGAGGCTGTCGGCTGTTGGCCGCCGGAAAAACTCTCGATAGGCTGGGCCGCTGCTAGGGCAGGTTAAGCTTTTTGCCCACGGAAAGGAGGGCCAGCGGCAAGGGATCTGACGTCGATTACCCCAGTTCAGTGCTGTTGGCTGTGGCTGTCAGTGCTACCACGTACCGAAATGAAGAGGGGAATATCCTGTGCTGCATCATGAAGCAGAAAAATGAATGCATCAAGCAGAAGAGAGAGCGGGTTTAACGCTCCATGCATTCCACGGACCAAAAATCCAAGAGCCCCCAATCAAGGCCTGGGGAAAAGAGAAGAATGAGGGCACGCGCTCCGTGTTTCGAAAAAGTGCTGCTTGCGTCCATGTACTTGGTACTTGTGCATCGCCTTGTTTGCACGTGCAAGCATTTTTTTTTCCAGTGCCCCCCCCGCTTTCAGATGCTTCACAGAGAAACGGCCATTTTCGTCCCACTCACACACGAGCTTCTCTCTCTGATTTCTTGTTGCCTCGCTTTTATGCGCTAAAAGAGGGGACAAAAAAAAATCTGATGGAGCCTCCAATTTCCCGGCTCAAGATAGTACGATAGTAGCTCTCACCTTTTTTTCTTGTCTAAACAGCGATCACCAAGACTAGAAGTGGAGGCACAACCAGACGCTGGTTAAACTTGCTGCCGCTACCGCTGGTTGGCTCGCCTCTGAGCACTTCTGCCAGTTGAATCCCACCCCCACTGCTCATCACTGACTGCCGATGCAGCTTTGATGTTTGACTGCCCACCGCCGCATGGGCTTCGAATCCCACTAAAGGAGGCTACAGGAGGCGTCGAATCAGAGGACGAGCAGGGCGCGTGAGAATCAGCGTGAGCAGAGCTGTTACATACTGTAGCATGCTGGTGCCACTCCACTAATACCACTGCTAGCAATAATACCTACCTATTGATGACTCTAGGCCTACATGGTACTCTATCCATATGCAGTTGTCCGCTTCTGACCGCTCCATGGCTGGGTATCGCGATGGCCTGTTCTGTTTCCCTTGTGGCGCGGCCGCTAACGCTGCCGTGTCAGGGTTACAGCAAATACAGTATAGTATACTAATCGAAGAAGAGGTAGAAATCTCCGATCCAGCCTCTCAGCCGCCAAAACGCTAAACGGGGCTTGCGAAGCTAGCAAATTGAGCTTACGGCATACAGAGAGAGCGGCGCGTAGCACCATCAACATACTCCGTACACGTGCTGCCCCGTGGAAAGAGGAGCACGCACAGCCAGCCATGGATCCCCTAACGGACGATTCTTCGAGTCACATCTGCCCGGAGCGAAGGATGCATACTCCGTACAGCGTGCTAATCATGCTGGCAGCAGGGTTTCTGGCTGGCCCAGAATTGTTTCTCCTCGGGCCGCGATACCCCGCGATAGACATTTTGAGCATGGAAACTGATCGTCGCCGACTAGGGATTTTCAGGACGACCAACGTGACCTCCATACTCATCCTAGACGACGGGTGGTGTCATTCGCTTGTGGGCTAGCAGAGAAGGCGGCATTAAGAGCATGCGGCGCCGATGAGCGTTTGAGGGATATGGGCTAATCTAAAGGCTCCGATTACCGCGATATTCGCCATGATCTTGAGTATTTGCGTCCTTTGTAGTCGAGTGTTTGGTTTACAAATTAGACAACAGAAAGAAACTAGGTGTACCTAGAGCGAAACAAATTTGCGACTAGGTGGGCTCGGCAGTTTGACTCTGAAATGCCAATAGGCTTTACCGGCTGCTACCTTGAGTGGTAGTACAGAGCACATATTTGGCAAGGACCAAATCCTCCTGCCCCCCCTCTCTTTTACAGAGTACTTATCGCTTGACTCGAACATGTCGAGGGTGCAGATGGAGGGTAAGAGACGGCCACATCTCAAGTCTATACCCGGATCAAGGTGTAAGCGTGGCACTTGATGGAAGGCTGGAAGCTTCTCATCCAGTCGCTGTGCGTGAAGCCATCACCAAAGCCCCCTTTGTGCTGCGGAAAGGGCGCTTTCACGACGCGACTAGTAGGTACTACATGTATATTCTGCTACAAGCGCCTAAGCAGCATTCACCTGGGTATCGTCGCCTCCCCATTTCTTCTTCTCCCTCCGCTTCTCCAGCTCCTCCGCCTTAACAGCCCACACGCTGCGCTCCAGATCCCACAGCGGCTGCATCACCTTGCTGACAACCTCGTCAAAGATGGCACTCTGCGTCTCATCGCTGGCCCTCCGTCGCTGCTTGAGCTTCCCGTGTCCCCAGTATGGCTTTACGCTAATAATGCCCGTGCTCTTTTGCGCGTTTTCGTCTGTCTTCTTCCGCTTCTCCTCTTCGTATTTCAACATCAGGTAATCGACTCGTGCTCCGCCAACGTAATTGCCCGAACCGACTGTAAAGAAGCGCGTCTCGCCAATGGTGTAGCCGCTGACGCGGTTGACACCCATTGTTGTAAATGATTCGATTGGGAGGCGGCGCGGGCCATTGACCGTTTTCTATAGACGTCTTTGTGTAAGTTGTACGCATCCATGGAAGTTTAAAAGGGGGGGGGGGGTTATATCGTAGGCTATTTACATTAATGACCCCTCTTGGGGGAGGTGATCCGGGGAGGATGACTTGTGTTTCTCGAATGTCAATGTCCTTTGCCGTCTTCAGCTCCGGTATTCTCTCCTTGAGCGTCTCTTCGAATCGTGTTGTCGCCAGCTGTAGCAGCACCTCGGGTTTGATAATACCAGTCTACCACCCCAAAACAAACATCGTCAGCTCAACAAAACTTTCCAAAAAAAAAAAAAAAAGGAATTCCCTCCCCAACGAAGAAAAAAACTCACCCTCTTCTCATCTAAATCCTTATACAGCTCCCCCTTCCCCTTCAAACTCCTCTCCCTCCTCCTCACAACCTCCCCCTCCCACGCATCCAGCCTCGCCACCACGCCGCCCTGCCCGCCCCAGGCGACAACCTCCTTGAGCACGTCGCCTATCCTACGCACCTCCGCGACGGAGCACCCCGCAAAGACAATCACCCCGAGGTCGTGGTACAGGTGGATGGCGCTCTGCTGCAGGGCCTTTGCCGAGACGTTGCTCGAGGGGCCGCCGATGGGGACTTCGAAGAGGCGCCGTGGGCGGATGGTCTGGAAGCGGACGAGCGTGGGGAAGACGTCGAGGGCTGGAGCGAGGCGAGGCATGACGGCTGAGGGGGGGTGGATTGTCTCTCTCTCTGTGTGTGTGTGTGTGTTTGTGCGGATTATGAGGTATTTAGATTTTGAATATTTTTCTTTTTTTAGGGTGCTGTATTAAGAAGCAATGGCTCGTCAAGGCGAAGTTTGCGCAATCATGATCTTTTCTTGTTCCTCTTTTTTTGTTACAATCGATATCGATTTCAGAGGGAGGTGATGAAATTCAGCCGATGGAGTTGCACCACCTACTCAATTGTGGCGTTTCGTCAGCCTTGCATTAGAGCCTGCATTTGATAGGGTCTCGTGCTAAGTACTAGCAGTAGCCGTATTACATAGTAGTCATACTTGCTATTAGCTGAAGCTTCGAATGGGCGGGGCGCGCGTCAAACGATGATCAATGGCGGAGCTTCATCTACTGACCTACACATTGCATATCATTCTTTGCTTGGAAGCACTTGACGTGCTTGAACCATGAATTCTTAAATGACAACATGTCGAGTTTTAATCCTGAGCTCAGAAGGCAAGTCATTGCCATCTATAAAGGTTTGTTGCACAGCTCTCTCTCTCTCTCTCTCTGTCTTCTTCCTTGCCGAATCACAGTCGGCCTCGCCTTCATCGTCGCATCATGCATCGAAAGAGAAAGAAACTCTGCATCTCATCCCCCATAGCCACTGCCTTGACCCCATTATTATTTGCACCAACGAATACAAAAAAAAAAAAAAAACACACCTTCTTTTATAAGCATATCATTAACCATCTTCTCTTTAGAGCTCCTCTATCTCGGCCGTGAATACCCCCTCGGCTACTCCTTCTTCCGCCCCCGCCTTCACAAAGCCTTCATGTCGCGTGCGGCTGAACGAGACGAGGACAAGATTCGCTCTGGCATCAAGCAAGCTGAATTTGTAAAGAAAGGTGCGTCTTCAGTTTTACTTCATTTCTCGCCTGGGCATGTGTGAAGCTTAGGGATTGACAACTGTGTGTAGAAATCGAAGCTCTGTAAGATTTATTCCCGAGTGCATCCATTGTGAAGATTCATTTTATGAAAGACATCATAAAAAAATACCGTACACAGTCACATCACACCACATCTAAAAAAAAGGAGCTTCATGAGCATAAAGTAACAATCTGTTTACTTAAAACACCCTGTTCACAGCCATAAAACCCGCCTTCCACATCCGCACCACAAAAATATGCACTCATTCTCCCATTCCGCAGCATTCCATCCACTAACCCACATCTCTCCTCCTTGCCGTTGGGGTATAATAGGTATTATTTGAAACGATATCGAACATTGAGAAAACGATATGATGGCGATGCTTGAGTGAAAAAAAAGAGAGAAAAGAAAGAACGGAGGAAGCAAGATTATCGTTTGATCTTAAAGGAAATTGGCAGTGAGGATTGTAAGAATAAATAATGTTGATGTTAAAGAAAAAAATGGGGCGTAATATATAGATAAGTAACGAAACAAAACCAACATAAAAGAGAGAACATCTCTCGCTAAGTAAGCTCGCGGCCATAAATGCATATCAAGGATGTACAAAAACATTCATATCCAGGTAATGTCTTGTTTCTTTCTTCGTACCACTATCGCAGTAAAAAGAGAAACAGCAGAGAGGGAAGAAAAGAAAAGCCAAAATATCCAGAGGTATTCCGTCGCAGCACACATATATATATGTATATATATATATAAACTTTTTTTATTTCCCTTTTCATCGCGCAAATATCTCTCTCATCCCGTCACCTTCTTCTTCTTCGCATACCAGGCCCCAAACTCGAGACATTCGCTCAAGGACGTCCTGTTGTCATCCATCAGGTCGCTCATCATCTTACCCAGCCACATGTCCCACTCGTCCTGGCTCTTGCCGCTGACCTCGCGCAAGATGGGCTCGAGAGCCTGAATCTCTTGCACTTGAGTCAGCAAGGCCGTCTGCCGCAGGGCAATCTGCCCCGCCGTCAACGTCTTCTTGTCTGCTCTCGGCGTTGGCGGCGGTTCCTTGCCCTTGGACTCGGTCTTGGCGTCGGTGGTGATGACACCGCCGATGCCCTCCTTCTCCCAGCGGAACTCGCTAAGGGGGAGGGCTATCCGCCGCGAGCGGACATCACCCAAGGTCTCGTACTCCTGTAAGAGGGTAGGGCCAATGACGGTGCACGGGAGAGGGTGGATGTCAAGGGCTTCCAGTGCTTTTGATAGCCAAGAGTTGTATTCATTGATGTAGTCGTTCGACGGGGCTGTAAGGGGGGTCTGAGGGTTGATGACATAGGCGCCGAGGCTGGCAGCGGCTGCCTGCTGTTCGGCATCTTCAGCCGAGACTGTGGACGTGGGAACGTGAGGCCGCAAGCTTCGGATAAGATGATCTGAATCCCACATCTCAAACGTTCCCCCAGGTCTGACCATGCGGACGCACTCCTCGATAAAGGTCGGCATCATCTTGTTCGTCACCGCGTAGCTTACGTCCTTTACCATGACAAGGTCGTATTCTTCCGAGGGGATCGGCCACGGGATCTGGCGGAGGTCGTGCTGGATAAACTTCCACTGCATGTCGCCGCTGGGCTTCATGGCGTCGTCGGAGGCGCTGGAGCTGCTGTCGGGCCCCAGGGGCGCAATGTCGATGCCCGTGAAGGACAAACCACCATGGCCGCGACTCTTGAAGTACTGGTGGCACATGGTGCTCCAGAAGCCAGACCCGCACCCAATCTCCAGCACGCGCTGCGGCGGCTTCTTGATCAGGCCCGGCGACAGAACCGGTGCGCCAATGACCTGGATCAGCAGCATCGTCCGCAGCGCCTGTCTATGCAGCTCGGTGAGGTCGGAGGGGAGGGGATACGGGAGGGTTTCATCGTTGAGAAAGGTGCGGCCATTGCGTTGCACAAAGGGCCGTGCGGCGACGAGGCTGGCCGAGGGATCGGTAGAGAGGACAGTGCGCGACGAGGTTGAGGTTTGGCCGCTGGCGGACGAGACGGACTCGGCGCGGCTGGCCGGAAAGCCCGTCATTTGTCGCACAAACTTTGTCGGGTCGGGATCCTGTGCATTTCTCGCCGCGCCCGCATCGAGGAGCGAGCCGCTGAGCCTGGCGCGATGCAGGCGGGAGAGGGTCCTGGCGGCCCTTCCTGGCGTGGGAGGCTGCGGCGGGAGCTGCGCCGATGCGTGAGTCGAGGCGAGGGGAGCGAGGGGAGGCGGGTTGTGCTGCTGATTGCTGCCGTGCTTGTTGGAGCTGCCGCCGCTGCTGCTGCTGTTGTTGCTGATGCTACTTGTAAGATTAGGAGAAGAGGTCGTGGTGCCGGCAGTATTAGAAGCTGCGGCGTTGGCGCTGCCCTGGGGCTGCCCCACGGGAGCAGGCGCGGCGGGGCCCTGCGAGTACGAGCTGGACAGCGACAGCTGGCGCGCCGTGTAGTGCGACGAGCGGCTGCTCATGGACGCCTGGTCGCTGCTGGAGCTGCGCGAATGTCGCCGCGCCGCCAGGGACCCGTCGGGCGTGGAATTGGGGCGCCGGGCCTGCTTCTCTCGCCGCGAGGCCCTGTCGAGGGGCATGGGCGCGCCAATTGTGCTGGCGTACAGGTAGATGGCGCTGTAGTCGGACATGGTGGGTGTTGCAGAGGGCAGCGCAGCGGTGGGACTGCGCGCCGCCGGGGCTCCAGCGGCGGATCGCTGGCAGTGCTGCCAGGCGGCACGGCCCAGCTGGGAGACTGGGTGGCCGAATGGATTGCCTGACTCTGGCTGGCTGGTTGATTCAATCAAACGTTTCTCTCGCCTCTCCTCCCCCAGCTAGCCCCTTGTTTGCTGCACTCCCAAGGGGGGGTTTCGTCCGCTGTGGCGCCCGTCCAGGGGCAGAGTTCAGAAAAAAAAAACGCTGCAGCAGCGCAGCCCGTCTTGGCAAAGGGCCGCAAGCGGTGCGTCTCCGGCCGGATCGCGGACCACGGGCTGGCACGTTTAGCTCAGACAGACTCTTCGACGACAGTCAGAGGCAGGGCTCTCGGCGCGCCTCTTATTCCTCTGCTGTTTTCTCCAAGCCCGCGTTTCGAGTTTAGTGTTTGTTCCTGGCAGGAGTCGTTTAACGCAGCATACGGCGGTTTGTCCACCGCTACCAGTTCGGATAATAGGTCGCTCTCCAATGAGCAGCAATGCGTCTACGCCGGTATCAATTAGTTAATCGGTCAATCAGTCAACCAGCCAACGGTCTCGCCGGATTCTGCAGCGTATGCAGCCCGCCCGCTAGCTGCTGTCAGAGCGACTCACCAGCGTCGGCGAATCCCCTCCAAGGCCGCTGATCCGTCCTTCTAGAACAAAATCTGAGACCGCGGAACCAGGGGTCCTCAATTCCGGCAGCCTGTCGAGGTGCTGGAAAAAAAAATCTGCCCTGCTCTGGCGCTCGCGTTTTGCGCCGGCAAGCGCCCGGCAAGCCAGACCGGCAAAAAAACCTGAAGAAACGAAAAAAAAAAAAAAAAAAAAAAAAAGTTGGTTCTTGTCGCCTTGCCTGATCCGTCGGAATGAGATTTCGCCCCGGCCGTTTGAAACACGCCGGACCAGAGAGCGTGGCTTGTTTGGTTGTTTTTCGCGCCTTTTTGAACTGCGCGAGTTTACCCTGAGTGTTTCGCTGGTCCGTATTCCGGACTTGGACGGTATTTGCTCGTATACAGATCGTAGCACCCGGATGAGTGTATGAATGCGCTACTCGTACTGGCAGCAACAAGAATAGGTGTCTGGATGCGGCAGTTGGCTCGTCGTCAGTAAGGAGAAGCACCCTCGCAACCCCCTGGTGCTATCCTTCCAAGCTGCAGAAAAGGGTGTGGTGATTGGCTCCTTGTGCTTCTTTTTCTCCGATCCTTCTACCTCTCCTCATCCAAACTCCCTGTCGCTCCGCGCCTTTTGGGGATTCCCCGGATTCAGTGGCGTTGCTGCCCGTTCCCAGCAGCAGCAGAGACACGGGTTGAAGCGAGGTGATGAATCAAGCCAATAGCAGGCTGATGCTGAAACCAACTGCCAAGCAGGCTGAGCACAGCCGTTTCAACGTTCAAGACACTATTCCCGGCCTACGCAGCAGGCTTTTCGGTCACAATCTCCGGAGTCGCGTAAGTTATGTACAGAAACGGCACTTCAGACCTTGTGCAAGCCACACGGAGGATGGAGTTCCTGGTTTTCTTGCCTTGAGCAATGCTGGATCGGTCGTCGTAATGATACTCCGTGCAAGACGACCCAATCATAGAGAGACCCGCCTCCTTAGATGTGTCGCGGATTGACAGTCAATCCTCCTGGATGCCGTGAAAGAGAAAAAAAAAGGGTACATGTAAGGAGCGCGACTGTCTCGATGAGTCTGTGCGCGTGCGCGCGTGTATGGATGTACGGTGTGCTTTTGTCGATGCAACGATGCAACAATCCGGCAAAAGTCGCCACCGGTGCCGGCTTTCGTATGTCTCTTCGCCTTCCTTTGACCTTTGAACCACACGGCTTCGGCCCTTCGACGCTGTGTGCGATTGCGTCGTGCTTATGGGCTTGGGGATGTCCTTTGCTTTAAACGTCCAGCGCACCTCTTTCGGGGCTGGCTTCGCGCGCTGCCAAATTCAACTCTGGCATATACACACAAGGCTGCGACAAGCGGGAAATCTTGCCTGGGCCCCTTCTGGCCGAACCAAGCAGCTCCGTGTGGAGACTTGGGAGGGATTCGTATCTGATGGTCTCCTGTAAGCGAGCCTGCGCGAGAGTTTGATCGTCGTTCGGCCGTTATGCACTTGACAAGCGTGGCAGGTGATGGAGATTAATGCCTGTATATAGTGCCAGGAATAGCAGCGAGCGCAGGCGGTTGACGGTGGCGAGGGACGAAGTGGTGCAAGGCGCAACTGCAGCGCAGGACGGACGTCACACCGATCTTTGATCTTTGGGCGGCCTGCCGTGCTGTTATCGAGAGAGAAACGAGAGAAGAGGTAAGAAGAGAGGGAAAAAGTTCCCTGATGCCGACCAGGCCGTTTCCCGCATTGAAATGAATGGCCGTCTTATCTCGGCACTTCTTGGACTTTTGCTCAGCCCAAGCCCCGTCCTATTTTTGCGCCGCCCACCCTCCATGCAGCGCTCCCGGAGCTATATCAAATGGCACAATTTCGCTGCATGACAGGGCTGCTTCGCGATCGTTGATAGGCCCGAGGGCGCTCTCTAGCTACTCTACAGCTCCCTCACCAGCGCTGTGCTAGCTCGGAGTGGTCGTCTCAATTGGCTGCAGAACCTTCCATGCACTCCATACATGCGCTGCTGCTGGGACTGCTAATCCCACTACTCTGTCTAGGCACTGCACTACCGCCATTCTCAGACACATTTGATCTGTCCAGTGCTGGCCATCTCGCTGGCCGGCATCACCACTGCCTGGATTGGGCCCTTCTGCCAGCAGTAAAACCAGACCGTCTTTTCTTCCTCTTGCTGGACCAAGTCGCTGCTTTTGTCCGCTCGGTGGAGATGTGGAGCAGGTCCATGGGCTTCCCCGCGTTCGCTGGAGCTCTGCTGGCGTCCGTGCTGAGGGCTCAAGTTCTTTCGCAGCTCTGCTGGGCATCATGGATCATTGTTGATTTGCCAAATTGGACAAGGCCCGTGCTACTCGCGCGCCTTCGCCCTTTTGGCTGGCTGCAGCTCTAGTCCGCTGCCTTTGGAGCCTTGGCTGGCTCTTCTCTTTGGCTGCTACTGGCCCTGCGCAGGATCCGCGGCTGGATCCAAGTGGGGGATTTATTGGACTTATGGAGCTCACACGCGAGCACGCCTTTAACCAAGCACTCTTTGTTTATTCCTACAGAGTACCTCTCGTGGATTGTTCTCGCAGTCGGAGCCGTCTGTACCGGACATGCTGCCTGGCAGGTGGATGGGTAGGAGTAGGCATAGGGAACGTTACGGCAGCTTTATGAACAGGCACATCTGCTGTCCCCCAACAGATGATCAAAAGCAACCCAATGTCGGATCCCATTGGCCGCAGATCAGCTCTGCCAAGGGAGCTCACCGAGTCGGTGGCCGCGTGACACCTTGCAAGCCGTCTCACCGTCGCCGATAAGCGTCCTGGCCTTGTTCAACCAACCACAACGAGCCCCGCTGGCATCAGGTGCTTCCTTGACATACTTTGTTTATGTAGGATAAACTACATCTACGGTGGCTGTCTCCAGCTCTATTCGATCAACTTCTATCGATTCTAGGCGTCGGACATGTTTCAGGAAAAGGCAGGCCCGGAGCGTTAGTGACAATTTGTTACGGATATCTAACCGATGATCACATGTGCATGCCAAGAAAAGGACATTTACGGAGTGCGGCCCGGTCTGTCTAATCCTGAAATCGAGAGCCAGCCGAGTCGCTAACCAGCATTAGATTGTTTAACTGGAGTCAATTGGGCCTTTGAGACTTTGATAGACTTGACGACGCGGAACCTAAAGTACATGAACATACAGTACATGCATGTATCCCTTCGCTTTACATAACAATTTCCACTCGCCATCATTACCGCTCAGTGGCAGGTCCGTGCTTGAGACGCGTCCGTTGACCCCCCAAAAAACAGATTTCCATACTTGTATGGAGGCGATGATGCTAATCTCAACTGAGACTCGGCTGCGCTCCCGGATGCGGAATAAGCCCCGTAGCCAATCTGTTCACGTTGTTGATGCCACCTATTTTGATTGCACGCGGCAAGACTATTTCATGCGAAATAAGATAGACTTTTTTAAGCGTTGAAAACAATGCAATGTGCGCTTACTTCCCGTTCTCGCTTGCGTCCGTCATGCGAAATAGACCGATTATACGGCTTAACAAGTCCGATGATGGTTATGAGCAATGCAATGCAATTTTATATAATCCAAGGGTCTATAAAAAGATGCATATCGCTTAATGAGTAGCATTTGTTTTGGTTAAATTTGCCGCAGATTGGTTTTATAATGTTATGTACTACTAGCAGCAACATATCAATTCTGATCGCATTGCACCGTTTCTCGTATAAAAGAGGTCTTTACCATGGTTCCAGCCGCGCACATTTAATATCAATTGGAACGAAACAGCAACATTCAATTCATGGGGGACTTCCAAGTAATCTAGTTTATTTATAGCTTGCACTTTTCTGCTTGTAGTTGTTTATAGTTATTTCTAAGGGACAAAAGAGCTTTTGTGAGAAATAGCGAGCCAAGACCTATAAAGTCGTATTGAGCAACTGCATCCTACCTGGGAAAAGGTACCTAGTCAACATCAATGGCTGTCGCATAACTACATGTACATGAAGACTTGACATCTTGATGCCTTGGTTAGAACTCTCAGTCCTTAGCTGTACATTATAGATGATTCATTCACGTGCAGTTATTGCAAATCTGACCTTGCTCCGAGTCAGCATGGCTTCAATGGACTATGTGCTGTCGTTCAGCCTTCCCTCTCTGCAGCTCTTATCGGCGTCATTGATAAAGTCACATGATTTTTCCCCTCCGCCACTCGGTCCAGGCGGAGCGGATAGCAGCACGTGATTCAGCCTTTCCAGCCTCTCGTCGCAGTTTGTCATCGCAAATGCACATCGTCAACTCCAAGGCGGCCCGGATTTTTTCACTCGCGATATCGACAGCCACTATTATTCCACTCAAAATATTAGTTGAATTTTATCTGGTGATAGCATCTCCATACTGCGCTCGCTTGTTCATTATATTCCTCTTCCTGTGAGTCGCCATCGCCCTCAGGAGAACGTGGCCCCTCCATTTTTTGCTGTGGGACCTCGCCAATTCCCGCTTTCGTTCGCGTGTCCTGGCCTTGAAAGACATTGACTGATATCTCCCTGTCCAGTCGCCGTTTCAGCTCCGAGCGAACCGTTTGCACTTGTTATATCCAAAACTCAAGGAAAATTTTTTTTTAACCCGCCTCCCCTCTTTCTTTCTGCCCTTTTTTTTTCTGCACCCTCACTCGAACGTTCCGAGCTATACGCCCCCCGAACCGAACGAACCCCGCGGCTTGCTACTCCTCACGTAGGCTCCCAGCTCCCCGACGTAATTCGCCTCCTCGACCCTCCTCGAGCTCAGCTGCCAATGGACAATTGAGGTCGGCCTCAGCTCTATATCGATTCGATTGCGCAGCATCTCTTCCATTGCACATGCTGTGGCTCGTATCTCGCTGGCCCCATGCGCAAACACGATATACGACCTACGTCCCTCGTTTTGAACAGCGCGTCTAGCGGACAGCTACCTTCCGCCACCCGTCCTATTCGGACTCTCCTCCAACTCTTTCCCAGCACGTACTAGACAAACAGATGCCATCTGCTTCCGACTGGCTTGCCACGACGAATCCACCAACCACCTTCCTTCACCGATACTCTCTGTCCTCTAGCCTAGGCCCTCCGTAGAACCGTCGTCGGCGCGGTTCGTGAAAAGCCGCGGCTCCAAAGCCGACATCCAAGTCAAATACCACTCCTGCGGCATGTACTCACAAAGCCACCAGCAGGGACACAATGCCCGGCTGAATGGGGCGGGGCGGGGGATGCCCAACATGATGTATAATTTTCAGCAACACACACAACATCAGCACCCCGCCCAGCCCCAGCATCACCAAGGCCTGCAGCATGAGCATATCATCCCCAATGCCAACGGACTGGGCCATCATTCGTCCTTCACTGCTGGCATTCTCCAGAATTCTGCCACATTCAACTCCAGTGCCCTCTCTAATGGACACGCGACCAACACAAGGGCCGGCCAAGCCCCGCAGAACGAAATGTGGCAGGAACAATTGCGGCTGCACAAGGAGGCTGAGAGGGCACATGCTGCCATGACCGAACAGCAGCAACCGCACTACTACGCCAGGCTCAAAGCGTCAGAAAATAGAGGCATAGGCGGCCCTCCTCCCTCCAACGGCAAAACACAAGCAGACAGCGAGAACGACCCCGCAGATAGGAGAAGGCCTTTGAACGTGGAGAAGGGTACGACTCGCCAAGACTGGCACAACATGGACATGAGCGGCCAGGGACTTCGAAATCTCGCCCCCGAACTGTTCCGGTATCAGTTCCTCAACGAACTCTACATTGCTTCCAACAAGCTTACGCGCATTCCCAACTCCATTGGAGAGCTGCGCCAACTCCGACACCTCGATGCCTCCTACAATCAAATCAATGAGCTGCCGCCGGAATTGGGCATGTGCACTTTCCTGAAACAGCTACTCCTCTTCAACAACAACCTCCAAGAACTTCCCTTTGAGCTGGGCTCTCTCCATCAACTGGAAATGCTCGGCATTGAAGGCAATCCATTAGAGCCCAGCATAAAACAGGAAATCATGGAAAAGGGCACCAAGAGTCTGATTAATGCGTTAATGGAAGGAGCTCCTAGTATGTTTCCCACCTTTACTGCAATTCCTAATGCTCTGATTTTGCAATGATGATGGCTAATTTTGTTTCCTTGTATAGTTCCCTTACCCCCTACACCACGTAAAGAAATCATCATTCAGGAGGACGTCCCCGAAGCTTTGGAGAGAATCAAGGTCTTTTCTTGGAATATTCTGTGCGACAAGTATGCGACAACGCAGACCTACGGATACACACCCACTGGGGCATTGAGCTGGGAGTATCGCAAAAATTGCATCTTGGAGGAGCTCCGGATACGTGATGCCGACTTCCTCGCTCTCCAGGAAGTCTCCACCGACGCCTTCAAGGAAGATCTTAGCCCAGAATTGGCGCAAATGGATTACAAGGGCGTGCATTGGCCCAAGTCCCGTGCTAAGACAATGTCTGAAAAGGATGCGCAAACCGTCGACGGCTGCGCAGTCTTCTACAAGCAGAGCAAGTTTATTCTGCTGGACAAGCAGCTAATTGAATTCGCTACGATTGCCATCAACCGACCCGACATGAAGAACCAGCACGACGTTTTTAATCGGGTCATGCCCAAGGACAACATTGCTGTTATTTGCTTCTTTGAGTCCCGGTTGACAGGTGCTCGCATTATCCTAGTCAATGCCCATCTCACCTGGGACTCAGCTCTTGCAGACGTCAAACTGATCCAGACGGGTATTCTTATGGAACATGTGACCAAGCTGGCGGAGAAGTATGCAAGGTGGCCAGCCGTCAAGGATAAGAAGATGATTACGTTGCCGAGATCCGACGATGCAGATGAGCCACCGCCGCCGCCTCCAGTCGAGCCAGGCCCGAGTCAAGAATATCGATCCAATACCGAGATTCCTCTGTTAGTCTGCGGCGATTTCAACTCAACCAGGGACTCTTCGGTATGGGAGCTCATGTCTATGGGTCGTGTGCCACCAGACCACCTGGAGCTGAACAACTTTCACTACGGAAGCTTCACGCGCGACGGTATCGAGCATCCCTTCAGCTTACGAGACGCCTACGCACCCATACAAAACACGCCCGATGAGCTACCCTTTACTAATTACACTCCTGGATTTGCCGACGTCATTGATTACATCTGGTATTCAGCCAATACGTTGGAAGTCGTTGAATTGCTGGGCCCTCCTGACCCGACTTATATGAAGCGAATCCCAGCGTTCCCCAACTGGCACTTCCCGGCCGATCATATTCAGATCATGTCCGAATTCGTCATCAAGAGCCGAAAAGATAAGAAACAGGCGTCAGAACGCGAACAGTAGCACTGATCTCTTCTACCTCCACCTCTACTTTTTCCTTTTACTCTCGTCTCTATCTTTTCATTTTCTCTCTTCATTTTTGGTTGTTTCAAAGTGGGTGGTGTCGCGTGGGTAGAGGGATACAAAGGGTAGGACGAAACCGTTAGTGATTGAACGAATGGAAAACCTCTTATGCCTCAAATCTGGATGTAGTTTTGGGTTTTGTAAATGGAGTACGCGGAAATCTCTTTATCTTTTTCTAAGTTTCTTCTTTTTTTTTGTGTGTGTTTTTCTCTCTCTTTCTCTCAAACTTTTTCTTTGTTTGTTTCGCGTGGATTTGAACGCGGTTGGCCACAGGCCCAGCGGGAAAAGGGGGAGTAAGGAGGGAAGAAGCGGCCAAAGTCAAGTGCATGTAAACAAATGTATGGTGTAACAAACAAGCGGAAGGGTGGGATTGAAGCGGTGTGTGGTAGGATTTGGTAGGAGTTTATGCTCTTTTTTCCCCCTTGCAAATGTAAAATTACTGGCTTTTAGGCTCTACACTTCTGTACTATGCCATGTGTCCCTTTATCGTATTGGCGTGATTGGTGAACATGTTTTCCCCCTCTTTTTGTCGGATGATTTGGGGTTACACAAGAGCGGGCAACCCTGCTGGGTGCAGCATTGTTGAGGGTGGTTTCATGAGTTTGCAATTTCATTTGACGCTTGATATCGCGTCTATCTGCGGGGGAAAGACGCGAGGGTGTATTTGTGACGTTGGAAGTGCGTAATACTCATTTTCGTTTTCGTCGTGAGGTGTTGATGAGTGCGGTTACCCAGAGTTTCCTGTGCGAGGAGGGGGATATATTGCTGCCAGTGGTGTCTATTATAAGTTGAACTACGTGGATATATAAACTGTCGTTTCTCCCAGGTTAGTCTCTAGGAAATTCCTCAACCATTTTCTTTCTTTCAACTCCTCCCTTTCTATCTAAATAAATTGCCAGCCATGGGTTACGAAGGGTTGCACGTGGACTATGGACCAGCCTTTTTAGCTGAGCCTATGGCTACGGCTGTCTCTCTGTAATCCATCCATTCTACCAAGTATGATGTCTTCCTCTTGGTTGTATTGATGTGATAATGGTGTGTATCTGGCTGACCAGTTCAATTATTAGTTGAGGCTGGTGGGGGCGCGGCCAATTATCCTTGCCATGTCGACCCTCTGGTTGCTAAGTATGTTGAATGGGCTTAAGGTTTTGTTATGAACTATTGTTGACTTGATTTCTTCGACTAGCACTGAGCCATCCCTCGCCGTATTGAGGAATGGAACTCTCTTGGTCAATCTTGCACGTAGCCCTTGACCATATACGTGCAAAGACGGCTTCGCCTACAGACTGATGATTTTGGAGCAGAGAATCGCTCTCTCTCCCAGAATTACTTCAGTGATCCTTTTACTCTGTTTTCAGAGCCTGAGCTCACAGCACCATATATATCGGCTCTGGGGCATTCGTCTTTGCAGTTGCATCTACGCCATGAACGTACCAAAGCCGTTACATATGAGCGGCGTATCTAGTGCCCGACTTTATTACAGAATATGGGCGTATAATACGTAATATGGAAACCCACATTCACCAATATACTACCGCGCAACATTCCATCTTGCCGCATGATATCAGCGCGGTGATTGCTTTATAACCACCTTTTTATTCATACGCTATGGAGAATTCATGGATGAGCGTTATATCCATCTCCCTGGCAATCCGGCTTCATAATGCCAAAATATTATCGGGATTATAGGCCGTGTGTCTCTTTTTTTCAACGCATTCTCGCGTTATAATACTATGGCATAACACCCGGACTTGGCCCCTGATGGCCAATTACAAACCACAAATATTTCGTTTCATTAATATCATTATTAAAAAAAAAAAAAAAAAAAAAAAAAAAGTCATGACCAACCTCACCTGTTACTAGCAGATGGAGGTACAAAGCAAACTACACGCCCCGACGTCCGCAGAGGAGATCATCAGCCACTGTTGAGCCGCCTTGGCCAGTATTGTGCAGCGAGAATTCAGAGACAAGAACAGTGGAGTTGACTGCCTAGTTACGTCAATGGCTTTGTCGACATTCGGAGTGAACTGCCATACTCGTTGCAGCCACGGCATTATCTTGGAGCTCCCCGCAACTCAAACACCATCTCGCAGGCAATTGGTCGGCTATAGCGCCTGGGGTCCCCTGCCACCGTCTATTGGGATATATTAATCACGAGAGGTACCTACGATTCCCAACAGAAATCCAAGCTCCTACATAAGCACGCCAACATCCTGGCAGCGGAGGGTCAGATCAACGGAAAGATCAGGGACCAGCAGAGAATGCTTGTTGCTTACGAGGATATCAATATTAAGTACAAATAGAGAGGCAAACGAAACATTCTCCATCGAGAATATGCACTCTGGACCAGCCTTGCGTCTCTAGCCGTCGGGGTATCTGCCTACCCAACTGTGGGTGGCGAGGCTGGTGCTGTATGATCTGCCAGTACCCCCCGAAACACGGTCGACTGTCGACAAATTCACTTGTACTGAAGCATCTTCTAAATGTCACGTCTACCTAATACAGCCCCATATAACATCATGGGGTATATCTGCGGCTACTATAGGACTCGCCATAGCCGTTTGGGGATCCAGTTGAAGAACCACTTATATTGGTTTACAATTGAGTGGCTGTGAAATGGGTTATAATACAGAGGTATGTGACTTCACCTTCTTTTTCTATAGGGCGTGATGTAGGTAGAATATAGCTTTGGGAGATTACTTAGTCTTCCTTCTATATATTCAACTCTATTTCCACTTCATCCTCTGCTATAACTCATGATTGCTGACATGTTATTTGCTTCCAAGCTCAAACAAAACCCATCCCCCATCCTCAGCCACACCCAAGGCTGTTTGGTCCATCTACGCGCAATGCGAGAGATCATGGAACTGTGGCCCCCCGCAATTGTTCTATTTTTTTTTTTTTCTTTTATGACTCTCGGTGCATCTTGGGCACTTTACAGGAACGGTTTCATGGGGATAAGAGGACCTACCTCCCTCGGCCCCCGCAGTCGGATCGATTGGTGATCCCGACGCAGACACACAGTTGGATGATACACTCCAAAAGCTTCTTGAAACTCTCCGACAGGTTAGTGAGGCCATTTCGAGCAGGAAAAATGCGCTAACAGCCGTCCAGACTCGCGAAGATGCAGCCAAGTTTGCACAGGCGTTTGTCGGCTGGCATTTCTTGACAATTCACACATACCAAGCCTAGGGGTCCCTGGATAAAAGCTGGAGCTTGCAGGCGGAAGGGACCAGAGGCCGAGATGGAGATGAATACATGGATTGTGTGTGCGTTACGAGAGCTGAAATGCCCGTGACTAGAGTTAACTATATATCGTCCAATCGATCCGACTGCGGGGGCCGAGGGAGGTAAGTCCTCTTATCCCCATTGTCCGGGTTGAGTTTGTCGCCTTTCAACCCGGATATACCTCCCTGAGATTGCTCAAGCACTACGTTGGTAAAGAAATCTGCTTTCTGCCGGCCAACACCGGTATTGGCCGGCACGGGATGCGGATCTATCAAACATGTGCAGATGTACCGAAGATGACCTCTTCTTACTACTATTATTGCTTTAGCTAGGCTGCTGCCTGCCTTTTGGTGGATCTAGGTGAACGGTATGCGTTTGCCCAGTTGAAGCACACTACTCACTACTCTCTGCGCTCTCAGAAAACGAGTTTATACTTGGCAGAGAGAGGGGGGGGAAGGTGATAGTCTAGGGTGGCTAACTAACTAGGCTATTGCAAAAAGTACGACAGCCATTGTGTTCGGGAAGACTTCACCATTGGGTGATGGAAATAATCCATTGCAACCAAGCGTAAAGCGTAGTTCCGGATTCGCCCAACTGCCTTGCTCTTGCGTTGGTTGGTGTCTGCGCAACAGGAATATATAGGTAGAAGGTGAATCCGGAATTAATTCGAATAAATTGGAGCGCTCGATTGGCAACCAAAGGGACCATGTTTCGTTTTGGGGATAACATGTTCGATGAGTGCCCCATATGGCTGGAAACTGAAGTATGAATGCTGCTTGGAGCCGCTAGTATCTATTAATACATGTATAGATACATTCAGATACGACATGAAGAGACAATTACAAAGACATATCCATCAAAGTCAAACAAAAAAGAGAGCATTAGGTGGAACGAATGGCCAGGTTGCGCAATTATGCGGGAGACGAATGGGAAATGAATTATTGCCACCATGAAGAAAACTGCACAAGTTTGCAGGAGGACGTAACCTCCAATCATGGGGTAACAAATCAAGAACGACAATTTTTTTCCCCCTTTTTAAAAAGACGCAGAAAATAAATGCGCTGTTGAAAGGTGGTTTGATGGAGTCAAAAATCGAAGAATTGAAGTTTGCAGCGAGTACAAAGAGAGGCATAGCTGGATTGGTGATCCGGCACACATGGTTCGGCCAGTCTAGCTCGAACCATGTGTGCCGGATCACCAATCCAGCTATGCCTCTCTTTGTACTCGTTCATAGGGGAAAAAAAAGCAAGTGGAGAAGTATAACGGACTGGCGTCTGGCACGTTGTAACTGATTTCATGTGCTCCAGCTCTGCCCCCTGAATGCACTCGCCATTCCTAGCGGTACTTTTTCGCTCTCTTATATGTACGACGATGGTTTCTGCCGAGCAATGATTTGTGAAAATGGTAGTATGGTTGGGCAAATCTTTATTGTACGACTTCCGTTTCCTTCCCTCTCGTGGTGTCTCAGGCGTGTGCTAATCTCAGTGGCAGTAGCAGTTTGGAGCGTGAATTCGATAAAGCCACAAGGAGAGTGGTGTAGTTGGAACCAGAGTGTGGAAGTTAGGCTGTATACCAGATTGAGAGCTTATGGTTGAGATTGTATCACAAGAAAGGAAAAAAATGGGGATTTCCGCTTGAAAAGTTATTTACAAAGGTATCCCGTAGCAGTGCCCCGTGATATTGGATACGAAATTGCATATGAACCTGCTGTGGTCGAATGTCGCTCTTTTTTCTTCTTTAGAAATTGTTGTATAAATAATGTTCAAAAGCTATAAAAAAGAGATGAAATCTAGATTATGTTGTTTTCCAGCGTCTAAGTTTGGACCCGAGACAAAATGTGGGCGTGTGTGTGTGTCAACAGAGGCACTAGACGTCTGAACAGTGCCAGCTAATTTGAATAGCTATAATCAGCTATAAGACAATCTGTTTGCTGGGAATCCATTGTACGGCGTCATATGCTTTTGATGCTGCAGATGGATATACCGATAGGTGATGCGTCATTAATGCGAACAGCGGCGCCATCGATCTCAAAAAGCTCAGAAACACCATGGCCGGCGAAGCTCGTACGAAAGAAGAGGCTGAAAAGCTGTTGTCTAGGTGCAGGTGCCTTGAACCAGATACTCTCGGCGCCAGTGCGCAGGGCCAGCGCAGACACTTGTATGTTGCGGTCCTCGGCAGCGAATTATCCGCCATCACCGCCTTCCCAGCTTTCCTCCTTCTTTTTTCCATCAGTCTTCAATGTTTTGCTCCTCTCCTCCGTTTCTCTCATTCCCAGCGGGTGTCTACTACACGACAACCAAACGCACATTTCTTGTCATAGCATTTCGCTGCTCCATCTTTCACGGATGCATCAACACGCCCAGATCGCGTCAATGCAGCATCCGCCTGTACAAGAACCGCCGCCGATGCTGCAGCACGAAGGCAATTTGTACACAAAGCTCGAAAGCAACCAGCAAGCTGCCGTCTACAAGGCCCTTTTGGTGCAGCGCCATTCAATGGATGTGCTTCTACGGGAGCGTTTCCCTCTTGGCCATGAGCCGCTTCCCGCACACAAGATCAGAAAAGGGCTTCACATCGAGGATTTTGTGTGGGCGCCACAGACACACCCCTTCAGTCAGAAACGAAAGGCCGTGTCCCTTCATTGCGTTCGACACCAACCCAAACATTGCCCGGTTGAGTTATCAGCCTTTGTTGCAGTCGACTTTTTCTCTGGGGAAGTTTTGATAAACTCGCGCGTCATGCCAAATCTAGGCTGGAACGGCTCCTCTCGCAGCGAGAGCCTTCATGGCTGGAGAGAGGCGCGAGCGAATCTTTTCGACTTTATTGACCAAGATACCGTCATTGTCGGACACAAAGCACAAATTAATTTGGAGATGCTGCGTTTGCTCCACAAGCAGATTGTTGATTCGCAAATACTTACTACATCTGCCATCTACAGGCCGTCAACAAGTCGGCATCGTTATAGACCGTCTTTGGAGAAGGTTTGCGCAGAATTTGTTGGCATCAAAATCAAACAAGGTGCACCATGTCCTTTGGAAAATGCACTGGCGGCGAGGGAAATTGTGCTGCATTGCATTCGACGACCAAAAGATCTACATGTATGGGCCAAGGAAACGAGAACTAGCTATTGGAGGGGCCAGGAGGAGAAGAACTTCAGGAGGCTTGTCAAGAGGATCAATTCCGTTGACTCCTCAGCTGTTCACCCTCTTACTAATCTCACTAACCCCGTCTTGAGTAGGAGAAATAAGCCTGTACTGCACGATAACGGCCCTGTGGCTGCCTATGATGATGATGAATACCTGGGTGGCTATCAGGATGCCTACGAAGCAGGATTTGCAAGCGGTTTCAAGGTTGGCTACAAGAGACGCTATGAACAAGCAGGCTTTCCCGTGGATTATGCCGAGATAGAGGAAGCATGTCCGGCAGTGAAACGACCAAAAACTCATGAACCAATCCAAGGTGCAGACGACAACGAAAACCCAAGCAGTTTTAATGAACATTTGAACCAAAATAACAATACTGATATGAGTCAAGCGGCAAGAGCTAGAAGTTTATTGGCGCACCTAATGAAGGATACCAAGGTCAAGGAAATCATCCAAATGCTGAATCAAGCACAAGAGAAGACAAGTAAAAACAGCAAGGTAACCAGCTGTCAAACAGGTCTCGGACATGTTGCTGGCGATTGTTAATATAACCCTGCTCACTGTAATGGTGACTGTGGATTAATAGAATTATGCCTGGCGAGGCATATCCACGATACTGGCAAAGATGTTGTTGGGATATAGCTACTCCATGGTTGATAAAAGATCCATTGTTAGATGGTATTGTTCTCTTTAGGCGTAGCTGACATGGAGTTATTAATATGATGCCGTTTATATTGAAGAGTTGCACCCGAATGACGACTCTACTATAGATACAGTAATTGGACTGCGTGATAGAACAGCGCATGTTGTGTGTAATCTTAGTATTTCATTTGCGCGTAAACTACCTCGACAATGATGAAAGTGGCAGATATCACTTCTACCTGTACAAACGATGAAGATTTCTACGTGCTTCTGCACTGAACAGCACACCGAATGGAACTCATCACACAAAATGTTGACATATAACGTATTGGTCTAATGGTGGCTCTTTACCTCCAGAATTGCAGTGTGTCAGGCATCAACGTTGAGCAGGAGCCATACATCTTTCTCTCTTCCTCTCCCTCTCCCTCTCCAGCCCAAAGCAGCAGACACCAGGAGCAATGTTTGCTCTCCTCACTCTCCAACCCCATCAGCATCGATAGAAAGATCCAGACTCGCCAACATTGCTACTGAATATCACTATGGAAAATTTGTCTGTCGTTTACGAAACTATCCTAGAGACACACAATGGAATTGCCAAACAAACTCACGTCCTTGCCGACGCCTCGTCTCGCTCTAGAACGACAAAGCAGAACATCGAACGCGTCCATAGAAAGTCTGCCTCCTGAGATGATCGGGGAGATCATGGGTTACCTCCCTACTAAGCATGATTTGAGAAATTTTGCTGCGAGTTCGCCCTACTTTGCCGGCGTCCTCAAGGCCTACAAGGTTCCCATTCTCAAAAGCATCATCAAGAATATCATCCACCCTTCGAACTTGGGCATTTGTCTGTTGACTATGGGCATTCTGCAAGTAACTCGCCAAAAGAGTGGCGTTTGGAGGTGTCTGTATGCAATTTCGCGACAGCCAACGCTGGCAACGATCCGTGATGCCGAGACACTCAGCAACATGCTCGACCTGGCCGTCCATATTCACTACCTGGTCACGGTATACGCTTACGCAAAGCACCCGGATTCGTTTTGGCGACATGCTTTGCAAAAATACGCGGACCGCTGGCCGGACGGCTTCATTCCTTCTGGCCCCGTGTACATCTGTCCGTGGACAAAGGAGAGGCTGCACGAGGTAGCCCGGCGCCTCTGTGATATACGAGACGCATCTCTGGACAAGTATCCTGGCGCAGAGCCCACAAGCAAACACGACGAAGAGGTCATGGCGCTATTTCAGCGCGAGATGTTTGCCGCGGAGCTGAAGCTGCGTTGCGACAGAGTAGCCGAGCTTGGGCATCCCATTCCCGACTGGATGTTTGCAGAGGGCCCTGGTGACGGTGTGCAAAGCTTCCTCGAGCTCATCTGGTGCTGCAGCGTACACACCATTGCCAAATGCTGGAATAGTAACGACAGCTTAGTGTGGGCAGAAATGAATGGATCGAGCTGGTCTCTGGGGAAGGCTCTCGGCATCCGCTTCTACGTTAGCCTTGCCATGCATATGCCGATTCGGGCGAGCAAAGGCGAGATCAAGAATATGTGTGATGCAATACACTGTTTCTTGATGTACTACTTGCACCCCGAACTATACAATGAGACGTACCAGTGGTTCTTGGAGTTTCGATCTTGTGCGTGGAAGGGCCTGTGGGAACACTCTTTGGAATATCTGCGCTTGATGGACGAGCAGGGCGTGGGGGAATTGGGTGGAGGGACGGATTACTTTTGAGTTTGTTGGCCATTTTCCTTTGATGTTTTCATTCTTTACATGGATATATCTCATTGTGGCTTTAGAATAGCGATGAGCGACTTGGCTAGTAAAGATTAGCTGCTGAGAGCAGCGAGATAATATGACCATTATTATATATATTCATCTGGTGCGAAATGGCGATTCTTGTGGTATGTTAATGGATATAGATGTTTGGTATATAAGTATTCGTAACTCATTAATGATTGATATCTCTCATTCTGTATCAGATAGCCTGTGATATCTTGACGTATCCTTCGGTTGGCTGCTCGCCATTATAACCTTCTAACAGCTTTGTTCTACTGCTGCTCGCCTCGTTGGAATTCTTGATTTCTTCCCATTGATCTTGGAAGCGTTGACGCTCACGTGTCTGCTATTTTCACATCTCTTGATACTCATGCGTTGCCCTTTAAGAGTGGGAATACGACTCCTTGTCGAACTGCCACCATTAGCAGAAGAGACAGTCGTACTATGACGGTTATTATGGACGTCAAGGCAACTGTTACTGCTAGTGTTTTTGACGACACCAGCATTTTGCGCGGCAACGGCATCAGCAACCACAGCAGCGTCCTTGCTCATCCTCGCTGCTCTAATAATCCCTTTAGCCTCCCTCACGACCCCGACGCGGCAGCCGCTTCTCCGGCGGCACGTTGCGACGCAGACAAACTTGAGCCCGGGCCGCCACGGCACGACGACGATGGAGCCGCGGTATTCGGCGCCGATGGACCCGACGGGGCGGTTGGAGTCGGCCTCGAAGAAATTGACGCGGTTTGGGGACGAGGATTCGATCTGGATGGCTAGGGCTAGGGTTTCTGGCGGAGGAAGGATTTCCTTGTTGGGGGGGTGGATGGACCATTCTGGGGGGAGGCATTTTTTGTGAGTCTGGAGGGAGAGGTGTTAGTTGTTTGTCGTTGTACATGGAGATTTGGTGGGTTGTAGAGAGAAGGGGAGGGAGGACAGACTTCTTTTTGGCACTTGAGGAGGAGGTTTTCGGTGGATTGGGATGTGTGTGATTTGGGAGGGAGCATGTTTGAGGCGTGTCTATGCGGAATTGTCCCTTTTTTTTTTCTTCTTCTTTTCTTTTTTCTTCAAGATGAAGAATGAAGTTTTAGTGTGGTAGAGACTGGGTTGGGAAGAATGCTGAGTTGGGGCATATGCGATTGTGAGTTGGGCATCATTTATGCCTAATGTGTTGTTTGTACGATGCAGGATATCTGCGGTTGTGGTAGACAGTTGGTTAGTGATGGTGAAAATAGAGCCATGTTTTGGAATTTAGATAAGGATTTGTGATTGAGTTGTATTCTATTAGTTGGTTCATTCTATTTGTCCGTGGTCTACATGGCGGAATCTGATGTATTTACTCGCCGCGAGATGAAGCAGATGTTCCTCTCCGCCTACATGTATTTTACACTTGGCTAATGGAGTCCGTTTCTCCCCAGGGCAGGCAGTGCTGGCCAACATTCAATGAGCCAGTTTCCATTTCTCCAACAGATTATATGCCGAGAAAACCCCCATGTTACGCTGGCAATTATGACGTGGCGGTCTGGTGATTGCCGAGTTGGAGATGCGCGCCTCGTTCGCAGAATCCTTTGCTTTTCTTGGGGTCCAGGTGGCACGCGTTGAGTGGCCCGATTCGGATGCGAGGCTTGTTTAGGCGCTGCTTGATTGGCTGCGCGGATCTGCCTAGTGAGAGGCTAAAGTAAGCACGTCAGACAGGTCCACTTCGGATGGACAAGCGAGCGTGGATGAAGATCTTTGTTGACGTAGTTGGAACTACTACTATTTCTGAATTTATGCACGAGGATTGCTTATTAGTGCTTTATGAGTGGCTGAAGTTCATGGTACGTAGTGTTGCGACATAAGTGTTGCGAAGTGGGTGGCTGATCTTGGGACGTCTTTTACAAGCAGCCATCTCTAGATACACCGTGCCATGCGGAAAGAAGGTTGATTTGGAGCATGTACCAAGAAGAATCATCTGAAGATTATTTCTTTATTACTCTTTTTTTTTTCGATGATTCTACTAGCTCAACGCCAATATATAAAACGCTTATCAAGTGCTATCCTCGCTATTCAAGAACCACATCCATGACAATCCGCCATGATGACGGTTCATTAAAGCATGCATGACCCCGCCACTTCGTCGCAGTTTCGCTTCGCCTGTGAATTAACTCCGGATGCTGATGCACACTCCAAGCGGCCGCTTACGTCCGAATTTAGATGAAGTCACGGAAATAAGCTATGATATACACTAATGGAGTATAAGGGATGCGTCCAGGGAGCCGTATGCGGCTTCCAAAAAAAAAAAAAAAAAAAAAAAAAAAAAGGGCCTTGCCGCAAACAACAAGCTGTGCCATCGTATTATTCCTAAATACTATAAAATGTCTACCGTTCCATATAAGTAAAAATTAAAATATTTTACCAACAGACCTTGTCAAGAATTTGATGCAAGATTTAGTTGTTGGAGCGTTATTGCCAGCACCATGCGTCAATATCTAAATAGTCTTAAAAGGCAAATTGCTCGCCAACAAGCTCCTCGCTCTTTGCCCAAAGCTTCTCTCCTTGGCTCCAGCTCGTAAACCACACCTTTGAATCTTCATAAATCTGACAATCACTCAAGAACACGCCCCTGCCTTCCCACTCCCCATCTTCCCCTTTCAAATCCTTGCCAGTTTTTGCTAAATCGTCCTCGCTTGCAAGAGGCCTCTTTGTAGGCAGCGTCAGTGCTGGATCCACAGCAGCTACCAAAGTTGTGCTAGTACCTTGGTACTGATCCTTAAACGCCATGCCTGCCTTTTTGAACTTTTCTGTTCTCTGCCTCCATACCTCGGGGTCCATCTCTCGCCCAAGCTCAGTGATGATTGTGCCAGGGTGCACACTGAAGCTTAGGATGCCATACTTGTGGTATAGACGCTCGTTGAGACCAAGGCTGAACAACACATTGGCTGTCTTGGACTGTCCGTAGGCTCCCAAGGAGATGTAACTGTCCGCCTTGATGACATCTTGGTCAATGCCCAGCATTTGTGAAAACCGCTGATAGTCAGGCTGTTCAACTGGAGGTATCGTTTCGTTTACTTTTTCCCAGTTGATATCGCTATGGCGGATCGGGCTAAAGTTGGCGCCCGTGGAAGATACGTTGATGATTCGGGTGGCACCCTTAACAGCATCGGGCTTTTGTGCGGCCGCAATCAGCTTCCCCATGATCAAGTTCGTAAAGAGAAAGTGGCCAACGTGGTTTGTCGCAAAATGCCGCTCAATGCCATCTTCGTTGAGCTGGCGTGTGGGTATATTCATGATGCCGGCGTTGTTGACAAGGATGTCGATGGCGGCTATGTCAGTCCATCCATTTAGCGTAGCAGCGGCTGCCCTGGCGCCCTTTTGAGAGCTGAGATCTAGCTCTAGTATGCGAAACTTGGTGCCGGGATATTCCTTGGCCAAGGTATCGGCGGATTCTTGCAGCTTGGCCGGAGTACGGCCCGCGAGGATGAGGAGCTCGGCTTTTTGCGAGGCAAAAGCCTGAGCGGTGGCAAAGCCAAGCCCCTTGATGTTGACGCCTGTAATTAGAATCGTCTTGTTTGCGATAACAGAGGGGAAAGCAGCGGCAACAGTCAAGGCTGTTGTACGAATGCCAAACTCTGCGTGCGTCGTTGCTGAAGCCATTATGCCTGTTTCGAGCTAAGTATTTTTTTTTTTTTTTTGGCCCTTTATTTAATACGTCTTTTATACTAAAATTGAAGCCACTATATGCTCTTTTCTTCAAGAAATCCAATACGCAAGATACAAATCTCAAGTTTTATATGTGGGAGATGCCGTCTACTTCGTTATTTAAGAGGCCTATTGCCGGTAAATCCGTTTTCCACGGCCCCACTTTTGCCGGCGAGCAATGGATCTCGACCGGGGCTTCTGTCTTTTATATTCTAAAATATCTATTGCTTCGGGTAACTTCCTGTTCGTACTGATGGTCTTGCGACTGTGTTGATTTATATCCGTAAAAATCCGTGATTTGGAATACTTGTTGAGCTAGTCTGACTTGAGGATGGCCGAGGCACATGTGTGTAGTTGTTAAACTCTCCGCCGCAGGGGATATATCAAGATGAAGTACATATAGATTGAGGTGCTGCCATATCCAAGGTACAAGCATTTTACCTTAACCCGAGCTCAAGTTTCACCATAAATCTTGGCCGATAAGCTTGCAATTCATCAACTGACTAAATATCAGCTGTGCAACAAAACAATCATGTCGCTCATTGCCCCATACGCAAAAGAACACAAGAACACCAATGGCCCTGGAGATGCTCGTCCAACTGCCCTCAAGATCGTACGAGGCCAGTCCTTGGATGGCCAGTTAAGGGGAAAAGTAATCCTCGTAACTGGAGGCACCTCTGGGATCGGATTTGAGACAGTGCGTGCTCTGCATGCCACTGGTGCCGATGTATATTTCACCGGCCGTGATGTTGAAAAAGGCAAGAGAGCTGAAGAAGAGCTCCGATACGATAATCAGCCAGGAAAACTTGAGTATATGGAAATGAGGTTGGACTCTCTTAAAAGTATAAGAGAATTCGCTGCCGATTTCTTAAGCCGAACATCGGGCAAGCTTAATATTTTAATCTGCAATGCTGGTGAGTTGACGATTTGTCCCATCCTCTCTTGGGATATGTTTTTTCCATATCTACTCCATATCTAACATTAACATTGAAGGGATTCGTGGATATCCGAAAGGAAAGACCGAAGATGGCTTTGAGCTACATTTTGGAACTAACCACCTCGGGCATTTTGCTCTTTTCCAAGCTCTTAAAGATGCTCTAATCGCATCGAGCACGCCCTCTTTCCAATCCCGTGTAGTCTGTCTATCGGCGTCCGGTCATCGCCAATCGGGCATACGTTTCGACGACCTCAACCTTGACCGTGAAGGTGAATACCAGCCTCTACTAGCGTACGCGCAATCCAAGACAGCCAACATCTACATGGCATTCGAGATCGAAAGGCGCTACAGTGCCAGCGGCCTGCACGGCTTGGCGGCCCATCCGGGAGGCATCAGCGGTACGAGGCTCAACAGAATGACGCCAGAGTCGGAACTCAAAGCGCTCACGGGCGATCCTGTTGTTGCGAGAAGGATGAAGAATGCCGAACAAGGCGCTGCCACGACTGTATGGGCGGCGATATCTCGCGATTGGGAAGCAAAGGGCGGTGTTTTCTTGGAGGATTGCCAGGAGAGCGAGCTGTGGAGTGGAGATGGGACGGTTCTTGCACCAGGGCATGCACCACATATTCATGATGGTGAGAGTGCAGCGCGCCTTTGGGATATAAGCTTGGGCATGATTGGATTAAATACGAAAGTTTGAAAATGAGTTTCTCTGATGATATTCAGGGTGTTTTCACCGTGACCATGTGTATATACAAGACAAATTGTCAACAAAAAAACTTCCATGAATTCATTTTATTTGACCTTTAGCTGGTTCATCAACGTTGTGAAAATATCATTCCCGTTACTAACTGAGTTGAGTTGCTACGTATGAAGTTGAACGTATCGTCATGACCTGGTTTCTATGTATGATACTTAAGGGAGAAAAGAAAAGAAAAGAAAAGAAAAGAAAAGAAAAGAAANAGAAAAGAAAAGAAAAGAAAAGAAAAGAAAAGAAAAGAAATAAAAACTGTAGGGACTCTAGATCGCTGTTGTGTCGAAAACTCTGTAGAATTTCCGCTTTTCTCTATCAAATACGCCCTATATTGTAAGGGGCTACATGTATTCTTCTCTCGATATGTCACCCTAGCAAGATCCGCTCTTTGCCGCGCACGTATGTTAGGAATATGGCTGTAGATGAGAATATCCTAATTGCTAAAATGGAAAATTTAAAGATTTTTTTCACAAATACTTCAAAAAATGCTGGTTCCGCACCATGTAAGCTCAGTCTCCAGTGCCAGCAGAAGCTGGATAAAAAGGAGGCAAAACAGCATATTAGAGATATGAGCGAGTATGAATTACACGTCACTAAAAAAGCACCTACACATTTCTCCCTACAAATGTCTCTCCTTGCTTGTAGCTCTAGGTATATCTACTACTCACTATCTTGTCCCGTGGCGGTGTTCCAATTCCAGCCAACTATATCTGAAGCTTTATCATATGTCATGGCTTACTGAACGCCCTCGATCGTTAAATATATAAAATATATTTCATATAAGGCTACAGTACTTCAATCGCCATAACTAAGATCGATTACGTACGAGCATGGTTGTGTCTACAACTTCTTTCCAACCATCCAGCCAGCAGAGCAAAACGACAGCATACACTTGAGCTACACGGCAGTAATAACGCTCCATATGTAAATCGAAGATACTGCGAGGGTCAATTCAGTTAGTAGAACTGTGGGTTCAACGTATGTCGGGAATAGTACAATGTGGAATCCACCTTAAACGTCGTGCTTATAGCCTAGCTTTTGGCCAAGCTACCGTAATAGTCTCCAAGAGCGCCCGCACATTTCAGACTCTGCACGAGTTATACGCCAAAATCCCATTTAGAACCACCGCCTGGTGTGCCCTTGGCCGGTGACTATAAGCATAGTGAGCAGCTTCTCTGCTTCACTCGAATCTGCCTTCGGCTCATAATCCCGGCCACCATTCCACGCAAGCACTTGTAACCATCTCTCCTGAGTCCTACAAAATCATCAAAATAAACCGCAACCTCACTGATACTACAATGTCAACTCCATCCGAGCAAACTTTAATCATCACCGGAGCCGATGGCTTCGTCGGTTAGCACTATCAATCAAGCTTCAGACAGAGGATACAACATTCAAGGAGCAGCGCGGTCTAAAGAGCTCGCACACAAGGCTCACAGCACGTTTGACGACTACGGCTCTCAGTTCTCAGGGGCCGTCATCTCTGAATTATTCAGGAGAGAACTCTACTCCTAGGCCCATCACATGCGTCATACATGTCGCTAGTCTCTTCAAAGTAGCAGCCACAGATGTTGTCAGGGAGGTGTTGGATCCGGCACTTACAGGCACTATTAGTACGCTCGAGGCGACTCGTCAATATGGATCTAGTGTCTGCTGATTCGTCTACACCTCGTCCTTTCTCGCTATTCGTGATCTCAGCTATGGATTACGCCTCAGGTACACCTTCACAGAGAAAGACTGGAATCCTACGACGCGCGAAAGAAGCCATTCGGATGGGCGGTGCGGCGGCATCCTACGCTTCCAAGGAGAGCCGTGTGGGACTGGTTGGAAGCTGGAAAGCCTCTCTCACACTGACTTGTATCCGTTTCTCTGCGGCCAGTATTTCGATTTGCAGAGCGTAGTAGATAGGCTGCGCGGAACGATGCCCCGTGTGTTGGCCAAATAGAGTGTATACCGGCTTGATGGAAAAGGAAGCAAGACAGAGAGGATTGTGGGAATCAAGTGTATTACCTTGGAAGCCAGCATGAAGGATTCGCTTGAGCACTTCTTGCAAGCTGAGAAGTAAGATTATGTTGCGTAAGGACGGATTAGTTCTATCAACAGAGCTATCAACAGAGGAGCGTATTTGATATAGCAGATTATCAGACTATTGGCTAATCCTTCAAGCAACTATAGTCAAATCGGCAGTTTCATTTGCCGTAGATCTATCATGTCCAATATCTAATGGGAGGAGAAGCGTATACTATATACATGTACTCTAATACAAAACATTATATGCGTCATGAATCCTTGTATTGCCTTCTAATGCAGCAAGATGTCGTATCCATCCTTGGTAATCCGCACTTCATCCATCCCAAACCCATACTTTCGCCGGATAAGCTCAAAGATGATCAAGCCGGCGCTTGTACTCGGCACCTGCCGAATCGTATTCCACCAGAATCCCCGATACAGCCACTTCCCCAGACTCAGTCCTTCCGCTGAAGCCTCGGCTGTACAAGCTGCGAAAGTCTCCTGATAAGCGTGATAGTAAGCGCGCAGCATCTTCCATCGGCGCTGAGGCTTGTCTGGATTAGCAGCACGGGAAGCGCGTAGCCGGGCTGCTTTCGCGTCGAGATCTTCCAGATGGTCCCAGTGTTTGACTTGGAAGTGAGTGAGGGGGTGGAGCAGAAGCTGCTGAGAGAAAGAGGCGCTTATACCAGCGGCTAGGAGGAAGGCGGGCTCAATAGCGTAGTGTGGTCGAATAAGCTGAATGCCGCCATCCGTAGGTTTGTCTGTAGGGCGTTTTGTCGCAAGAAGATCGACGATATTCTCTTCTAGGCCTCCGTAATACCATGCCACAAAGCGATAGTACGACTGGGCTTTGATGTACTCGAATGTGCTGAAAAAGATGGCGCATCCCACGCTGTCCTTTACAAACGATACGCCCCATCCGGCAAAGATTCCCCGTAGTCCGATTTCTCTCAACTTCTCGGCGCTAAAGGTCCACATGCTTCGAGGCCGGTTACTGCCATCGTTGGGCATCATATCGCGATGGTCGTACCGCGCCTGCAATGCGTCCAGTGGCGCAGCCAAGACACTCTGTAGTCCACCCGCAAGGAACCCAGCCGCAAAAGTGGCCTGCGGCGGCGGCGGCGGGTATACCCTCTTGGTAGCCTTGGAGCTCTCCTCGTGTAGATGGCCCAGGATGTGCAGGTAGCCCGTGTACAGCACAGCATTGACGCCAATGTTGGCAATCAGCGGCGGCATGATCTGATGCGGCACAATGCCCCAGCCCTCGTGCTTGATCGCCGACGTCAGCACTCCAGGCGTTGTGCTCCGCATCCATAGCCATGTCTGTCTCAGCGCTGCAACCAGTTTCGTCGGGGAGGCGTCTTCGGCAACGGCCTGCATTAGCCTCTTTGTCTGCTGGTGGTGTATCGTCCGGGCATAAGCCAAATAGTCGACTCTCGTTCGGAAGAAGGACTTGGCGGGGGCGCGAAAGTAAAAAGCAACCAGCTGCGCGCTGAGAGCTCTCACGCCGGCCGCCGAAGCTGCTGTGGCTGCATTATTGCGCGGCTGGCGATCGGGAAGCTCGACGCCTGGAGGAAGCACGGGGAGGACGCCGGTGGTGGAGTCCGGCAGGGGGGGATCCAACGGGAGAGCATTAGAGCGGCCGGAGATCATGGCTTTTGCGGCTCATTGTGGGTGAGCGAGCGCTTGTCGGGGTCCGTTAGGAGATGCGCAGCTTGGGTATGAGAGGATGCGAGTTTTGAAAAGAAAGAAGAAGAAAAGGAAGATGTCGAAGCCTAATACCGGGAACTAGATATCGGATCTTGCTGACTAAGACGGCCATCGATCTAGTCAGATCTGCCATCTCCACACGGTGATCGTACTGTAACCCGCTTGCCCAAGATACATACATATGTAGTTACAACTCATAAATCATTTCTACGATTAATCATGTATTGGATTTCTTTTTTAACCATGCATGAATCACTCAATCAGCGTCTGGGCCCGAGTAACGTCATCCGGCAGCTTCGTCCACCTGCTCTTATACACCCGTCCATTCTTCAACACGGCCAGAATATTCTTCTCCGGCTCATCTAGAATTGTGATATCCTCAAGCGGATTGCCATTCAGCACCAATACATCTGCCGCAAATCCCTCCTTTATCTGGCCCAAGAAGTTTTCTTGCTTCAGCATTCTCGCCGCATTTACGGTGGCCCCCTGGAGAATCTTCGTGGCACTAAGAGCCTGTGCTCGAATACCGAATTCTTTGCTCTGTTCGGCCCACAGAGGTCCGAGGAGGTCGGAGCCGTGGCATATAGTAACTCCAGCTTCGTCTGCCAAGCGCAGAGATTGAAGTCCCTGCTCCAGCACCTGGCGGTTCTTCTCGCGGTTTGCAGGAGGTAGGAAGCCGGCATACTTGTCAGAGCCCATGGCGTGGTAGGTGACAAGCGTCGGAGTGAACCATACATTGTTCTTGGCCATGTATTCTGCAGTCTCTTTGTCAATCAGATTGCCATGCTCGATTCCCTTGACACCGTTGTCGACGGCATGTCTGATCGATCGAGGAGTGTAAGCATGAGCAGTCACGTAGGTATTGTAAGTGTCCGCAACCTCGGTAATCGCCCGGATCTCAGCAGCAGTAAACTGGATGTGATCAATTCTATCTGTAGGGGATGCAACGCCTCCACTCGCCATGATCTTGATGAAATCTGCTCCCGTGCGAATCTGCTCTCGAGCAGCATATATCGCGGCTGGGACACCATCGACGAGAGTGGAAAGCGAAGCTATTGCTCCGCAGCAGCTCTCATGGGCAGATCTCGAATCACCGTGGCCTCCAGTCTGCGAGAGCGCTCTATTAGCAATAAAAAGCCGCGGCCCATGGAACACGTCATCCGCTATAGCCTCTTTAAGAGCCAGCGTTGCACCTCCGGTATCTCTCATTGTAGTGAAGCCTCGGTATAGGACTTGAGCGGCCATGTATGGCTGGCGCAGTAAAGATACAGCAGCGTCGGCATGATTAGCAGCCGCTGCAAGACCCTCCTCCCCAGGCACAGAAGATAGATGGGCATGGCAGTCGATGAGCCCAGGGCAGAGATATTTGCCTGCCAAGTCTATCTCAATGGCGTCGCCAGAAAATAAGTGCGCGCTATTACCATCGTCAACCTTCTGGATGAGTCCATCTGATATCCGGACAGTCTGGTATGGGACAATATGTCCATTTGCTGCATCCACGACATTCGCATTTTTAAATACGTATATCTTTGGAGGGGGAAGTTTCCACGGCTTGATGAGATCCGGCTCAGAACCTGCATCTGTGATGCCGAGTTCCGGAGCGCGCGTCTGAAGCTTTGCCTCGCTTGTGACAGGAATCTTGCGCAGAGTCATTGCTATTGACCTCGTAGATAAGGAGCAACGAAGACGTAAGCGATTGTGTATTGTGTAAAGCTTAATGAGAGACTAATATGAGTAATAGATGATGAAGCGCCAAGGGCAAAGTGAGGGGCTGGTTCGAAGCGCAGGGGTCTGGATATTAACGCAGGGAGATGAGCGTAGCGTTGATCGTAGAAGACGCTTCATCATTTTGTTAGCCTATCTTTCCTGTATGGTCTTCCCATGTGTTGTTAGCAGCCTGAAATAATAGAATACGGCGTGTTAGAAAAGGCAGCGCATTATGCACGTCGAATCACCAAAATAGGATACGCAAGCATCCATCATCTATTTGCTGCAGCAATTAAATATCTTGTCTCCGGATAAATGAGTAAGCAAAAACGACGGATTTGAAATTTCCGTCTTTTATGCTTCAATACACCTGTAGTAGAATGTTTGCAAATTGAATGTTTAATTTACCTATTTATTCATTTGAGCAAGGTTAGATTTTGCCTTCAAAAGAGAAACGCATTTGGGTGCATATATATTCAACCGCCTTACCCTATACTTAAATCCACATATTTTGTGACCATTTACCCCAATATCTTTGTTGGGATCATTTTGATTTTATACCAATGAAGATCTAATGACATCTAGAAATAATATTCATCTACATGTGCCCATCAAATGCTTGGATTATCTCAGGCCCCGTAATCCGCCTCTTGACATCTTTATCTACCATCTTAGCAACAATGCGTCCAACACCCATAAGAGAGTCATCCAAATCCACGAGAAGCTCCTTTGCAGCTTCTTGAACAATTATCAACCACCGCTTCATTGCTTCTACAGCCGCAAAAGTCTCCGGGCCTCCACCCCTTAGGCGAGAAATATGCCATATCAAGGGTGGCGACTGTAATTCTGGGAGGGGAATCATGCCCAAGAGAAAGAGCATAACGACGCCGAGTGCAAATATGTCACCCGCGGCTCCACGTTGTCCTTTCTTCTCATATTCAGGCGGTATGTACCATGGTGATCCCGCGGTGTGCACATATCCATTAGATGACCACCCAAAATCGATAAGAACCGGTCCCCTCTCTTTGGAGTAAAGAATATTCGCTGGCTTAATATCATCGTGCGTGATTCCCTTACTGTGGATGAACTGGAGTGCATCAGTTATACTATAGAGCACTCGCTTTGCGTCGAAACTGTTCAAAGTGCAATAAGGGTTTCTTCCTCGTTCGCGATAACATTGTAAGCTAGGTGCGTTTACATGTTCCATATATAGCGATAGCAATCTTGCGTCAAAGCCAAAAACAGTAGCAATGGCGGGCTAGAGTTACATTAGCGTTGAATGTCAATGTTGGTTAACAATAAGTCTCAACTCACATGCTGGCTTACTTTGGTGTGATTCTTCACCTCATTCAACCAATGTTTACCGACGGTAGAGATATTCACTCCTTGCTTTGAAATAGGGTCGTGATCCAACTTACTTCGCCATACTTTGACCGCTATTGACTTCTCCGAAAAGCTTGAGTGGTCTGCTTTGAAAACAGTCGAGTTTGTTTGAACCGATATATCATCCTTGCGAGTAAGTGTATAGTCTTCTTGCTCAGTAGCGCCGGCTATCTTCACAGTATCGCCAATACGAAGGTGTTCCAGCGGATGACATATACTTAAAACGGTGCCTATATCTGTCCTGTCTGTGTTTGAAATTGTGTTTGCGGCAACCAGCTCCTTGGCCGGTGGTGGAGGTGGTTGTGCTGTTGTCTGGATGATGGTAGTGGCATTTGACTCGTCGATTGTCTCCCTTAATTTCGCCCTCTTGGCTTTCGATGGGCCCGGCTGTGAAGATGATGGCTCAAACGCTCTTTTATTAATCCTCATCATGTGGCTGGGAGGCTCTGCAACGGAAATATAGCAGCGTGGGAAGACAGTAACATCGAAGAGATGCTCGCCCCAAGCGTAGATACCGTATGAGGAGTTAAGGGGGACTTTCCCGAGAGACCCGAGTTTCAATGGTTCGTTCCGACGAGATAGCGGTAGCGGCCTGATAACAATTGGCTCCGTAGTGACTTGGGTCATGTTGCACAACAGTATAAAGTCGCTGCTCGGGTCGAACATGAAGTCTAGACAGACAATTTTGCCCCGACTGTTATGGCGAGTACGTCTCTGGTCCTTTGGTAATACTGCAATCTGTATGCTATAACCAACTTCGTGCTGCGATTGAATGAGAACCAGTTCGCCAGCGGTGTGGGGGATATGCGTTCCGGCCATTCCCATCGCTTGGGTATTGATATTAACCACACTATTCATATTGAATTTAAGCATGGCTCTTCTAATGCATTTCCGGCATGTCTTTTGATTGCCCACTTGCTTCTTGTCGCTGTCTTTGTCATCGGCAATATTATTGTGCGACTTCGTTGTCCCTTTGCTCTCATTATTCGTCGCGCTCCTCTCCGATCGAGAGTTTGATTCTTTATGATGCTTAACCATTGACTTAAGCTCGGTCGAAGCGATGGGATTCGTGGCGCCAGACGAAGACCCCCTCTCTGGTTGAGGGTTCGCTTGCTTGAGAATCGCATCGAATTCGCTTGCGGTAAAAGGGTTGGTATTGTTGGATGGTGGAATATGTTTTGGCTGAGTAGTGCAATCTCTATTATGGTGGATGTTTGCTTTTAATTCGGAGGCGGTAAAGGGGTTGGTATCATTAGATGACTGAATATTCGTTATTGGAGTGTTGCACTCTTCGTTGTGTGTTGTGTTCGCGTTTATCTCGCTACTTGTATAAGGATTGGTGCTAATAGTCGACGACTGTGCTATCTTTGACTGAGCATTACACCAGCCATTATGTTCAGCATTTGCTTTCAATTCGGAAGAAGTGAAGGGGTTTGTATGCTCGGATGCTAGCTGGTAGTGCTCGTCGGGTGCTTGTTGCACGGCTTGCTCCATTGATAACGTTGAATATAATCTCGGATGGAATAGAGGAATTGGCACTATTACTTCTCGGGCATTGTTACAGAGGATTTTAGAGAAATAAGTGTATCTAAATCTACGAAAGATAGGACAACTTTTGAAATGCTGTAATCGTACAGTGTCGTGTTAGTTGCATTTTCGCTCTCTCCACAGAAATCACCGTTAGACTTAGCACCTGACTGCCTACTACTCGGCATATCAACTTCAAATGCTTTCCAAGTGCACCTGCGTTTAACAGACAGTGCTACAAAATACATAGCGCCATATCAGTTACAGTAGCAAGCCATCGCCTAACGTGAGCTACGCCATTTCCTGTACAGAGCAGAAGCCCTGGCTCATCCCGCTCATAGCCATTGGCCACAGAGGGGTCTGAGGAGTTGCAAGTGTATGAATGGATGCAGTCAGCATGGGTGAAGAGACTGAGGGGGATTGCATGATCAATTGCAACAGCTGAATGAGTGGATTTAGTGGCAACGATGCCGATCGCGGTAGCTATTCTAATGCAGCTGGACCAATATGTACAGCCGTGGCTGCATAACAGCTCATGACTGCAGGAGCCTCTCTGACGTGGCACAAAAGGTTACATCTACGAAATTCGACTATTTCTGCTAGTGTCCGTTCTCTGTAGATATAACCATACACTTGCTGCATTGGCCATTTTGATACACGGGGATGCGGGCAGTACTAGCGAGCATTGATGACATGGAGCCCCTAGATTCTAGCTTTAGCACCAGACTCCAGTGCTCCATAAGACTTGTTCTTGAATGCTTCCAGGTAACTAACGATGCTAACTAGTTGAGCAGACATTCATTCACTATAACGGCAAGTTGTGATAATAGATTGATTGATAGTATTCGTATAATTCAAAAATACGTACTGAGGTAATAATTCATACTGGGTAACGCTTGAAATATGTCATTGAGTACGGAATATTGGTATTAATTAGACATACTTTCCTATGTGCTTGATCATTTACTCTTTTATTTTTTTTTTGTTTGTCCCTATAAACATTTTGATTAGTAGCTGATATAGTGGCTCGAGGTTTTCTGGTTTCGCATAATAGCCTTTAATTTTACATTTGAATTTGAATTTCATTTTGTATGATGCTCCCTAGAAACGATTTCACATCTTTCTCCTTGTCTGAATTGCCCGATTCATACCCAATTGAGCAGTTTAATTAGGTGGTTCCTAGTTGTGCCCAACTTCCTATTTCGTCTCCCCTCTTTCAGCATTTCCGAGTTTTTGCGCATTCTTTTTGATATGTGCGCGCTTCCATCACGTGAGTTATGGGGGTGGACTGTCTTGATGCTTCCACCGCCCCAATCATTTCTGGTCTTCTATAAGCCGTACACATGGGATGATTGATTATCGCCATTCTATTTCAGATGGATCCTGCACTTCCCAAGCCAGATTACCGACATGATCTGGAGTGGTACTGGCCTTTTGAAAAATTTCCTCTCGATCCCAATGATCTCTTCACCACTCTTCATGATCGCTTTAATACCAGACCATTTCCCTTACAAGACCCAGTTGCATTCCACCGGGATGTCTATGAATGTGCTGACAGCTCTGACACAATAGACGAGTTTTATTCTCGACTAGAAGAACGTAAGGCTCAACGGATAGAAGAAATGTCGGAGGGATGGGATGAAGTTAGTACTTTACTTGTATCGTTTCCAACTCTACTATCTTGCCAGTTATGCTACGATCCAGAGACCCGTGATGTGAAGATGAAGCCAGGCACCAAAAATGACTCGATGGGCCAGCGGCGGTTTGCCTTTCTACAATATGCGCGCTACATGTCTTTTGATAATCTAGTGAGGTTTTTTGACGGTTTTGTGAGAGATGAAAGAGAGGAACAGGAGAAGATCAGGCGCTGGGCAGACGAAGGTCTGGAGAGCATGCGGAGGGCGCGAGCCGCTAAGCGCGTAGCCGCCGCTTCTGGAGCCATCGAAGCAGCAATTCCAGACTCACCTCGCAGGACCTCTCCCAGAATAGCACGCAACAAGCTAAAATCGTCTCGCAATGTCCCGGCTTCAGGAAGCTCAGCGGCTTCGGCTTCGGCTTCAGCAGCTGCTGGCGAAAAGTCACGGCCACCATCGTCCTCGAAGCGGCCCGGCCCGCCGCGCCGCGCCGACGGGTTATCCCCTGGACAAACGACCGAGAGCTCAAGAGCCGGAAAGAGGAGAAGTAACGAAGATGCGCATAGATCGACTAGGAAGAGACGGCGCATGGCAAGCGAGGACACTGGTGGCGAAGATGTCGATCCAGGGAGACGTGCTGCCAAGCAAGACGAATCAAGAGGTGCCGAGGGTGCGCCGACTTTTGCGCATTCCAAGAAACGGAAATCATTAGATGATTCCCTGGGCGAAGCAAGAAAGAAGAGGACTAAAACAACCGACAGTCTACACAACAGGTCAACGCAGTCTCCAAGACGATCAGCTAATCAGGACCAACCAGGTAGGGCTCCATCATCGGCCGAGAGAGACTCTAGTATTCCCTCTACTGCGGTGCCTTCCAACTACGATCCAGATACGGTAGACGAGGAGCGCATACAAAGGGTCCCCTCAATACTCGACCCAAACAAAGCCTTCTATATAGAAGAGCGCACGCAATCACCCTCGGAGAGAAATCCTAGTATTGTTGATACAGGGGATCCTAGCCCGTCTCCTTTATCTGAGATCAATGATACAACGCAGCTACCCGTGCAAGAGCATGGTGGAGAACATGTATGGGTACAGACGGACGACCAAATCATAGACCCAAACAGAGCCTTCTACATAGAAGAGTCCAGCCAGCCAGCATCAGGGACAAGTTCTGAGGTCGTTGATGCCAGCCAAGAGATTCTACAAGCCGATGAGGATAGGCTTGTGCATGGACTTACTCCTGAGATATCTACTGCAGCAACAGAGACGAAAAAGCCCAAAAAGAAGCTTCAAAGAAAGCCTCCAAGAACGCCCCGAGCCCCGAGCCGGCAACGAGTCGATAAGAGACGCTCAATCAAAGAACAGAGCTCATCTGCGCCGAAGAAACAATCTCGTCGGAACAAACCCCAAGAGCGAAAGCCCTCGCCTTCCACACAACGGCTTTTACGCTCCACGCGGTCGTCTAGAAGAGACCCCGGACAGGAGCTATGGTTTCTTGGTGATAATTCCGTGGCTTGCGCCGTCACGAGTACAAAGCGGACATAGCTTTCGTCTCTATTGGTGATAACATGAAATTCAAAGCAAAATATAATGGACTCCAGCGCCAAGTGCTAGTCGACTTGGAAGCATACCCGTTAACCTGGCAGGGCCGGGGGCAGCGGGCAGCCTTTTTGTTCGACTAACGGCTCACATGCAATTGGCGCGTTCTTCTAGCATGGTCGTTAATCTGACAGGGTCGGAGGCAGCGGCGTAGCTGAAGAATGGCCCGATTGCAATGTGTCCGGCTCGGAAGATATGGTCGTTATCCTGGCAGGGCTGGGTGCAGCGGCGGAATCTTCAGAGGCCTTGAGAGTTGAGAGGAGCCTTTGGAAATCTTTGGAGCAAATGGCCTAAATGAACTTTGAAAAGAGATATATCCATGTTGGAGATGCAATAGGGGGGCGTATTATATCGGTTGGTTGCCGAATATGAGAAATAGTGAGGCGGCTAACTCGCTATCTATTTCAATCTAAGTCTATCGGGGCTGATGCACAAATTAAACAAAAAATAATAAAGAGATAAACTTTTTTCAGAATTCGCATGGTAAAACCCTCTCTTAAGACATTTGTCAATTCGGACGCTGCAACGCCAGTTTACGCCTGTGTTGCAATTAATATTTCAACGTTTCTGAGCAGCGACTGTGGTTTTTAATTTCACTCTCTAGAGCCACTCACCTATTACGCGTAATATCCGACCATATGTTTCGAACACTGTTGTTTCGATCGGCCAAAGTAGGCCCTGGCGTAAGCCAGTCGGTGTAAGACCCAGATTCAACATGGGCCTCCCAGCCGCCATCCAACGGCGACCCTTCTATCCCAAAATCGTGCCAAGCCATAACCTTCACCTTATTCAGTCCCTTGGAGACTTTGATATCGCAGTCGGTAGGGCAACGCGGACAAGAAACAGATATCCACTGCCCTGGGTGTGCCAAAGCCGACTCGATCCCGTCTTCGAGTCCGGTGATGGCACGTGCGTGTTTAGATATCCTGCCGAATGCCTCCTTGCACCTGCGGGAAAGCCAGACTCCGCCGCAGATGATGCGTAAGTGTGGGCATACGGGGATGAGAAAGCGGTGGATGTCGATGGTGTCGACCAAGGAAAATATGGAGTTGCTGATCTTCCACTCTTCTCGCAGGAAGAATCGGCTGTCTATAATCCTGGGCTCGGCCGTGTAGGATTTTGAAAAGAGGTCTCTCGTTGACGCGTCCGTATACGTATGCTTCTTCATCAATGCTGCCAGGTATTTCGAGTAGTAGCTGTTGCCCAGGCGGGAGAACTTTAGCGCGAGCTGTATGTGGTGATACTGGAGACGATAACTCTCTTCCGCAAACGCCCCTCGAGAGAGATCGACCCCGCAGAGAGGAGGGTGCCTGGACAGACTCTCGTCTAGTAAGTCTAAAGGAATGAAATGATGCAGCTTGTAGCATTTCGGACAAGCCCAATAGTCCACGAAAACAAATGCCAGGCCTGCCCAAAATGTCAGCTCATCGGCTGGAGAGATTCTCAAGATCTTCGACTCCCAGTCCTGCCCCATGATGTTTCTAAAAGCTCGACAAGTTTGCGAAAGAAAGAACTTGTCGTGTAAAGATAGGTAATCTCCAACTAGCAGTATCACGTCCAGCGGCAGTTGAAGAATGGTGGTATTGTTGTTGTCTCTGCTTACGTTGGGCGGGCAACTGATGCTCCTTCGAAAGAGCTGTGTGCTGGACTGCATATTGAGCGCTGCGTATAAAGATTGTTTCAAAAAAATTGAAGCATTGTGCGGGATTTCAAGAACATATGCATGTAGACTAGTCAGCGCTTCTTTATACACGTCGTCAAAGCTAGATATGTAGCGTCATCAAGGCTAATTCGGCGCGCCGCGAGTTCAAGGGCTTGTTTCATAACGATTCTCGCTCTGGCTTGCTTTCTATGTTTTGGAGCTTTTTCTGTTGACCAAACCATCTTTTGAAGAGACTCGCTAATGAGAAAATAAAGGATAAATAGGCGTTGCGGCACGCCATCAACGTTTGTTTGCGCCACGACGTAGAACAGTCCAGTGAATGTGTCAGAAACGTTGAATTTTTGAAACCACAACATTGGTATAATCAACCAATAAATTGGCAGCTATTATGACATATACAGCGAGGTAGGCGCTTATTACAGCTATCTTTTTATACAGTCGCGATCTTTGAACATAGGCATCGCGTAATTACATAGCGTCAGTCAACATTCTCCAGGACTAGGCGAATGCCTAGGTAGTTATCTCAAGTATAAAACCTTCCCAGCATTAAGGAACTTTTTGAATGGTATAATGAAAGTTTACTTTTATATATATTCTCTGGAGAACAGTTTCGGTCAGTCTTTAAGCCGGGAGCGAGCGCCTCCAAATTATAAGTTCCATACCTGATGTCACACGAATACGATATGTTGCCAGGGGCCACCTATTTATTTAATGGTACGAGCAGCTCTCAGAGTCGGTCATAAAGTTGTGCCATAAGTCACTCCGTTAAAATACGACCGTGATAGGCATCTTCCTGCCACTTCCCATCTCTAGCTACCTAGGGAGGGAATGCCACCCTGAGAAGATAGATTTCCACGTGGGTGGCTGAATGTAACCTAGTGGAGTCGCGAGGAATGAGATGCATCTGGAATCTGTACCATTTGCTACCCACAAGTCTGTGAGGCTCGGAAGTAGAAAGCAGCTATTGGCCATCTCCAAAGAAAGGGACCTTTCACAAAGCATGTGTCATCTTCTCATCTCATTCAAATCATTGGATCAACCATCCTTAGATAAATCTGGGGTCGCTATTGCGATCCAAGAGGCAACTGGGGGCCGGGAACTTTATGCTTCCCCAGTAAATACGGGCCCTTTAAAATAGTTCTACAGTAGAAAGCGGCTGTTGGGTATCCCCATCTCCTTCAAAGAAAACAATTTTTTTAGAAAGTATGTATGATCTTCGCACCTCGCTCAAGTCCTTAGATCAACAATGCTTAGACTAATTTAGGGTCACTAATACGGCCCGGGATACTGGAGGCGGGAGTTTTTTACGCCTCGCCAGAAACTACGAACCTTAAATGGTTCGGTAGTAGAAAGCGGCTATTAGGCATCTCCATCTGGTCCAAAGAAAATGAACGTTTAGATAGTGTGTCGTTTTTGCACCCTATTCAAGTCGTTAGATCAATTACCCGTAAATTAATTTAGGGTCAATAGTACGGCTGGGGATAATTGGGGGAGGGGATTTTACGCTTCCCCAGAAACTGCTAACCTCAAAATGGTGCTGCTGCATCTTTGTCTCATTCCGATCTTGTGCCAGCTAGACATTAGTCAGTGATGACTTCTAACTCTTACCTGCCGGTGACACTTATTCGTTATATGACACATTGCCCATAGATCTCTCTAACCTGTCCGCTCACATAAACCTAGAACTTCACCTACTATCTAGTGTACGGTTCGTCACGTATTGCCATTGCCAGTATACTATACTATTTATTGTAGTTTGCTCAACTATTTTAACCCCGCCAATTCAAATGCCGATTCAAATACCGATTCAGCTGCAAGCTCAGACGCTAATTCAGTATGGGACCCTGATGCAATGGGGCCCTGCTTATAACTTAGGTACTGAAGATATCCTACAGTAAGTATTTAGAAGACTCGACCAAGGCTATTCTTATAACTAGACGTGTCTGGTCCTTGGAAATTGAATCGGATGAATCGGATGGCTGCTTCTAATCCTGTGCACCTTTATCAACCGATCACAACCGCGATACAACGTTATGGCTGAGCAGGTCGATGTGCTCATCTGTGGCAGTGGGTCTGCCGGGCTTTGTGCAGCAGTCTGGCTCGCACGATGTGGCATAAACTATAAGATTCTGGAGCGCCGAGCTGGCCCGCTCGAAAATGGCCAAGCGGACGGCGTTCAGACTCGAACTGTGGAAATTTTCGAAAGTTTTGGTATAGCCGAAGACCTCCTCAAGGAGTCATATCATGTGCTCGAGGTTGCTTTCTGGGCGGCAGAGGGCGAGGGCATCAAGCGAACGCACTATACAGCGGACACGGAGCCGGGTTTAAGCCACCAGCCTCATGTCATTCTCAACCAAGCGAGAGTAAATGGCATGCTGATTAAAGAGATGGAGCGGGTGTCCAAAAAAACCATGATCGAGTACGGTTGTGAGGTCCAGAGTGTAGAAGTTGACGATACTGCGCACAAAGACCCAGCTGCGTACTGCGTTACCACAACAGCTAGTTCAAACGGGCAACAAAAGATCTTTCAATCTAAATATGTGCTGGTTAGCTAGAAAGTCCCCCCTTGATCACATCTCTCCGTTAATGCTAACAATGGGCAAGGCCTGTGATGGGGCGCATAGCGCGATTCGGAAATCCCTAGGATTTGCTATGGTCGGCGATTCCACCAATGCCGTCTGGGGTGTTATGGACATTCATGCCAAAACTAACTTCCCTGACATCCGCAAGAAGGTCATCATCCAATCACATGCTGGGAACCTTATGATCATCCCTCGTGAAGGCGATTCCATGGTCCGTTTCTACATTGAACTCGGCGGAGCAGCGGTCAAGGACGTCACCCTGGCCGACCTCCAAGAACGAGCGAGCCACATCTTGCACCCTTATTCTATCGAGTTCATGAAAACTATCTGGTGGTCAGCGTACTCCATCGGCCAGCGCCTCGCTGACAACTTTGAGAAGGCCGGGCGTGTCTTCTTGACCGGCGACGCGTGCCACACTCACTCTCCAAAAGCTGGGCAGGGCATGAATGTAAGCCTGCAGGACGGCTTCAACATTGGTTGGAAGCTGGCAGCCGTCCTACGGGGCCAGTGCTCGGCCAAGATTCTTGAGACATATGTCTCGGAGCGTCAGAAGACGGCCGCACAGCTTATCGATTTTGATCGTTTCTTCACAAAACTCTTCTCGTCCTCCTACCGACAGGAGAATGGAATCACTGCGCAAGATTTCAAAGACCACTTTGTCAAGGCGGGGCGATACACAGCCGGCCAGGGCGTGCAATACGAGGAATCCATCTTTATATCCCCCAGCACGACGGACAAGGACCTAGCTCGCAACGTCGTTGTTGGGATGCGCTTCCCCAGCGCCCAGGTTGTACGCTTCTGCGACGCTCGCCCGATGCAGCTAATGACGGCGCTCCCTGCCGATTCTCGGTGGCATGTTGTTGTATTTGCAGGAGATATCTTGCAACAGGCTGCAGCCGTCCGGCTTGCCAAGGTCCGTCAGAGTCCCCAGCGTAGCGAGCCGCACTGACAAAGGCTATGTTCACATAGGTCGCAGCAGAACTGCACAACATGATTTATATGTTTACACCGACTGGCCAGGATGCCGACACTGTTATCCAGGGCGTCCTCGTGCTTGCTTCAAAGCGCATCGAGGTGGAGCAAAAAGTGATCCCTGACGTCTTTACACCGGAGACAGGAGAGTGGAAGATCAAAAGTAGGTCTTCATATTAATCCGTATATTTCCAGACCAGCATTAACATAAGTAGATCTCCAAAAGATCTTTGTGGACGATGCTAGTTACAATGCGGGGCATGGACAAGCATACAAAACCTACGGCATTCACCCTGAAGGCTGTGTGGTTGTTATCCGCCCAGACCAATGTAAGCTATTAAATTCTATATTTATGCACAGGTACGGAGTACACTAACTATAGATAGATGTTGCAAAGATCTGCTCTTTAGATAATATTAAAGATATTACAGCTTTCTTTGAACAATTTTTATCTTTAACTTCTCAATTTAAATAATTAAATATTAATTATAAATTTAAAATTAAAAAAAAAAAAAAATTATAATAAATAGCTTTATTTATATCCTGCTATTTTATATTTGAGAATTAGACTGGGTCGGCTAGGCATTGCCTTATGTGTTTCCTCAGTAACATTAAACTTAGTTTGACGAGGCGTTTTAACAGCAGTTTAATTATCTATTTATACATTTATTTTAACAAATGAAGATACTTATTTTTTAAACATATGCCTGCTCTAGTAAATAGGAAATCAACACACCACTGTGCGCAGCTGCCAATACGGTTCTGCCTCTACATGCGTGGTCTTTTTGGGAGATAAGTAATTATATATAGCTTAATAGAAACAACCCTTTCACCAATGGCTCAAACCAAGTGCCTCTCAGACGCTTGGACAAGTCGCTTAGTCAGCTCGCGTAGCTCAGTTGGTTAGAGCTTCGTACTAATACTTCAACTTCTGTTGAAATCTTAGTGATGCGGAGGCCGCAGGTTCAAGCCCTGCCGTGAGCAAATTTTTTACCCCTTTTTTTAACATGCAGACAGAGGGAAGAGGGAGAGGCTTGCTTAACTTCATCCTCTTATATTGTTTTGTTTCTTCTTACATACTTTTTGGTGTGTATTCTCGTATAATTTGAGCATTCAATTCTTTATCATGTAACAACGAGCAGTTTCGCATTTCTTTTGCAAAACAATTAGCAGATAGACGCTTCGACGTTGTAAAGGATAAATTAGGAACTGGGATATTCCATTCATACAAGTTTCAATTCCCATTATACCATAAATATGCTAACTGTGTTCTAGAAAAAAAAATCCAAACATGACTCTAAGTATCCTACCCATTGCGCCAATAACCTGCACATTTTGATATTGCACCTGCATCCCAAATTTACCGTAGCTGCACATCGCTCATGGTTTCTGCTCGCGTCCGTCGAGCCACTTGCTCATGTACGGTCCATCTAGCCAGTACCCGAGTTTCTTGTAGTAGCTTCTTACACCGACACCAGAGATGACACTGATCTTGTCACTGCCATGCTCCTCTCTGGCTATCCGCTCGGCCTCTTCCATCAGTAGGGTACCGAATCCTTGGTGTTGGAACTTGCGAGGGTCACGCGCATGAATAGGCACTGCAGTACCATAGACGTGGAGCTCTCGGATCATACTAGTAGGCTGGCCAATAAGCTCTTCTCGGTAAGTATACTTTTCGGTGCACTTTCGAAGTCGTAGGAGAGCGACCAAGATGTCTTGCTTCGGATCTTCATAGGCGAGGAATGTCTCCCAACCACCATTGGCGGCATAGTCTCGGCGGACCAATTCGATCTGGTTCGGTCTAATCTTGTGCTTGACTTCATTGACTCCAACTTCTCTGGTTCTTACGTCTCGGCATGTCGTGCCGAAATCCTTCATCCTAGCCAAGGCCAGCTCTCGGAGGTTTCCGTTTTCGACACCAGAGGTAACCAGAGGCATGGGAATATCTCGTTGGACACGGTAGATACGGGTCCATGGAGGGATGAGTGCCATTATCCGTGCCACCAGATCAATGAGTTCGTTGGGTGTGTAATTTTGATATCTTCCTGTCCGCCACAGCTCATAAAGACCGGTGCCTCGAATGACCAGAGTAGGATAAATTTTCAAACCATCAGTTCTGAAAGCAGGATTTTCAAAATATTCTCTGAATTGGTCAAGATCACGCTCCATTCCCACGTTGGGCAGATCAGGCATCATGTGGCTGACTACCTTGTAGCCTGCATCCTTAGCCAAACAGAATGTCTCTGCCACGGCCGCCACCGTATGGCCTCGGTTTGTGTCTCGCGCAACATCTTCATACAGAGACTGCACTCCAATTTCCAATCTCGTGCAACCATATCTCAGCATGTCTGTGAGATGGGGCTGCAAGCAGTAATCCGGCCGTGTCTCAATGGTGATGCCAACGCATTTGATGTTGCTCATTTCTCCGGCCTCGACTGCCTCGTCAACTTTGGATGTCTGATATCCGCTCAGAGCATTATGTAGTTGAGCGATGAAGTCTTCTCGGTATGACTCAGGTAGTGACATGAAGGTTCCTCCCATGATGATATATTCAACTTTGTCCACAGAGTGTCCCAGAGACTTGAGCTGGTCCACTCGGCCTCGGGCCTGCTCGAAAGGGTCGTAGCGAGCGCGGATAGCTCTCATTGAGGTCGGCTCGTAGCCGGTATAGGACTGTGTGCTGTACTCGAAATCCGAATCGGGTCCTCCAGGGCAGTAGACGCAAATGTTTCCAGTGTATGCAATGTGTGGGCATCGATGAGGTTTGCACATGACAGCAACAACGGCAATACCGGAAGATGTTCCTATCACAAGATTAGCTTAGAGTTCTGTATTGTCCTTGTGTATGTCCAAGCCTTACGGATAGGTTTTGCGATCAGCTTAGGGAGGATATATTTCTTGTAGTGTTCGGGGATTGCAGCAATGATGGCCGTAAGAGGAGGAATGTTGGCCAACTTGTGCTTCTTTGCCAGCTTCGCTCGCAGAGAGTTCAGGTTAATATCCCTTCCCGGCCGGCCATTCTTGGTAGCCTCATGATCCTCAATTAAAGCGTTGGCGAGATCTGCGCAGCATCGCAGGAAGCGCTCGCTCTCTGGCGCCAGTTCGATGGTTTTCTTCTGCGACGTAGCCGTCGCCGTAATTGTGGCAGTCGCCATTTTCGTTGATCTTCTTCCAACTAGCCGTGAACTCGTTGCTTATGGCGACAAATCAGCTTTGAAAAGGTCGACTTATGCGTCTCCAGAGCGATAGAATGCTGATATTTAGTGCCCCTCTCGTTGATGTTCGATAAGAACTTTTGGTGGACTATCGCTGTAGTGGGGGCAATTTTTCAAGATTTGAAAACGGAGGCTCAAAGCATATCCGTTTGATACTGCGGAGTCTAAAACGCCTGGTCCCGTTTTCTTCCATACACGCTGCCCCTCTCCGTTTTCTTCCCCTTTGCGCCAAAATTTGCTTCTGATTGGACCACAGAAAGGAAAAAAAAGACGTGCCGCTTCGGAAAAAGCAAACTGCCGGGTCCCCGGCAGCACCCGAATTCAGAGCTGCCAGAGCCGGTAATTTGCTGCCGTATCGACGTAGCTCAAAACCTCTCCAATTCGCTCTTCCCTGTATCTCTCCCAGGGTTGCATTCGCGGCGCTTTCTTTTCAAGACTCTGTCTCCCCTAGAAGCTCTCCTCTCTTTTCCCTCCCCCCCCTCACAGCCATGCAGGCCATCCCCAGAACCGCCGCGCGCTCTGCGGCGCTGCGCAACGCTGCCCGCCGTGGCTACAGCTCGGCCAGCTCGCCCTACTCCAAGACCATCGAGAACCTGCGCATCAACAGCGAGACCAAGGTTATCTTCCAGGGCTTCACCGGAAAGCAGGGAACGTATGTTTTGCCCCGGCCTTGGGACAAGAGCGTCTGAGCAGAAAACGTCGTCGCAATGTGGATGCTGATTGTACAAATGCGCAGTTTCCACGCCCAGCAGGCCATTGAGTACGGTACGATAAAGCCTCGGAATATCGCCGCGCACAAAAGTTGGATGCGAATGCTCACACCGCCGCTCGTCTAGGAACCAAGGTTGTTGGTGGCACAAACCCCAAGAAGGCTGGCCAGACACATCTCGACCTGCCTGTCTTCAAGAACGTCTCCGACGCCGTCAAGGAGACTGGAGCCACCGCCACTGCTCTTTTCGTCCCGTATGCGACCCTCATATATCCCAACTATAATGCCGCCGCTAGATACTGACCAACTGTTCCAAGCCCCCCTCTGGCCGCCGCCGGTATCGAGGAGGCTCTCGAGGCTGAGATCCCTCTCGCCGTCTGCATCACCGAGGGAATTCCTCAACATGGTCAGAGCTTAGCCCCACCATATGTTTTCTCCCAGTCCCGAAAGCTAACCATGGCGAAATTTCCCGGATATTAGACATGGTCCGCATCACCCAGATGCTCAAGACCCAGTCCAAGACCCGTCTGGTCGGCCCCAACTGCCCCGGCATCATCGCCCCTGGCCAGTGCAAGATCGGCATCATGCCCGGCTTCATCCACAAGCGCGGCCGCATCGGTATCGTCTCTCGTTCCGGCACTCTGACCTACGAGGCCGTCAACCAGACCACCCAGGCCGGCCTTGGCCAGTCTCTCGTCGTCGGCATTGGCGGTGACCCCTTCAGCGGCACCAACTTCATCGACTGCCTCAAGGTCTTCATCGAGGACGAGGAGACTGACGGTATCATCATGATCGGCGAGATTGGTGGCTCCGCCGAGGAGGACGCCGCCGAGTTCCTCAAGCAGGCTAACACCGTCAACGGCGGCAAGCCCGTCGTCAGCTTCATCGCCGGTATCTCTGCTCCCCCCGGCCGCCGAATGGGTCACGCCGGTGCCATCGTCTCCGGCGGCAAGGGTGGTGCTGACTCCAAGATCGCTGCTCTGGAGAACGCCGGTGTTATTGTGGAGCGCTCGCCCGCTGGTCTGGGCAAGGCCCTCTACAACGAGTTTGTCCGCCGCGACCTGCTGTAAATCCCAAGTCTCTCTTTTTCTTTCTCCTCTTTCTTGGCGAAATGAGATGATTTACGGTAAAAAAAAGTAAGACAGTGGACTTTGACTTAATCATATTCATAATTTAAATCCATTAAATAAATGAAAAAAAAAAAAAATTCATACACGGAGGGAGTGGAGGCTGTAGAAAATGGCTGGTGATAGGTTTCTGGAGCATGGGGATAGGAGGGAAACGGAAGAATAAGCTCCTTTTCCATAGAAAGGGGCTATTTTTGTTTTCATTTAATTCTATTGTCGTAGATACGTGATAGAATAGGTGCCATGGGAGAGCAATTGTACCATTTGCGCGTTCTCAAGAGTCTGTTCCAGTTTATCTTGTAAAATCATGCTAGATAGGTCGTAGCTTAGAGTACCTACATGGAAAAGGCCGAGACTTTACATCCAAGAGCGCAAAAGTTGGGAAAGTAAACCTAATAGGGAGAGCAGTAATAGGATGTCGCAATTCCAAAGACAGTGTATAACTAAAAGTATCAGACGCTTTATTGAATGTAATATGCTATTTCCGACCGCATAACTCCATTGTTATGAATGATATACCCGATTTGAATGCGCTTCTCTGGGGCCATTCATGCTTAACCCTCGAAACCAAACACCTTTTGGAGATTTCAAGCTAACTACGGACCTGTTTAGCAGATCGATAGTCCTAAAGGGAAGCAACACCTCCGAGATATAAAAATATGGCAAAAACAAAATTGAAAACCAAAGTCCAATCAGCAGATCAAAGAAACTCCAGTCCACAACCGCCCTCTCGCTACCTCGATAGATGAGGCGTTTATATTTGCATCTACTGCTCGCCAAGAAGTCGCGCAGTGATATCACCCACTTGGCCTTCTGTCAAATGATAGTCTCTGCCGTTATTGCGGTCAATGCCGAAGTAGAGTAACGTTTCCGTTACGCGGTCAATTTCAAATCCCATACTCGTGAATCTGTCAACTAGCTGGCGGTTGTACCCGAGGTATCTATAACGCATGTCGAGTTAGTTTTTCTTTTCTAATTTTCAACATCGCAAATCATTACTCCGGACATACCGGCGCTCATCCTCATTTTCGACCGGTAGCCTAGCCAAACTCCTAAATCTAGTCGTATCAAGGTTTGGTTGGCGGGGAGCACCAGCATGTCTTACAGCCCACTCGTGAGCCATGACAACGAATGAATCCGGTTCGGTCAAAAGCATATTGGCGACTTCGGCGTCCTGTGGATCCGACGGGTTTGGGTTTTCGAGGAGCATTCTAATAGAAAGCAGAGCCGTCTTGATAGTCTGGACAGGTGACCAGTTGGTTTTGAGAATATCGAGACAAATTGCGCCCTTGGAGCAAATATTAGTAAAAGTGAAAATAAAAGAAAGAGAGGAAAAGAAAAGAAAAGACTTTGTGATCGAAAGTCACATCATCGCTCTGCACTCTCCCCCACACCACACGCCATATAAGGGGGGGGGGGATTTGGGTTGAGCTAGCTGGGAATCCAGGGATGAGAGGACGTACGGTTTGGCTGCTGACATTTGGATGCCAGATTTTTGTTTCAAACTGCATCCGCGGAGGCTTGAAGGGATACTGGTTGTCGAGAACAATCTTAATTACGTATTTGCCACCCTCATACGGCGTGTTTCCGGGGCCAAGGAACCAGCCCTTGAGAGTTGTGAGCGACGACTCTTGGACGGGAGCGGCGTGGATGCCGGAGTTGTCCTTGTCCTCTGTCAAGTCCTGCAGCTCCTTGATGATGCGGCGATCCCTGCTATTGGACATTGTGGCCGGAGTTTATCGCGGACGCAGCGGGTGGTTCCAGTTGGACAAGAGAGCGAAAGAACGTGGTCGATGCAGAGAGCGTGCTGCCGGATAATACAACGCTAATGGAGCTTGTCGGGGCAGCGGAGAGAGTCGTTTGAGAGTCGTTTCTGGGGGGAGGGAGCGAGAGGAGCAGGTCGAGTCGCTGTCAAGACGCCGGCGGACAGACGGGAGAATGCAGAAGCAGAAGCAGAAAAGGCACCAAGGCCAGCAGTATCTCAGTGGCGCATGGCTGAGGATGAGGGGCGGCAGCGGCTATCGACGTCAGGCCAGACCGGGTCTCCCACTGCGGGACACCACCGCTTTAGCGGGGTGCGACTTAATTTCACTGAAGCATGTCCAGCAACAGCAACAGCAACAGCAACAGCACCTTGCAATCGCCTCCAAATCCACGAGCAGCGTGTCCGGATGGTGCCTAGTGTGCCCTGGGAGCTGGCATTGGCCGGGCTGTGCGTCTGTGGGCATGCGCAGGGAGAGGGACTTGCGCCGAATCAGACGTGGGCATCGTCACCAAAGAATCTGGTGCAAACTCTCCGGCGCACTCTGGAGCGCGGTGGGTAGCTGGCGGCGGTGCCCATCTTGAGGTGCCCCCAGCATCGGCGTCTGTGCTCGCGTGTAAGAGCAGACAAAGTGGCCTTGGCTTCTGAATCAAGCATGGGTCGGGAAGTCTCGTAGCGCTCTGAAACGGACGCGGCCGAGGTGGCTGGTTGACATAAAGTAGCGTAGCAAATGTAGGCGCTTTCTGCGGCGAAAAGGTAAAGTGGTAGCCAGCACGGGAAGATTCAACCCATGCAAGTATGTATGTACGCTGCAGCAGCCAAGCCAAACACACAGGCTACGTTGACGTCTAGCATAGCTGCTGCTGCTTATGTGAGCTCTCAGCTGCTTGTAGTGCTATTTACCAGGCAGTAGTTCCATGGATTCCAACGCAGACAACCATGGCAGACAACTTGGAATTCCACAGCTCTAGTCCTGTTATGGTTTAGTAGAGCTGAAGGCTACTTTTAGAACAAATTTAGAATCAGATTAGGTGCCTATCAAAAGAAGCTGACAATTGTACGTTCTCTTGTCGTCACCATCATAGTCACGTGACACGCACGGCCAGCTCCGCACGTGATTAGGTGGGAGCTGTCGTGTCTCTTCTGGCGCCTAGCCGGAGCAGCCTGGGATGCTCTGAGCCGTATCGCCTTAGTCAAGTAGCGACTAACCTCTTCATCACATCAGCAATTCCGCCTCTTCTCCAACGGTACTTCTTTCATATAGGCGTGCATCTTGGAGCAGAACAGCGAATCAACAAAAGCTCCGAAGAATAGCTTTTCAGAGCTTGACTCGTCACAATGGTGAGCTCTATTGCATCATCCTTGACCTTACTGTGATTGCGTAGTGCTGACATTTGCTATTCTAGGGTCAAGGACCATCTGGCATGGGAGGTGAAGGGGGAAGGAATGAGAAAGACAAGAAGGTATGCAATCGCCTCTTTGTTTGAACTCGATGGAAAAGGACAGAAACTAAGAGCCAGCGCAGAAGGACAAGCCCAAGTACGAGCCCCCGCCAAGGCCAACAACCCGAGTAGGCCGCAAGAAGAGAAAGGCTGGCGGTAGCAGCGCTGCTGCCAAGCTCCCAGCAGTCTACCCCACGAGCCGATGCAAGCTTCGACTGCTTCGTATGCAGAGAATCCACGATCACCTGCTGCTCGAAGAAGAATACGTCGAGAACCAAGAGCGTCTACGAAAGGCCAAGGCTGCCAAGGAAGGACAAACGGCTGGCCCCGATGTCGATGCTGATCGCCTAGCTGACGAACGTGGACGGGTGGACGATATGAGAGGAAGCCCAATGAGCGTCGGTACGCTAGAAGAGCTCATTGACGACGACCATGCCATCGTGAGCAGCACGACTGGTCCTGAGTACTATGTTAGCATCATGAGCTTTGTGGACAAAGACCTTCTCGAGCCCGGTGCCAGCGTCCTTCTGCACCACAAGAGCGTTAGCATTGTCGGAGTTCTGACCGACGATGCGGATCCGATAGTTAGCGTGATGAAACTCGACAAGGCCCCAACGGAATCGTATGCCGATATTGGTGGTCTGGAGCAGCAGATCCAAGAAGTTCGAGAGTCAGTGGAGTTGCCCCTACTGCATCCCGAGCTGTATGAGGAGATGGGCATCAAGCCCCCCAAGGGTGTCATTCTGTATGGTGCCCCGGGTACTGGAAAGACGCTTTTGGCAAAGGCTGTTGCCAACCAGACATCTGCTACATTCTTGCGTATTGTGGGCAGTGAGCTAATTCAGAAGTACCTGGGAGATGGTCCCCGGTTGGTACGACAATTGTTCCAGGTTCGTTAACCCCTTATTTCCTGATTAGAGCAATTCATGAGCATGTGGCGCTAACAAAAAGGCTAGGTTGCTGGAGAGAACGCACCTTCAATCGTGTTTATTGACGAAATTGATGCTATTGGCACAAAGCGATACGATTCTACATCTGGAGGAGAGCGAGAGGTTCAGCGAACAATGTTGGAGCTTCTCAACCAGCTTGATGGTTTCGACGACCGCGGTGACGTCAAGGTTATCATGGCAACAAACAAGATTGATACGCTAGATCCTGCCTTGATCCGACCTGGCCGAATCGATCGAAAGATTTTGTTTGAGAATCCCGATCAGAACACGAAGCGCAAGATTTTCACTCTACACACGTCCAAGATGAACCTGAACGACGATGTTGACCTGGACGAGTTTATTTCACAAAAGGATGATCTATCTGGTGCCGACATTAAGGCCATCTGCTCAGAAGCTGGTATGATGGCCCTCCGTGAACGGCGTATGCGCGTTCAGATGGCAGATTTCAGGTCTGCTCGAGAGCGGGTATTGCGTACTAAGCAGGAGGGTGAGCCGGAGGGTCTATATCTATAATGCGTGGAACTATATTGGCGGTGTTAGTAGCAGCGCTTTATGAAGCGAGAGGTGCCTGTAGCCCGTATCTTTTTTTATAGAAACATTAGGTGTGGTTGAGGCTATGGGGAACATTATTCAACTACTGTTAATGCAATCATAATCCAAACCATGACCCAATCACACAGCAAATAGTAATTATGCCATAAAGTGTGCCTACCAACGACCAAATTACGCAAGGATATCAATTAATACACATCATAGTCCTAGCAAGACCATATCTTCCCCGCTTAGCTATCACTCCAAGCTCTTGACATCGTCAAATTGCTTGACTTGGACATCTTTCCATGCTCCATCAGACGTGACTTCAGTTCCTGTTGACGACGTATCACTGCTGCCTGAGAAAACACTCGCAGGCGCATGGTGATACAACCATCTAGCGACGATAAAACTCCCTAACGAAGATCCCCAGCACAGCACCGCAAGAGACGATGTGATGAATAGCGTAGGAATTAAGAAGAGACTTGCGACACCAACCCAGAAGAGCGTAAAGATGACGGCAGCACCAAGAGTAAGAAAGAAGGTGGAGAGGGCAAAGGAGAGGAAAAGGAGGATAGGGAGCAGCGAGAAGAGGATTTGAAAGGCGATGAATGACTGCACAGCAGTTTGTTAGCTAACGGGAGAATACTTGAGGTCAAAAGGGGGGCACATACGAAGAGTATGGGCTGGCTGGAAGCAAATGAGGAGGTTCTGTCGTAAGCGCTTTGGCGAGATGAGGAAGGGATGATGGAGTCGAGGGCGCGATGCGCATAAGAGGATGCGCTGGATAGGAGACTTGTTGCTGTCTGGCGTGCATCTTCTTCAGCTTGGGAATCGTCGTTTTTGGTGAGCGCCATTGTAGTGGCCATTGCTTCGGATTAGGTGATGGCAGCCGGTATTTGTTTTTGTAGAATTTGAAGCTTGTTCTGCCGCTATATAATCGATCGTGGCGATTGCGAAGATATGATGCAAGAGGTTGGGATGGCAATAAAGATGGGCAGAAATGAGATCTGATGGGCGGGCGAGTGGGGGCAGCTAGGGAAGCGGCTGCGGCAGCGGCTGCAGCTGCAGGAGGGAGAAATGCGGAGGTGGAGATGGAGAGGTTTGGCAAAGAGAGCAAGGTGGAAGTGGAAGTGCGAGATGGAATTTCTATTTCTTGCAGTTTGAGAATGGGAGTCCTGAGAAAGGGGGCTGGGATGGCGTGTATTTCGTTGCTATATGGGGTGACGCTTGGCCACGTGGGTGGAAGATGGTTGGCATGCTGGATGAGGGAGGACGTGGAATAATTAATGGGGAAATATGGAGGAGCCGGTAAGCGGCATGAGCCTGGTGAGGGTACTGCCGACGGTATGGCGATGTGCTGTGTTTGCAGGTATCTGGGACCCCAGTAATATTACCAGACGTCGTTTTAGGGGCCAGGGGTGCAGAGCTCTGGTTTGTACATGCTATGTAGATGCCTACTATACAGATAATTGACCGCAGCATAATTATAAGTGCATAGGTACTAAGGGAAGCACTAGGTAGTTTCTGTTATTTTTGGCAACTCACTGTACGTGTGCTGACCTTAGATGTTTGCTAGGGGAACTCACGAGATTAGTAGCGACTTACAGCAGTTACACGTGCTGTACTTTGTATCTCGTAATCCATACTCTGGTAAAGCATACCCGGTGCTATTGCCTTATTTCTAGTCCCATGATTCGTTATGAAAAGTTAATTTGCATAGGTGAAATTCTGCCAATACTTTTAGGGAGCATGAGCGTCTGGAATATTAGAGACGCGGCACGCAATCACAGCGCCTGCTTGCTTGGAGGCTCCTCGCAGCTACTCTGGCAGATCTACCATCTCTAGTAGTTGCATTATATTGTATTTGCATTGGTCATGTGTTATTTGGTGAATTGGTATGCACTGATAAAAGTATTAAAAAAAAAGAGAAAAAAAGAAAAGCTCGTCATCCTTCTTTTCACATGTTATAATTGTATCGACCGCTACGAGAAAGTGAAATGTCACATATCGGTAAATTGTACCCTGTAATATGCCCAGACAACGAAAACGGTATGCCGGCTGGAACCACATTCACCGCCTCTACAAGTTAGAGACTGGCTATCAGTGAGCTGAGGAAAATCAGGCCTCATTGCTCTCTATTCGTCCAATCATCTAACGGTGCAGTCAGCATGGGAAACATGGCCCCAGTAGTAACGGTCTTGGCTGCTCTTCTCATACACAAACACGCATATTGAGAAATCTACCTATGCCTTTCTTGGTAGCGATTGCAGCTTCACCTGCGAGATTCGAGTTACCATTCGCCGTTTTCACTAATCTTTTCTCGGCTTAACCAACTCTTTGCGGCTGTGCTTTATGATATTCAGGCACTGCAGAGCAGCGCCAGCACTGCGGGTCGCAAACTCATTCGCCATCATTAATGCCTCGATCCACCACAGAGACGCGATAACAAGCAGATCACGCCCGAGCGAGTTAGAAAGCTCGACTATCGGCGCCTCCAGTATGACGCAGATATGGATCCGCGAGCTCGGAATTGCCCCTTACGGCGGCGGTATTAATTACGCCGCTAAGCAACACCCGGTATACCTCGTTGCGCCGCCAAGTCTTGCGCGCCCTCAAGGTACCCCAAGCAACCCCGCCAAATGCCCCGCCAATCCCGCTGTGTCTTTTCTTAAGCATTATTGAGCCCCTCCAAAAGTTGGTTCCAGTATTTTGTCTCGACAGTCCGCCAGAATACCAGTCGCAAACCAAATCCACTGCCATCACGAAAGGCAAAATGGAATACGATACCAAGACTCGTAAGCAAATGTCCAATTGCTGCTCTACCTCATGTAACCAAGCGCTGGCTAACTCGCGACGCAGCCAAATCGGTCACCAGCGACCCCAAGTCCTTCGCTAGCGAATCCGTTCGCATGCGATGGCCTGTCATTCTTGTGAGATGCCCCTTTCGCCGCACTTCGATCTGTCTCTTCAAGAATTTGTCTGTCTAATTGGCTTTTATCTCAAAGACCGGCGCCGTCGACGACATCTACAAGGCTATTTCCAGCACCGATGATGCTGAGAAGCAGGCTGAGGGCAAGAAGATTATCGAGCAGCTCGGCAGCCTCAAGTATGAGATGCTGCACGATCGCCAGCTGACGTATGGTGTCCAATCTTTGGTTTTTTTATTAGAGTCAAGGCGAGGCTAATCTCATACAGACCTATTCCTGAGGATGGATTCCCTGACGAGACCGCCGCTTACAACAAGGAGCTGGAGCAGCTAGGCAATCCCACCTGGTTCCAAGTCCCCTGGCTCTTTGCTGAGTGCTACATGTATCGGTACGCTACAAACCCAATTGATCATCCATACTCTGAATATTCCATACTGATTCCGCGTGCTGCAGACGCCTTAGCACCTTCTTCACCCTGACCAACCACTGGAAGGGCTACGATCTCTTCGCCCGCCAGAAGACTGATACTTTCCGAACCTCTCGTAACGCTGTCGTAGAGCTTGCCGCCCGATACGCAGACATCATCAAGAAGATTCGCGCTGATACGGATGTGACACATGATCCTGAGGCCGAAAAGATCCTGTTCGCTGAGATGTGCGAGGTCTGCCTGTGGGGTAACGCGACTGACCTGTCGCTGCTTACCAACATGACCTACGAGGACATTCAGAAGCTGCAGGGCAGCGAGGCCAGAAAGGCCGCCGAGAAGAATATCCTCGTCAACAACCTTCCCGAAGCGTACGCTTTGCTCAAGAAGGCTCAGGCAGAAGGCAAGAAAGAGCGCCGCGTAGACTTTGTCCTCGATAATGCCGGTTTCGAGCTCTACGTCGACCTGGTCCTGGCTGGTTTCCTCCTCAACACTGGTCTTGCCACCCATGTTGTTCTTCGCCCCAAGTCAATTCCTTGGTTTGTCTCCGATGTTCTTCCGGCAGACTTTGCTGCCCTTCTCAGTGCCCTCGCCAACCCCAAGGGCTTCTTCGAGAGCCCGACCGAGGAGGAGAAGGTCACTGAAAAGACACCCGCGCCTCTGGCGCCCAAGGAGGTCGAAGATTTGCTTTACGTCTTTCAGGATTGGGCGACCCTGCACGGTGAAGGCCAGTTGGCTATCCGACCCAACAGATACTGGACCGCTGGTGGTTCCTTCTGGAGGTTACCTCATGAAGCTCCTGAACTGCATGAGGATCTGAAGCAGGCCGAGCTCGTCATCTTCAAGGGTGACTTGAACTACCGAAAGCTGGTTGGCGATGTAAGTGACGCGATTAAAAATGGGGGTTATCTACTTTATTTTGCTAACTTTTTTTAGGCTTGGTGGGATGCTACAACTCCTTTCGCCGAGGCTCTTGGCCCCATGGGTGCCGGCTCTGGCGTCAACGTTATGTCTCTGCGAACATGTAAGGCTGATGTTGTTGTCGGTCTTCCCGCTGGCAAAGACGAAGAGCTAAGAGCCACTGAGGGAGGTGGTGGTGATTCCGGTGCCAGGCGATGGGCTTGGCACGGTAAGTGGGCGGTGGTGTGCTTGTCTGAGGGTAAATAAAAGCAATGTGAAATTTAAGCGTGATTGTGATTTCTTATGGAAGAGTTTAAAGGGGAAAAAAAAAAAATAAGAAGGGAAAGAGGACTCATAGATTTTTAGAAATTATAGAGCCTACCCAGGATGGATTATATGTTATAGAATATCTGCTTTATACCTTTTATACGATATGAGGGGTTGTCAATGAAAAAAATATGTCTGTAGAATAACTGCGAAGTGATTGAACATGTATTATTGCAAGCTATACTACGAAGTTTCAACTCATACAATTTAAACAGTATACTAGGTAATCAAGTCTGTTTCTCAAGCGTTTAGAAAACAAGAAACTGTCCATCATCTTGTATGCCAGCCGATTGCTTTCCTTCCTCCTTTTCTCTTCTTTCCATGCCCCTTCTTTACTGCTATTCATCCATCGCCTACCATATCCTTCGACCCCTGAAACCGTACGACGGTGGCGGTCCATACGATGGGAGATCGTAAGACGGTGGTCCGTATGAAGGTGGAGTAGGAGGAGGGTAGGCGGTAGTGGAAGTGATAGATGCAGTTGAAGTAGCCATTTGTGAAGTTGATTTGCTTGTGGTGGCTGTGTAGAAAGTGGTGGACGTGAAGGATGAAGATGTGGTTGCGGGCTGGGTGGCAGCGTTGGCGGAGGACGCGTATGAGACTGTGGAAGAGCCCGATGGGGTTGGAGTGGTTGAAGAAGGCGAGGAAGAAGATGCTGAAGAAGGCAGTGGAGAGAAAGATGATGGAGTGGATGCCTGGCTAGTTGGAAGAGAGTAGTATGAACTGCTCGTCGAAGATGAAGCAGTAATCGGCGCAGCAGTAGAATCGATTGTGATACTTGATGTCTGGATTGTAGTGGAGCCAGTGTTGGAGGAAGTCGGCTGAGTGGTAGAATATCCCGTTCCAGTGCCTGAGTAGTGACTTGTCGCAAAAGTTGAAGAATTGGTGAGTGTATAAATCCGGGAATGGCTCAGTGATGACTCTGAACAGGGTGTGTATACGGAGCTGTAGCTGCTCCGGGTAGTGGTAGTGGCCACGGCTGAGGATTCTGTTGACACTACGACGGCGGATGAAGATGAGGGAGTTCCAGATGGGGTAGTTGTATAATTAGCGAAGGTATTTGAAGTGGTAGATTGTGAACCTGACGGTGTTGTGGATGTTGTTTGTGATGATGGCGTGGCAGTTGTTGCTGAAGTGGGTTTGGATGAAGATTGTGTAGAAAGTATGGTACTGCTCTTTGTAAGAGAACCAGTGGAGTAAACAGTCACTGTAGAGGACTTAGATCCAGATTCACTCGAAGATTTGGATGCGGTCTTTGAGATAGATGAGGATAAAGTCTCTGCACTGGACGTGGTGGAAGAAGTACTTGTGATGGATGCAGTACTATAAAGAGTCGCTGTGGATCTGGAAGCAGTTTCTGTTGAAATTTGGCTTGATGCTCGAGATTGTGAGCTTTTAGTGAGAGTTACAGTCTGAGAAATAGTCGACTTGACTGTAGTCTCTGTCGTGCTCTCAGATGATTCTGGAGGAGCTCGAGCCTGGGTTGTGGTTGGGAAGACGAACGTGGTCTCTCGGCCAGAATATGAAGTCGTAGACGAGGAAACAGGAGTAGAATACGGCGAAGATGATGATGATGCAGTACCGGCAAGAGCAGACGATTCTGTGCTTCCGACGGTGGTGGAAGATTCACAGCTATAGGGATGAGAACATGATTTTGTGGTAGAGATGGAGGAGGTATTGGGGATTTGACTCGATTCAGCACTGGTAGTGGTAGATGGAGTGATAGTAGATGAAGAAACAACGCTTTCTGTGGATATGTAGGTCTCTGTTGGCGTTGAAGTAGCAACAGTGCTTGAGGAACTGCTGTGACGCTGACTCGAGACGAGACTATCAGTGATAGCAGAAGCCGTAGAAGTGGTGCTCTGGGTGTATTTAGAGGTCCCAGCTGAGGCTGTAGCTGTGCTAGTTTGATACGTGCTCAAAGATGTCGACGGCACAGAGTATGTTGGCTGAGAGGAGTTTATTCCAGACGAGGTGGAGATTGTTCCAGACGAGCTAGAGCCTGGAGTGGAAGTAGCAGTAGGCGTAGTCTCACTTGATATAATAGTCAAAGAAGACGAAGTCAAGGACACAGTCGAGGCACAGCTAGTCAAGATCGAATAGCACGACGAAGCACAAGCAGTGACCGTCTCCGTCTTAGTCGTCGTGACGGTCACAGTATGGTCAGTTGCGCCAACAAGAGCAGCCCTATTTACTCTCATGTTAGTTTATAAACATTCAGCTTCTTTTATTCTCACTCGCCGCAATTTTCTGCTCAACTTACCCAATTCCCAATAGGGTAAAGGTAACTGCTTTATTTACCATTTTGATGGGAGCTTTTTTTTTTTTTTTTTTAACAAACACAATAAAAAGTATAAATTTCAACGAGGGTGATGGAAACGAATGACTGTAAGTGAGAGACTGGGCTTCGGTCTGCGATTGCTGTGCTGAAACCAGAATTCTGCGTTCAAAGATGCTGAGATTCTGCCGTCTTTATACGTGACTGTCTAAAGAGATATGCGTAAGGCCTCCCATTTTTTTTTTTTACCATACACAAGATTGAACAATAAGATCCTCCCGTTTGAGTCTGTATTGCGTGTTGCTGTGCTGCGTGTTCCCGCCGCGACGGGATTCGCACCGCTCCTTCATTTCCGCTACAGGTTACCCCAATGGATCTAGTCTTTCCTCATCAAGTTTCTCTCATACGAGTACTGCTCAAAGATTTTCCTCCGCATCCCCCTGAACGGATATATGCTCTGCTGCTGAGCAATTAAGTTGGGCGTTCACCTCCAGCTTCGTTCATTGGTAGAACCTCCGCTGCTGCTGTGTACCTAAAGCTATTGTTTCATTCCGGCACATGTTGGCTGGTGGCACCCATACACATAATGCCATGATCCGCAAAGTACTCAGGATTTGAATTATTTTCTCAGTTGCTGTGGAGCGGAAAGTCATGTTGTGCGTGCTTTGTACGATGGACATCTCAGCCACGGTTTTTTCATGGCCTATTATGTTAGTTCGTGACAAGATATAGTCGATCGGATCGTGAATTGCATGCATGGGTAAACAGCTGGCTAGCTTGTCGGGAAACTTGGCGAATGATATGCCTGTTCCCGTTTGTTGCTTGCACAAGGATTCTTATTCTGGGTACCTGCATGATTGGGTTGCTCAGTCCTCGAGAACTAACTCCGGGTCGATGAGATTTCGAAACTTTATAGACAACTTGGAGAATTTTAGTATTTTGGGAATTCCAGCCTCTTTTTCAGCATAGAGAGCATGTTTGCTTTGCCACTCTCTGGAATTCCCATGATGTCGAACAACCTCATTGAGTATAAAATAGCGGTATCAATTTTGCGCACCCGCGGACAAAAAAGTGTCATCATAGGATTAAACTTGGGTATCATCTTGGTATTACAAAGTACGACCCTGTTCTGTAAACAGAGATGGCTGGGACGGATAGACACATGGGAAAGTCTCAGACAGATTTGCAAGTGCCTTGGTGGCGCAGTGAATCAACACTGGTTCAGATTCATAATACGGTTCGAGTAAATCTATGGGTGTACTTGTGCTACTTTACCTAGATACAATGATGAGATTCCAGCTGAAGAAACAATTTTATGTACATGTGTGTTTGAAGGGTAATTATGGATTGACATCTCAGATTTGGTCACGTTGCGAAATGAGGTATGAGCTCATGATACTCATTTATGCGTATTCGGCACCCGCTGTCAAGCAGCAGGGACTGCGAAGGGGTTACGAAATGCTCTGGCAACACATGCATAAGTGGAAGCGATGGCACTAACAGAGGAACGGATATTCGAATTTTTTTTCCCCCATCAAGGGCCTGCATCCTGTGTGTGTGTCATAATTCATTCTAGTTACTCATTTAAATCATCTCTACAATGAGGCCTTGAGGATCTTGAAAGCGTCATCTCTGTCTCCCTTGAAGCGCTGCTCAGCAGTCTTCCAGTTGATGACCTTCCAGATATTCTCGACATATGCAGCCTTGCCATTAAGGTACTAATCACAGAGTTAGCTAAGGATAATCGACAATAGGATAGCGGAGGAGAAGAGACTCGCCTGCAAGTAGTATGCATGCTCCCACATGTCGATGCCAAAGATGGGAACCTCTCCACCAACCACGGGGTCTTGATCCTTTGTAGTGACAATTCGCAAGGCATTACCATCCTTGACCAGCCAGCCCCAGCCACTACCCTGAATGCCCAGAAGAGCCTTGACCATGGCCTCCTGGAATTTCTCCAAGCTGCCCCATGTATTGGCAATCTCAGCAGTTAGAGCAGGGGCGCTGGCAGAATCTGCATCCGGCGATGAGGATGGCGACAGATTCTCCCAAAACAGAGAGTGGTTGATGTGGCCGCCACCATTGAACTTGATAGCAGCCTGCAGCGCAATCTGCGAAGGCACGTCGTTGGCAGCAATGGCGGTGGCGTAGGTCTTGAGAGCACTGTTCAGGTTGGTGACATAGGCCTGGTGATGCTTGCTGTGATGAAGCTCCATGATCTGTGCGGAGATGCTGGGCTCGAGAGCCTTGGATGGGGGATGATTAGCTGCTGTAGAACATCGGTGGGCCAGGGCAAGACTCACATCGTAGGCGTATGGCAGCGCCGGCAGTGAGAAGGTGCCAACAGACATCGTGGGCTCGAATGAGTCGACAAAGCGTGCTTGGCCGAGGGGTGATTCAGAGTCGTAAGCTGCGTTGATCTCGATGCTGGCAAATTCCGGCTTCGAGGGGTCCGGGGATGAAGAATGACAAGGCAGGGGCAGCAGGGAGAGCGCCGCCAGAAGAACGAGCCGAGACGCCATTTCTACTTTAACGCAGCGCAGTCAGAACGCGAATGACAAAAACCGACTAATGTGTGTAGTGCAGCAACCTCGCAAGTGGCTCGCTATCAAGGTTCCTGATGCTCTGGAGTTTCGTGAGCATTCCCTCTCAAACTTGCTCACCTGAGGTTGCCGGATGGGGAAAGGGGGCGACTTTTGCGGCGCCGTGATTGGGCCGTTTCAGGTAGCTTGACGCGGACTGCTTGGCCCCAGCGAGCCACGACTCAAACATCGGTGGATGACAGGCAGAGCCGATGAAACACGCTCAGCACTGCCAAACAAGCTCAGAGCCTCTCATATAAGCTGAACAGGGCCGGCACTTGCGTATATAAAGTCTTTGGGATTTCAACAAAGCCACAACACAGACACACAAACGAAAAGCAGCATCGCAATCGCCCCTTTACACCTCTTCTCCATCAATCCTTCTTCTTCTACCCATCAACTAAGAGGGGGGAAAAAATAACAGCATCCATCACACTATATCATTTACCTTCTTAATAAGAATATTGATAAAAAAAAATCACCATGTGCGGACCAGAGTTCACCAACAAGCCTCGTGGCGGCGCACTTGCTGCCCTCAGCTCACCAATTGATGCCGATCGACTACGATCCATCTGCGCAGATCTCGCATTTCACACCCCGGGCCACCCGGAGAGCAACGAAGCGACACATGCGAGACTGACGCCAGATGCTGATTATGATTCCAGCATATTATCAGATCTTCATATTGTCATCCAGTGCGTGGTGGCTTGAGGTGCCCTTCATAATCAAGACTCACAGCTAATAGTGTAATATAGTTCCAGCGGAGATTTGTCAAGAACACCAGAGGAGTGCGGCACGTTTCAGCAGTTTCGATTTCCTGCAGTGCCAACCTCATGCAACAAGTCATTTATTGAGCTTCCTCTCGATAAGCCGCTTTCACTAGAAGTCGGAAACGATGGAATCATCGGCCGGCGAGTGTCACTTTACTCTCGTTCTGCCCCTACTCGGCTGGTAGCCGAAGGCATCGTGGGATTCAACTTTCTCAGCAGGGCCCAGCCGTGCTTGTAGGCGATGCATCGTGACAAATCATTTCACTACCAGCAGACAGAAACACGCACGTCAGAGCCATCAAGGTTCTGATGGCGACACCTGCGAAAGCGCATCGTGCAAGGCGGGCACTTGCACCCTGATGGATAACAGGGGTAAAGACATGATGCGTATCCCTGGAAACACAGGATCCAGAGGAGAAGAAGCCGAAAGCGGAATTTCTTACCTAATGCGAGAAGGATATTTATTTTAGCGATGGCAAATTTTGGCAGGAATCTGGAGTACAGGCATACACGGAACGGGCCCGGCAACGTGGCTTTGGGATGGTTATTAGGACAGGCTTCAATTCGAGCAAGGGGCACTGGAGCACTAACGGGCAATGGGAACTTTGAATTTGCGTGAATTTGGAGCGTATATTGGCTTAGCCACAGCAGCGAATAAATGCGAATTATCTTCAATGATGTCTTTTTAAATGCGTGAGGATGATGATGATGGTAATTGCACCAAGCAAAGGCTCGAACGAGTCCGAGAACCCGGGTCGGACCATTTCATGTCCGAAATCCTTCGCCAGGATAGCGTTGAAACCAGCATTATCGTGCGCCTTTACGTGTGAATTCAACCATTGCCATTACTGTTATTTTATTCATTTTGGTATTCACTTGCGGCGTATGTTTATATAGAATTACTCGTTTTGAAAAACAAGTTGCAACATCTGCTTATTCACCTATAGACTCATGCTTTGTACAGTATGGCCGTGTTATTTCACTTCTGCCAGACGGAGTTAGGAGCTAAATAATCCGGGCTGCGAGCATTACGTGATCCATCCTACGGGGTAAAGCTGCAGACCGTCCAAAAGGCTTCGGCTGGGCTTTGACCTTTTGAAATCGACTTCTAATAGGGTAGATGCAAAATGTCTACCCCTGCGAAACCTCAAAACGTGTGCAAAGGGTGCAGGTCAAGAAAGAAGAGATGCGATGTGAGATGAACTAAGACAGACTCGTTGGCCTGCTTACCTAATGCTTCATAGGGTAATCGACCGTCTTGCTCATCGTGCACCGTGAGAGGTGAGCTCTGCTACTATGAAAGGAGTAACAGGCGGAATCTTTGTCGTGATCGAGTTTCTGGCCATGTAAATGGAGGGACTACCAGAAACCCCGCCCTCCAAGACTGGACTTCATGGCCGGTGGACGAGGTCGACGCGTTACTAGGATTGGAGCCCACTGAAACTATCCCATCATTTATGGCTGGGCCTCAGTTGGAGGATTCTTACGAGTGGATAATGCCCAACAATGAGCTGTTAGGGACTGCTATTCAAGCTTCTTGTCCTGGCATTAATCAGACCCTCGCCATACCTCAAAATACTGGTTCACCAACGCTACCCACGCCTCTAAAGGCACCGCCAGAACTACCAGAGCTGCCCCAGCTACTGCAGTTGATCGACTTGTTCTTTGAGAAGTTCTATCGCTACATACCCATAATCCACCGACAAACCTTGATGTCTGCCATTGAGTCTCAAGGTCCCCAGGGAGTACCGCCGGTCTTGTTATTCGCCATCATCGCAGTTTCAACCAGTGGCCATCCCGACTCCCGGATCCGACAATCTCAGAGAATCTGGTACGAAGAGGCAAAGAACCGGGTTTCAAAAGATATACAACTGTCGCACCATGTTCTGCAAACCTTGCAGGCTGCAGTCCTGGTGGTCTATCTAGGGCTTGCACTTGTGGATTATTCGCCTTGTATTGTGGTTCTTGGCGAGGCTTGGAGAAAAACTGTTGCTATTGGCCACAGCTATGGCGATAGTTTGAGAAAGATGATTGTAGAATCGCTAGGTACCCAAGAAAAAGCGACGTGGATAGAGAGAGAGGAGACTATACGAATCTCATGGATGCTGTTTATCATGGATCGAGCCATGTGTTTTCCGATCGGACTGATGCATGCAATAGACGACCGGAGGATGACGATTGAGCTTCCAATGTCGGAGCATGACTTTCAAAGCGTCAATGAACCCGTTTCTAAACATACCAGCCGCTTTACACATAACCTAAGTAAACTGATCTCAACCGTTCGAGAAAACAACTTGCAGGGCGCGGCAAATCAACTGCAGTATATCATTCTGATATATACCTTTATAGGGCGCATAAGCGAAGCGCTTGACTTTGCCGACGATGAAGAAGAGCGTAAAGAGCGAATAGAATCGCTTTGCAGTGATCTTATTAAAATTCGCCTGATGCTTCCGCGCTCTGCTACAGAGCTTTCATTTGCCAGTTATGACGAATTTACACAGGTTCTTTGGCTGAATATGGCCTTGAATACCTGCACTATCCTTTTACACCAGAGGCCTCTTAACGAAGGCGAGTCCCTCGACGATGCTGGAACGGAATTAGCTATAAATTGGCCACACTGCGTCGCGGCCGCTCGAGCCTCAATAGCTGTCCTTCGAGATGCTTCTCGCGTATCCATAGATTTCGTGGGCAATGCACATATTCCATGCCTGCTCTTCCCCAGCTGCAGGATTCTGACGAATGAATACTTTTGCCCCTCGAAGCGCCAGAGAGAAGCTAGAGGCGCAGACGGTGTCCAGCCACCCATGGGTCGCGATCCCAAGGTGCGAGAGGACCTAGAAGTTATTGCTTCGGCGTATGCGAGAATGAAGGAGGAGTGGCCCGCTCTGGGTAAAAAGTTTGGTAAAGGAATGTACTTTTATCTGCATCAAGGAGCAGAATTTGCGCGAAAGTCAAAGGTTGCCGGCGTTCGAAGTCTAGTTGGAGTATGCGACAACTGGGGGACTATTCCTGATGACTATAAGCTGGATATTCCAACCTGAGTAAAGTGACAAGAAAAGAATTCTTGATGGATTGAATTGGGGAAATTTTCAATTTGAATACCAAGGAATGGATAATGGGATAAACATTAGGACAGCATCATTTCTTATACGGCCTTTAATTCTATAACACTAAATATCATTCCGCTATGCTGTTCGCTCTTTATCGCGGCTTGACCGTCTCACAAGACAAGGGGCCTGCTATCACCAACAAGACGACCTCCATCAGTCTTAATAATTGCTCCAGTAGCAAAAGAGTCCTTCATAGAGTAGATGTAAGCCTCTGCCGCTTCCTCAGGCGTCGCGACGGTGCCAGTAATGACCTCCTCTCTAAACTTCTGCAATATCGGCTCGAGTTGCTCCGGAGGAAACATTCCAAACAGTTCGGTATGAATCGCACCTAGCATGACGCTGTTGCATCTCACAGGCCGGAGGTCGACGGCGAGCCCACGAGTCAGACCTTCGCCGGCGCCTCCTCCAGCGGCAACGATGGACCAGTTGGGCAGTGGGCGATGAGTGTTTGTTCCTCCCGTCAGGGTGAGCGAGCTTTGGACCCTGGAGTTGATGTACTTTGACAAGTGTTTTGCAATGATGATGGCGCCTGTGTTGCGAACCTGGAAAGAGGCGTGGATGTCCTGGACTGTCACATTGGCAAGACCAGGAGCGCGAAGAGCATCTCCCGCCGTGAAGACGACATGGTCGAGTTTTCCGTCTTTAGTGGCGAATTCGAAGAGCTCGACAACGTTTTCATCAATCTTTTCGATGTTTGCAAGATCGCACGTCTTGGCCGATATCAGCTTGCTGGCGTCTCCGAGGTTGGCCGCCTTGATGTGCTCTCGTAGACGGGCAAGGGCGCCGTCCAACTTGGTCTGGTTGGAACTGCTGATGATGACTTGAGCGCCGTGCTCGAGGGCTGCTTCGGCAACGCAGAAGCCTACACCGGAAGAGCCGCCAACGACGAGGACGCGATGGCCCTGGAGCTTGTTGGTGTACTTGAGAGCAGACATTGTGGTGAGGGCTGGTGTATTTTTTGAACTTGATGGGACTTGTAGTGACTCAATGTTTTATATCGAAAGAAGAGTGTATTTATTGATGAGAATATCAGCTTTACAATGACCGGGTGTTTTCTCCCTCTATATACTTTTTCTTAACTGTAGGAATCTATATATTCGATGCTGCTTCATACGTGCAATGGGTGGAAATGGCATCGGCGCTTTGGTCTTAGCGGCGGCGACGGACCGTTAGCGTCGCCGCTCGAATCCCTGATCGGCGCCGAGTGATCCACCTGATTGGATGTTGACTTATTATGTAGGAACGGGAAATATTTGTGTGAGTGTATGCATGTGCGAGATGAGTAGAAAGGTAAGTGGCTTTATTTGAGGTGTATTGCTTGTGCTGTTAGTAAGATTGACAGCTGTTGAGAAAAATGGGAAAATGAGTTTGGCTGCACATCTTTTTTTTTTTCTTTCAAGCATATGAAAACTGCAGCTGTTGACAGCCAGCTTGTCCTAGTTGACCGATGAAGCCACACTAAACGACGAGGACAAATGGTTACCTTCCGTTTACAGGTGGTCATATTTATGAATTAAAAATCATCAGTGTAAATCACTATTGCCTTTGTTAACGCCTTCATGAGCAACCTGACGGCCTACCTACATTTACTTTGCTGAGGCCGCAGCCCTATAAGCAGGGATCTGGCTAAACGAATGGCCCTTTTCCCCATAGGGGGTCTCGCTGCCACCAAGTTATAATTGATTATATTGGGACTGCTGAACAGTAGTTTGAAGGTGGTTCATTCGCTTCCGTGAATAACTTGAAAATCACTCGGGACGCATCAGCAAGGCGCTTGGCGTTATCTGACAATGAAACAGATGTAGCTTTTGAAATCGGAAACCCCAAGTCTCTGGTTAAACTCTGGAAGGACCAGTCTTCTACTTGAGTGGCATTCTCTGCTCTTTCAGGTGAAGAGGAAAAGCGCAGATGCTGAATGTTTTAAGCTGGAAATATATACCTATAATAGGTAATATTGTTATATCTTGAACTTTATAAGTGCGGTACGCGATTAATTCCTGAATATCAAGTCAAGATTATGTTTTAATGCTTTCCAAATTCAATTGTAGCTGGGCATCCTTTGTAGTCTTAATATACACATATTTCTAGTTCCTTCATATGAAGCTGACATTTTGCTGAGCAAGGTTCAACAGCAAATACCAGCTGCCACAGCTAATAGTGCGCATTACCGGTCCCTAGTGCTCAAAAACCCTTCGATGTAAGCCTACTGTAGCACTATTTCTCTAATCTATTTCGAAACGAAGATGTGTGAATCTCTTTGGGCTTTTCCCCCCAACGAAAGCTAAGGCTTGATGGTAAAAGTGGCGATTGTCGTGGTTCATCGAGATCGTACAAAAGTCTTTTGCAGCATTTCAACCGAGGAAGCCGAGAAAGTCTGGTGCCATACCTATATCTTGGTAACTATGAGCCCAAAATCTGTTTTCTAATCGACAGCGGTTATGTAACGATGGTAATGTCGGCTTTGACCCTTGTTGCGCTCACCATTGCCCGTGCGAGATCAATAATTCGAGTAACGGAAATTGCTGGTTTCACAATATAAGACTATTGACAAGAATCCCGAGATCCCTGTCGTTCTGGCAAAGGTAACCAGGGATACTGATTACCATCCGAAAACCCGGCATTCCGGTAAGACAGCACTAGAGAACTTGCTAACATGGTGTATCAAGGATAAGAGGCTCTGTTGACTGTTTTTTCGACTTGTTAGTTGCTTAATTATAAGGTTGACCCAATCACTTCTTTAGCTGAAAGGGGCCTGGGATAGGCTAATTGATAGGGTCTCACCAGTACCCTTTGGATGTCACCAATAGCATACTTGTACAGTAACGATTCTTGGAACATATTAGGCACCATTTCCAGCAACAATTAAAAAGTTGTTAGTTCTCACGCTGGCATTATCATTTAGAATACTAAAGCCCGATTAGACGTCTTCGGAGCGTTGTTAGTGGTATTCAGCCAAGCCTCCTAAGCGCTAACTGTGAAGACGGGATTAACATAAAACTCTCTTCGTGAGTTGTTCGGGTTGATGGCAGCTACGGAATTAGCATATATACAGCAAGCCACCAACAGAGATTTAAGATAATTTACTTCTTTCCAGTGTTGATTCGTCTTCTTTTTGATAAATTTGTTGTTTTTGCTGCGTATCCGGACGAGCGACACCATGAGTGTCCAAACGAAACCCTCCAATGAGAAAGTCATTCCCCTTTCCGCGAAAGACCAATGGCGGCCCATTAGCAACATCCGCTCTCTAGCTTTTATTGTCGTCCGTGACATCCTCGATGGAGAACTCATGAAAGAATCTCTGGACAAGTTGATCACAGAGCATATCCCTCTTCTAAGCTCGCGAATAAAACCCAGCGGAACAGACGGCTGGCTCCAATACCATCTAACGTCTCCCTTGCCCGACAATTATGACATATTTGGCTGGTCTGTTAGCAATGTTGGGACAACCATCGGAGAATCAAAGCTTGTACCAGAACAAAACTCCCAAAGGGGCATCGCCATCCTTCCAGATGTGACAGTCTTAGAATCGTGTTGGACACCCACCGACTGGCCCATTCTCCGCAACCAAGACAAGCCAGAAACGCCGCTCTTGCTGGTTCATCTCACATACTACACCGATGCCACAATAGTTGCTGTTAGCTTGCCGCACTGCGTGAGCGATCAATTGGGTCTTGGTAGTGTCATCAGCTCCTGGACAGACCTCATGCAAAACAAAGAACTTGTGCCATTTATTGACCTTCCAGAGGGTGCTCTCGAGGGTGACAAAACAATGTCCAAAAAAGAATTGCATAAGAAATACGAATTTCGACTCAAGACAAAGGCAGACCGGGTGGGAGTTGTGATGGGGATTATTCCAGAGCTAGTAACCCGCTCGAAAGAGACGAGATGCACTCTTTATTTCCCTGTGGAAGTGATTAATGGGATACGTGATCGATGGCAGAATGAGATACAGGCAAAATTCGGCACTGAGGCAGTGACTATTACAAATGGAGATGCGATTGCTGGAATTGTTATCAAGGTATATATATATGCTCCTTCTTCGTTTCCCGATACACCACGATAATCTTATGCTAATTACTATTGGCAACTTAGTTCGCCAACCTGCATCGCAAACATCCCAAGAAACAACTCTTTACAAGCGCAGTAAACGGTAAATTTAGTTTCATCACCTGACTGCAATCACATCTACATGGCTAAAACGTCTTCCCAGTCCGCGGATCTCACCCTTCCCTCCCCAAATCCCACAAATATCTACACAACGCCCTCGTCTTCGCCCCTACCCACGCAGCCATCAGCCGGTCCAAGCCACCAGCCTCCGAGATTGCATACAGAACTCGGCTCGCGATAGTGCAGAGCTTGCAGCCGGCCAACATGGAGCGCGGCCTCGCAGTGGCGCGGGAGCTCTACCTGCACAACATCCTGATGCACATCTGCGAGCCGTGGGAGTTTAGCTATGGCGTGACGAACTGGTGCAATGCGTGGCATGGGATTGACTTTTCTGCTGCTAGCATTAGGAGAGCTGAGCAAGGTGTTGAAAAGATGGAGGAGGGCGATGGAGCTGTTCCAGCGCCGCTTGTGTTTGGGCATGCACTTGAGAGGAATCATCCAAATCGATGTAGGTGGTCGGTTTTCATTCCAACCATTATTTATATGACTAGTACTAATTATTCTGACTTTACGACTATTAGTGAGCGCGACAATCATGTCAAAGGGCGAGGGAGGGTACTGGGTCGACTTTGCAGCACCGAATAAAGGCATGGAGGCTATAAAAGCCCTTTTAAGGAACGATCCCAACTTGGAGACGATATGATGTTGTTTGTGCATGCGAGATGGTTGCCTAAATTTGAGTCTGGGGCTTTGTCTTGATAAAAAGTTTCCGTATTGTTGGCTGCCTTGGGTATCATATGCGCAGGGGGGGTGTAGAGTAATGGCGACACTCTCATGACATGCCCCTTGTTGAAAAGATGCTGTTAGATTTTCACGCGTCGGACATCAAAACTGAGGGTATAAAATAAATTGTGCGATGTTTGTGTGTTATTGGTATCGTATAAAAGAACGCTATAACAATTCCCAAGTCCTCAGTAGACGCAACCTCTGCCAGTGGGCAGTGTGAAACTAGAATAGAACAATAGACCCAAACCAATGCAGCTCGCTCCCAGCCATGCAGTGATAAAACAAATCCCGTAATTTCCCAAGCTTGCCAAAAAAAAAAAAGAACAAAAAGAGAAAAGACTTCCAACGCCCTAGCCAATGCGAAGAAAAAAAAAAAGCGCAACTCCACTACCAGCCCTCGCCAAACATCATCATCTGGGAGGCCTCCTCCAGCCTATCCAAGCCCTTCTTGATCGTCCTCGTCATGTTGGATATCTTCTCATACTCAAACAGATTAAAGTGGTGTCCGTCAACATCATAGACATGGCTAAACATCTCCTCGTCGTAATCGCCCCAGCCGAGCAGAGGATCATCTCTGTTTAGATCCAAGCCGACAGTGCGGCCTTCCTTTGCCGGCACGTAGTTTTTCGCGCGCAGTAGAACCACTTTTGGTCGGCGGTCGTAGAGTCTGCCTGACCACTGGGGAAGACGCCACTGCCGGACCATACGCACAGCCTCTGCCATGCAGTTCTTGGAGCGAATCTTGTTCATGATGGCCTCCTCTTCGTCGGTTGACGACTCATCCTCCGATGAGCCATCTCTTGAAGCGTCATCGGTCAAGACATCATCTGGCAGCGATTCGTCATCGCTGGACACGTCGTCATCACAAATCATCCCGCGTGCAGAAACATCAGGGAATCTAACGCCGGAGAACCTGTTTGCCATAGGCACTCCAAATGTGGGAGCAAGAGGGGCCGAGCGTGCAGGCAGAGACCCTGACCCGCCAGGAAAGACGCTGTCGATCATGAGGATGCCCGAGACCCTCACGACGTCGTCCATCGCCAGCTGTCGCGCAATCTCCATGCTGAGCAGGCCGCCCAAGCTCCAGCCGCCCAGGAAGATGCTTGTGCTGCCGTCCATATTCCTCTTCTTGGCAGGGAAATCCTTGTCCTGCACCGTCTTTCGGATCCATGACGCGTATAAAAAGGCCATCTCGGAGATGCCGCCCTCGAAGACCTGGCCGGAGTAGTAGTAGGGGTTGCGGATGCCATAGGTGTAGCGGCCCAGGATCTCCAGGAATTGGTAGGCCAAGGTGGTGCCGCTGCCGTCGTGGATCAGGAAGATGGGAGTGTTGTAGGTGGGCATATTTGGCTGAGCCCAGTTCTCAGGCTGGATGAGCTGGAGGCTTGGAGACCGCATTGTGAGTGGCTGGCGATGTGACGGGTGGCTTGTTCTCTGCGGCGCGTCGTGTAAGGTCGGTGATTCAGCGCCGAAGCTGCGTTTGCTTGCGTATAACATGGCTCGACGAAGTAGCAGGTTGTCGGAGAGAATAACAATAAATAGAAAAGAGAAGAGAACCAAGTAACCCCGTCCAGCTGGAAGCTTCGGGATACAAGGGATCGTTATTTAGCTGCAAACGTTCCCGCGGGTTCCCCAAGCTCTCCAGCAATTAGCTTCGCTTATCAGTGGAGCTCCGCCCTGACGTTGTTGGGGTGAAAAAAAAAAGTTACTCGAAGCGACTACCCAACGGATTTCTCATTCGCCCATTGGACTTTTAGGCCGGGGAAAAGGATCAACAACCACGGTCTAAGCGAATAAGTTGCCCAAAGGCGGAGAGATATGGTGAAATTCTTAAGTAAATATCTGGGGAATTAGATTCCAGATGCGAGGAGAAGAAATCAGAACCTGGCAGTCGATGATTTCATAGCCGTCTGGATCGGTGATAACAATTATGTCAAACTCTAAGCCGCGATGCTTTTTGTTGGGCCCACTGCCGCGTTACGATTTCGGCATGCAAGATGAGCTTCCTTCTCCGCACACACAGGCCGATAAGATCGATCAGGCCCAAGAGAGGGGAGAAACACGATCAAGGGAGAATGAGGGCATATATAGGTATATCGAGAGATGCCAACCAAGGCCTGGGCCGGGAGGAGCATTCCGCCCATCTCTGACAAATGACCGCAGAGGGCCAGGGATCGGGCTGACGGAGGAGTGCTTTGCCTGTCTCTGATGGACGCTCAGGGATCCGGCTGACGGGACTCCATGTGCCATTGGCACGCCGAGGATGGAATGGCAGGGAGGGAATGACCCGTGCACGAATCTGCAGATGGCCAGAGGGGCCTGTACGAACGAGGCCGGGCCGGGATATGAGTCGACGAGCCTGCTGTCTGCTGTCTGCACGAGAGGAACGTGTAAGTGAGTGAATCTCTATCGCACGCAATCGGTCCTTTGCGGATCCTCTTCACGCAGCCAAACAGCCACGTCTACACGTCGGGCTTGCTGCTAGCGCTGCACCTCTTTACTTCATGACGCCTTGTGCTGCTCCTGCGTGGATGATGGTGGATGTTGATAGGGATTGTATTGCACCTTTGCAGAGGTTGTCACCTCTTCGAATCCGCATGCATAACATTGGCCAAGGTGCCATTATACAATGGAATGTAATTCGCCCAACAAAATCCGGGTGGGCCCCGAGACATGCCGCTCTGCAGCGGTGGAGTCCGCACTACTGATGCAGGATTCTGGAATGCTCGTGGCTGGAAGCGGAATAGCGCACGTAAATAGATGCATACCCGGGCAACTGCACTCGGAGGGTTGTCATTGTCAGCCACTCAACCCTCCGAATACATTCTGTGCCTGGCAATTTCGGCGCTTACCAAGTGTACCTATTCTTTGCTGCTGTGAGAAGTCTCCGATGAGCATCTCGTATATACATGCCACGATCATCTGCTTTATTTAGTAGGTGAGTTTCCCCAGTTTACGGGGTACAAGCAAGGATTAGCATTCAGTACCTTGCTGTATGAAATAATAGAGCATGCTTGTAATCCTTTAGAGGAAAAGAACAAGTCCTTCAAAAAGGCACAAATAGTGAATATCGTGTTTTACAACTCTATTATAGGTGGCTACCTGAAATAGGCCCTTCTGGTGGTCTCAAAGAGTTATCAAGCATACCATCCTGTGTTTGCAAGGCGCCAGCTGACCCTAATGTGTCCAAGTCCATAAGCCCATTTGCAAGAAGGCTGGTAAAACAGGTAACTGTACATGTGGCAGAATGTACTGAAATAACAATTTGGATGCTTGTATGATGTAGAACGGCCGTGACACATGCAAATTTGAATTCCATTACGTACTTTACTTGGGTATGGAGTAGTAGGGCCATTACGCTGTGCTACATACGGGGATTTGGAATCCGTATTACCTGCTATTGCATACCTAATAATACAGAAGTCTGAAGTATTAGTGTTGGAGGTATCAGTCTTCCCGGAGTGCCATGTATTAGGATTAGAGGCCACACTACCCCGAGTGTCGGGCATTAGGAGTCGGGCATTTGGAATAGAGGCATCAGGAGTCGGGCATTAGGAACAGAGGCATCAGGCTTCCCCGGAGTGTCATGCACCAGGATGAGAGACATCGCCGTTTCAAGAAAGAAATCTATAGTGCTATTCTTTGGCTGCGGAGAGGCGTATTTCTGCCGTCCTTCTGAAAATCCATCTTGGCTCTGGCTTCGGCGTCGCCGCGGGGAACACCCCGGATCATCTTCATTTGGTCAACGGCAGGACAAGGTAGGTATTTGTCTGAATAGAGGAAAGGCACACAAGTGTCTGCAGTAGTGCTGCTAGGTACCTAGCACTTTGCACTACGTGACACATGGTTTGCACGCCTCGCCCATCCACGTTGAACCGCTGCCACTGCTACGGCGGGAGAAGATCATGTAATGCAGGTACTTGATCACGCCGGGCTAACTTTACTTGCCTAAACTGGCAATCTTCGTCCCGCTATCGCCTCTCTAAACTGCTGCCTGTATCTGATTCCGCCGCCAGATATCCTTGCAGCTTCCACAGTAAGAGATGCAGTTTCATCATGCTCGTGCTCGCCCACTGCTTAAGCACGAATATCTCTCCCTCTCGAAACACCTCAGCCGAGTCTCTTAGCCGCTGCAGCTCTTCGTCGCCGAGGAGGTATCGTAGGTTGTGTACCACCATCTTCCTTCCATATCGGGCCCCTTCCACGTCTAGTGTAGCGTATTGTTTCGGACCATCACTTTTCTCTGGCAGCCAAATAACGCAACCCCGCATTCTGACTCCTTCGACATCCTTCCAACTGATACAAGGTTGGATGAATCTGTCCTTGGGCCCGTGTGGTCGATTGCCGCGAACAATCAGCGCATCTACTACGTATTTGCGCATCATCCCCAGCAGCAGACTCCCCATATCTTCTCTCCATACCGCATCTCTATTATCCGGAGCTACGGCCATGCCGGTTCGGATCGCTGACAAAAGGGCGAGATATTTTTTGTTTGGTCCGCCAATCATATCAACCAGCGACTTGCGACTCAGCGTGTAACTTGTTATTGGCGACCTCCGTGGCCGGGCCGGGCCCGTTATGGTATCGTTCGAGGCTGGTGCAGGTGCTGACACGAGTCCAGCCGCAGCCGCAGCAGCTCTGTCGCGTCCGCCATTCCTGTCGGCTTGTGACTCGTCTGGTCGCTTCGTAGGCAGAACATGTTCAAAGGCCAGCGGGCCGGGAGCCCACCATGCAGCACCTGTTTCCAGGTGTCTTATCATCTCAAAGTCCTGTAAGAAATACCGCGGCAGGCTGGTGGCGCTGTTTGGACATCTGCGGATCGGCGTAGCAAGAGCCTGTGCTGTTTCCCAATTAGCTTGTCTCCATTAGATACGCCGTGGCTCAAAGCTTGCTGTACCAAAGGGATTGTTTGCGAGCTTTCGTCGAAATCTGCCTAGTGGTGGACCAGGAGCAGACTTTGTAGTCTTTCGCCTGGCTTGCATCCATGCTGGATCAAATATGGGTGAGATGGGAAGATCTCCTGCGGCAGTAGAGACCGTCTTCGCCTCAGGATTGATTTTTAGTGATTTGCCGTCCGCATCGTGTCCAAGCCCAGCTTCGACCTTCTGTGCAAGGGCCTCTCGTGTCAAAGACGCCTTATCGTAGGAGTGCCATCTTTGGCCCAGATGCGGATTCAAAGCCCCAAGGCTGCTCGGGCGGAGCGCAGTACATCGTTTCATCGCCTGGCAGCCGATTTCCAAAGAATCATGTTGTGTATTGTGTGGTGTTTAAGTGACAGATGTTGCATGCAACCAATTTTCGATGACGCGCGATAGCGATAAGCTTTAGTACCAGGGTATTACCGATGCTTAAGCTGTCACCACCTCTAAGCTCCAAGCTTCTCTCTGCTCAAGACATCAGCCCATTTACCAAACATGCTACGATCCAGATTGCTACCAGCCCTACGGGCACTGCCAATGCGACATGCCAGATCCTTTGGTTTCTCCAGCACTGCTACTCCTGCCAACAGTGCGCCGTCAATGAACATCCCAATGCCGTATATCGAGGAGACATCAGTAAGCGGCGGCATCAGCTCTGGCGCCATGGCAATTGGCTAAAAAGGAACAGGCAACTGGCAGAAAAACATGTACGCTGCATCTTTCATTTTGCGCCGGATGAGTAGGGAACTTACATCTTCGAGGGGACATCTTTTCAAAGCTACTACAGGTTTGGCCATGTCCATCCATCACAAGCTTCTACAGACACAAGGACTGACGTGCGTAGCAACGAATAATATGTCTAAACGGCGAAATCGACGACTACATGTCAGCCTCTATAGTGGCACAGCTTCTATGGCTAGAATCAGACTCCCCGGAGAAGCCGATTACGATGTACATTAATTCACCGGGTGGCTCTGTCACGTCAGGTGCGTTTCCTCCACTCCGCAGTACGGCCATCAAAGTTCACAGTGGCCTTAGGCATGGCGATATATGATACGATGTCTTATATCAAGTCTCCCGTCGCAACTGTATGTGTCGGAGGTGCGGCGTCTATGGCAGCTATCCTGCTTGCTGGAGGTGCGCCAGGCAAGCGCTGTGCTCTTCCGCACAGCTCCATAATGATTCACCAGCCATTGGGCGGCACTAGAGGGCAGGCGTCGGATATTTTGATTTACGCAAACCAGATCCAAAGGATAAGAGAGCAGTCGAACCAAATCATGCAATATCATCTGAACAAGGCGAAGGGATTCGACAAGTATAGCCTAGAAGAGATTAACGATCTTATGGAGAGAGACAAATATCTAAGCGTGACAGAAGCATTGGAGCTCGGAGTCATTGACGAGATATTTTCAACGAGGAAAGATCAGGATCAGCCAAAGAAAGAGGAAGGAGAAGAGAAGAAATACTAATTACGCAAAGGTGATAATGTTTTACATGAAATTCCTTCTTAATGAGGTGAGAGCAACAGTGATTTTCGAGGAGAGCCTCTAGCATATCTGTATCCCAATTTTCAATGAATGCTGGTGTTAATCGGACTGATTGCTCAAGCATTGGTGATGCTATTCCCATTATATGCAAACCACCATCTTTAAGATATCGGTTGATATTATGCCAATCTACCAACACCTACCTGTACGATATCAATCAGTGGTCTGCCTCGGTCGTCTCCTGCTGAGTAAGAAGTGAACTTTGAATGGCGATTTAAAATATTGTAATGTTCTCATGCTCTATCGCAAACAAAGATTCGTGCTAAACTACTATGTATCCTCTCCCGAGATCCTGCCATGCCGATATCGGCAGGCTTCAAATTGGGCATCTCCACAGACAGCTCTGCTCGAGTGGGACAGCGGTAGTAAGGCCGAAAGCGATTTTTTTGGAGGGTTTTTATATCAATTTGGCTCTCTTCTAAAAAAATTTATGTCATACGAAATACAAGCATCAAGGCTATAACAATAACTAGTGAAAAGCCCTTTGTGGTGTTCAGCGTGGCCCAGGAACGAGTTGGAGCGCACGAAAAGTTGGTTCCTGTAGGCGCACGAAACAGCCCACCATAGCACAGCGAGATGCAGCCACTAGAAATCTGGGCTGCTCCAAGTCTAGCAGGGGAGCATCTCCTCTAAAGTTCTGACCCAGCCAATAGAGTGGCGCCAATTACCTGCTGGCAGACGCTCGCTGCCAGTTCCAGCTCCAGTGCGGGGCAACTTTTTTCCCACATGCCATCACTTTAGTGAGAGCTTCCCGCGCGAGCTGTCCGGATCACAGGGAAGATCACAGGGACAGAGACCTAAAAATCGGAGACTCACGTCAGCCATTGCGGTCCGGCCACTTGGACATCAATTTGGCGTCGAGTCATACCAATTCGCCAACTCTATCCTGCTTCCTATTTTCTGGAAAAGCAGCAGCATCGCGGCGCAGAGATTGGCGCGCGAGAGTTTGGGATATTTATTGGGCTTGGGAATAGGTACGTACATACGCCAGGCAGCTCGCCCAAGGCATTGTTGATTTTTGCACACTTTCTTTGCTCCCTCTTCGTGTCACGATACATTGGTGTTGGGGAGCTGCCATTCTCTTTGTCCAATTCACCAGGAGAGTTTGCAAAGTTGCTTCGTTCAATGCCAAATACAACCATCGCTAGGCTGTCAGCAGGCGTCTAACTCTTGCTCCGATAATAGGACCAATCGTCGCTCCCTGCAGTTGTCACGATGCTCGCCAGATCGATGCTCAAGAACCCATCAAGGGCTTTCAATGCCCTGTCAAGGGCCAGCACCCTCTCTACGAGGAATCAAGCGTAAGTAAACCCCCAAGCACAGGAGCCAATGCAAATTAGCCAGGCGCATCCGCTAACAATCCGCCGTGCTCATACAGTCGCCTCCTCTCGACTTCATCAGCCCGATATGCGGACGAGAAACTCAACAAGGTCTCCGCAAACATCACACAGCCTAAGTCTCAGGGCGCTTCCCAGGCTATGCTGTACGCCACTGGCCTCACAGACGCCGATTTGAGCAAGGCGCAGGTCGGTATCTCCTCCGTTTGGTACGAGGGAAACCCTTGCAATATGCACCTGATGGACCTCTCTGCTCTTGTCAGGGAGTCAGTGGCCAAAGCCGGACTTGTGCCCTACAGATTCAACACCATTGGTGTCAGTGATGGTATTTCTATGGGCACTACTGGCATGCGATACTCGCTGCAGAGCAGAGAAATCATTGCCGACAGTATCGAGACTGTCATGAATGGACAGTGGTACGACGCAAATGTCAGCTTGCCTGGATGTGACAAGAACATGCCTGGAGTTGTAATGGCCATGGGCCGTGTCAACCGACCCAGCATCATGGTCTACGGTGGTACCATCAAGCCCGGCTGCACAAAATCTGGTGAATCCATCGATATTGTATCTGCCTTCCAAGCTTATGGCCAATACATCTCTGGAGAAATCACCGAGGACCAGCGATATGACATCATCCGTCACGCCTGCCCCGGCAGCGGTGCCTGTGGTGGCATGTACACTGCCAACACCATGGCGACAGCTATTGAAACCATGGGCTTGACTCTACCAGGCAGCAGCAGCAGTCCTGCTGAGAGCCCCTTGAAGAAGGCTGAGTGTGAAAGCGTTGGTGATGCTATCCGGAACCTCTTGAAGGAAGATATCCGACCACGCGATATCTTGACGCGACAGGCCTTTGAGAATGCCATGATTGTTACCACTATTCTCGGTGGAAGCACCAATGCCGTTCTGCACTTGATTGCTATTGCTGACTCTGTTGGCGTTAAGTTGACCATTGATGACTTCCAGGCCGTCTCTGACCGTATGCCCTTCCTTGCCGATCTGAAGCCTTCCGGCAAGTATGTCATGGCCGATATGCACAAGATTGGTGGTACCCCTGGCCTTCTCAAGTACCTCATCAAGGAGGGCCTCATTGATGGCTCTGGTGTCACCGTGACTGGAAAGACCATGAAGCAGAACGTTGAGAGCGCTCCCGATTTCCCTGCTGACCAGGAGATTATTCGGCCTCTCACCAACCCTATCAAGCCTACTGGTCACATCCAGATTCTGCGTGGCTCTTTGGCCCCTGGCGGCTGTGTCGGAAAGATCACTGGCAAGGAAGGCCTTCGATTCGTCGGCAAAGCTCGTGCCTATGATTCCGAGCCTGACTTTATTGCCAGCCTAGAACGGGGCGAGATCAAAAAGGGCGAGAAGACTGTCGTCATTATCCGCTATGACGGCCCCAAGGGTGGCCCTGGCATGCCTGAGATGTTGAAGCCCTCTTCAGCCATCATGGGCGCTGGCCTGGGCAAGGATGTCGCTTTACTGACTGATGGACGATTCTCTGGTGGCTCTCACGGCTTCATCATTGGACATATTGTTCCTGAGGCTATAGAGGGCGGCCCCATTGCTCTTGTCAAAGACGGTGACACAATTACTATTGACGCTGAGCAGCGCATCATCGACTTAGAGATTTCCGAGGCTGAGATGGAGAAGCGAAGAAAGGAGTGGAAGCGCCCCGAGCCGAGATATACCAAGGGAACGTTGGCCAAGTATGCTAGAGTGGTTAGCGATGCTAGCACAGGATGTGTTACGGATGGTCCAATTGCGTAAAGCAGGAGAACCGAGAAATCAGAAGAAAAAAAGGCGGAATGTGTTGGGTAGGATGTTTGGTTATTTGGATGCCTGAGGAGTTTTTGTCATGATATTTGGATGCATTGGATTGAGAGAGCCCAAAATAGTTTTCATTCATGAATGAGATGTCAAAATAATTGATACGTATTAAATGGGTAATGCTCATAGAAGTAGCAGATGATACTTTGTTTGCTATCCAAGATGGGTTGCTTCTTAAACAATACATGCAGCGGAAGACCATGAGACAGGCGCGACTTGAATGCGAATGAGATTTTGATGCTATGCTGCAGGCCGTTCCACAGCGCGATGTAAATACAATGTACAATGCCCTATTAGCCTACAAATGTTTGAACCATCCAAGTACAAGATGTTTTATGCCCTTTTCCCGCTCCATGCCTTCACAAATGCAGCCTTGTCATCCAGCGTCAAGCCTACCCTTTTGACTCTGCTCAATCTTGCCAGAGCCTCTCCAATCCAGTCCAGTAATTTCTGCTCTTCGCCAGTAAGGCCAGTGCTTGTTCCACCTCTGTAGGTCAAGTCTCCAGATCCACTGGCAGGGCTGTCGCCGTTGGTCTTCGCAGCAGCCTTATTCGTCTGGCCCTCAGCGATGCGCACGCGGATGCAGGTCGTGGGGCGAGAGAGCAAGGTCCAGAGAAAGCGCAACCACTGGCCCGGGATGGGAGTCGTGATATCGGAAGGCGTATAGCGGATGCTGACTGGGAAGATGTGGACGTCGGCGGGAGTTTGAAGAATGCTGGGGCTGAAAGGTAGGATCGCTTTGCCGTTGGTGGTGCCGCCTTCGGGGAACACGGCGATGACACGGTTTGGGAATTCTTTGACCAGATCCTTCAAATCGACCAGTTTGGCTCCTGCTGGGGGGCCGGTTGCCACTGGCGCAAGCGCCATCATGACGGCTGACAGCAATCCAATCCTTCTGACCTTGCGCTCTCTCGGGTACGAGACTGTAAAGACCGGGTCGAATATAGCCGCCAGGTAGATGGCATCAATCGGACTCGTGAAATTCGCAGCTATAATCGATCCGGGATGAGGCACCCTCTCGCGCGGCTGCTCAGACAACGTGCCGCGCTTCACGCCGTCGAGCTGGAGATCGATCCACCATATTCCCGGTATGGCCATGAGGCCCCATAATGCGATTTTGCGAAGGAAGACGGGGAGGATCGGCAGCGGGTGGAAGATGAGGAAGTAGGTGAAGGCGTAGGTGAGGAAGAAGGGCAGGCGGACGAGGAAGAGGAGGCTGTGGGTGAGAGTCGAGATGGCGGAGCTGGCGGACGTGACGGGGAGGAAGGGCGCGATGCCGGTTGCTTTTTGCGTATAAGTCAGTTATTGCTTGGTCTTATTGACTGTAGCGTGGGTATCCTGGGCAAAAGAATGAGAAGATAAAAAGGGAGGGAGGTTACCTCTATCACGATACTGGCTGTATTTCTCCATGATGGGTGCAGCTGAATGTTGTCCTTTGCTGGATCCTCTGAGATGTGCTTCGATTGTTGGTGTAGAAGAAGAAGAAGCGACTTTGTCTGGATGTGGATAAAAGACGTGGCGTTTCGCTATCGAGGCATTGAAGTTTTTGCCCAAAGCCGAAGAGGATGGAACCCTCTTCTCTCCTCTTCACTCAACAGAGAATACAAAGTAGAATCGCGTCGGGGAGAATAAAGAGGAGGGGGCAAGAGACAGCGAGGCTAGGTGGAGCATCGCCAGAGATGCGGTTTTGTGTGGGACGGAGAGCTACTTGGGTAGAGGTCTCCATAACCTGGGGCTGACCTGTGAAGGTTTGGAGGGGTGGGATTACATCAGCAGCGCTGCTTTTAGAGCTGGGAAGTAGTGGGGGGCCGCATTTTGCAGTGTCTTGGAAGAGACGACTTGGACGCTTTTGCCAGTTGCATGAATCAGAGAGTTTCATATG